GGGGGGTCATAGTTTTATGTGAGGGACTCAGTGTAGGGGGAGCTGGCTGGGGGATGTTGCGAATGTTGCTTTGTTGGAAAAACCTTATCAAAGAACAAGGTTTTGCAGCATTTCAAAAAGTTATCAAACTCTGGATTTGTCTCATCTCCTCTGGCAGTCTTTCCAGAGGCAGATCTCCTCTAATGAGAATGTTTTGTCCCTTTCTCTCGTGCTTCATTCCAGAAAAGATCTTCCGATACCAAACCAGAACTGGGGGTGGCAGCTTACAGGGCACAAATCTAAAGGAAAGAGATGTGAGTGTTGGGTGCCGGTTTGTTACGATGCTCTCACCAGACATCCAGGGAAGACAGATGAAGGATTATTAACTGTTTTGATGGGATTATCATGGTATTTATTTAAACTCTGAGAGATGCTTTTTCCCTAACAAGCACAAGCAGCGTGATATGAGCACACACGATTATTTTTGTCAGGAAATCCTAAACACTTTGAGCAAAGGTTTTGTCCTGTTTTTAAAAAATTATAAAGGAAAGACAGTTCTTCCCGAGAGACATCTTCATTACTAAGAATTTATCCAAATTATGTATGAAAAGCAAATTCTTAAAAAAGCATCCTAAATATTTATTTTGTTTCTTTCAGATTTGAGCTTGATACAGCATCATTCAGAACCCTGACAATTGAAAATGCCTTACACGATGGTCGCCACTACCTCTTTTCTAACTCCAAGACGTACTTCAACGTGGCAGTGGATGAAAAGGGTCTTTGGATTATCTATGCCTCAATTATTGATGAAAATATCATTGTAGCACATATTGATGAAGAGACATTTTCAGTCGTTCAACATATCAACACTACATACCCCAAGTCCAAAGCTGGCAATGCATTCATAGCATGTGGAGTGCTATATGTTACTGATACTAAGGATATGAGGGTAACTTTTGCTTTTGATTTGTTGAGAGAGAAGCAAATAGATGCAAGCTTTGAGTTAAGATTGGCACAATCTGTTCTTGCTATGCTTTCCTATAGTCTAAGAGATAGAGACTTGTATACATGGGAGAATGGCTATTTAATGCAGTACCCTGTAGATTTTGACAGCTGAATGCTATTTTAAAATGATCCACCATGCTGGCCATATTGGGCTAAGTAGGTTATTTAAAGCTATATCTTATACATCTCCTCCCTTTAGTATACACACATATTTTCTATTGAAGGTTAGTGGTTGTTTGTGTGTGCATAAAGGGGAGACCAGACCCCTTTGTGTCATTTAAATATACTTAGGCAGTTCTTGGCTTTATAGAGAAAGAGCTGTGCGTTAGAAACTTATTTTTGTTTTTTCCCTACCATGCAGGCCATAATTATATCTACTGTATACTGATTAGTCTACAATACTATGTTCAATAGGGTCTGTTTTTACTCTTAATTTGCAATTACTGTTTGCAATTATCTTCTAGTCAGTGATTATAGTTTAGCACAAATGTCTAAACAATGTTTACAAATAAGCTTCTTTGTATCATTTGCATTTAATATTTTGCATCAACTCTGAATTTTGTTTAGTTGCGGTATTTTTTTAAAAATTGATGAACAGTTATTAAAATGATCAGGAACAGTAATTTTTGTACTTAAGTAAATACCGTAAAGACCAAAGTAATAAATTTATTAAAAACTCATTCCATATTTATAAGTCAAAGCCAACAGAAAAAAGCAAGCATCCTGAAATTTGACAAATCTGGCTAACTACTAAATAACCAGAAAGCAAATACAGAGTTGATGTAAATGATTCCTAGTGAAATGTGAACTTCGGTATTCTGTGGGAGGAGGTGCTACAGCAGGAAATGTAGTCAGGGCAGGTGAAGCTCCTTGTATTTAACATTTTTTTGATTGATCTAACCTCATCTTTCTCACCACTTTATGGACGTGTAACTTGCCCTACTATGCTTCCAACAAATTTGGCCCAAATTTACACAAAACTCCTAGTCACAAATGAAGACTGTACCATTGGATTAGCATATTGTAGAAAAACCAACAAGCTAAAACTCTGAATGAGACTGAATGTACTGGTCAAAGTGCTTGTTGAGGAAACCGGTTGTCCTGCTTGACTTTAGTCTTGGATTGCATTCAAATAAATGATAGTTGCAGCTAAGAAAATATAGCCAGGAACTTTTGATCTTGATCACTAGGAAAAATGACATTTTAGAGGCTGGAAGGGATTAAGTTTGTTTGGCCTTGAAGAATAATGTATTTAATAGTTTGACTACTAGCAACTAGACTATGTAGCTTTTTGTTTAAATTACTATGTTTGAAACTCTGCTCCAGTTCCTATTGCTTGAGCCGGATTCGTCACTGGCTTGAGCCCTGCATAGTCATGTAGTCACACTTGTGCAAAGTGGGTGTAATATGTTACCACATTAGAATGGTAGTATTTAACACCCACTTTTAAATGGATAGAAATGACAGTGCAAGGCAGAGGCGAATCAGGCCTTTGTGCTTAAGGCAAATAGGCCAGAGTTTCAATTTCCATGTGTTCGGCAGCACTGTGTGAAGGAATTTAATTAACTTCAGATCCATTGGTATCTTTACAAGCTGATAAAAACAAATCAACAGTTCCCAGGAACTGCTGTACTGGCCAGCTGCTAGAGCATCTCTCATTAAAAAAAAGCAAAGCACACTGAATATGATTATCAGACCTATACTATGTTAAACTGAGAATTTGGCCTAAAATGCATTACAGGATGGAAACCTCCCCCATCAATGCAGCCACCTGCACAGGCAGGTGACCCTCACTAGCAATTTGCCCCTGCCCATCTCAACTCCCACACACTGAAAAGAAGTCAGCACCAACCTTTCAAATTAAACACCAGGCAAAGGAACATTGTTGAATGGGTTATGTTCTCAGTATCACTCATATTTTTAGAGTCATCACAAAATAGTGATGTGCCATCTACAAGATATCTTACTCTCTACAGTAGGGTATTTATTTGCAACAGCTTTCTGTGATGATTTGGGGAAATTTTCTGTGGACAACAAATGAATTCTGTTGAAATTATGAACATCTGTTTGTATCAGCCTGCAGACACCATTTTGAATGTGGGGGTTGGTTGCTTTCTTTCTCTGATGTCCTTTTACCACCATGTTTCCCAAGGGGGGAGGTAGTAGCACAGGGCTAACAATGTACAAGTGTTAAATATTGATAGTTCTCGTTAAATAGGAGGACCCTAGACAAAAGGCTGACTTCTACCAGAAGTTAGTTTATCAGGGGCATCACCTGGTAGAGGTCTATGCTCACCTGTTGAGAGTGATCAGGTAGTCACATGACACAGGAGACTGGTAGTTTATAAAAGGACAGGAGGGCGGCCCTCTGGGTTTTTTTGTTGGTCATTTTTCACCACCTCAAGCTGTTGGAAGCTGTTTCAGGAGCTTAAGGAGGCCAGAGCTCACTGACCACAGTTGGACCCCACCAAAGACTTCCAAGGTAAAGGTGAACTAGAGTGAAGGGCACTGTAGCTGGAGTACTTGTTCTCTCTGTGTACTCCTGTATTTTCTCTCTTAAGAATTGAATTGTGACTATGTAAACAACTAACTTTTTTTTAAAAAGGGAGCATAAAAAATAAATACAAGTGGGCAGAGTAATGAGCATTTCTACTCACGAATAACACCCTATGAATTGCTGGCTATCTCAATTCCATATAAGTACATTCTTCCCCTGTTTCTAATCAATTATATCAGCATAGCTACCACAATGTTTCCTCCTTAACTGCATCAATGACTGATTCCCAAATGGTGGGAAGAACAGATCTCTATAGTTTAAAGCTCATTTTAATCTTTCTGAATGAAGACTACATATATCTGTTGTTAAACTTCACTCAAAGTTCCTTCGTCTTTATGGGTTTCAGCTGAAAGTTCATCTTCACATAACCATAGTAAAAATAATTATCCAGAGATAGAGCGGGGGATCTTGCATATAACATTTTCCACCTCCAACCCAACAAAAAGTGTGATCTTAATGGGAAGGTTGCTCAGTGTATTTGCTGTGAACATAATCACTAAACCATAGGCAGTGAAAACAAAGTAGGTGTACTAGGATGCATTTCCACCTGAAGTTTGATTTTTCTGATGATTGTAAGTTGAAGTCAGATGCTTTGATATCATTTGAAAGTGTTGTGTGTAACAAGTGCCCGGATACGTAATTAACCTGCTTTGAGTTATATTAACCCTTTTCAAAATATGTAGTGGTTAGATGAAGCAGGAACTGCTGCCAGAAACAATATCAGAAGCATTAAATATCATTGTCATTTGCTGCACTATATTTTAATTCATTTTTGTGAGTAACATCCTCAAGTTGCAAGTTCAATATATTAAAAAGAATCACATATACTGAATCTACTTAATTTAGCTTTAGGCTGTTAAACTACAAATTTAGAATGTTTTTGTTTTGCTCATTTTGACTACATAAAATACTTATTTTAAATTTCACATTTTAGAGCTGGGATTTATTACCAGTACTACTGTAATTAAAAACTGACTGAGGAGACACTGGCTAGGAAAAATAGCAGCAGGATTAGGAAACCTTTCACCTTTAGGACAAATTTAATGCAGGCTGGAAAGGGAAACTTTTCTGATCTGAGGCATGTCAAATGAACTAGGGGGTCTCAGACCAATGACTGTTTCCATCAAATTGACACCATTGTGGGCAACCTTATCAGAGAGCCCAAGGACTGAACAAGCAGGAAGGCGAATTAATTCACCCAAGTGACTGAATCTGTGCTGGCAGGATGATGTAAGAAGAGAGTGGAGTGCAGCTGCCTGTGCTGTAGAAAGTGAACTTCAGTTCTGTTAATCTTGCACCCCTTGGGAGCAGCGAAACCCAAGAGGAAGTCGGATGGCAAACCTCTTTTCTTGCCAATGGCAATTTTAGCTCTAATGGTGACTACAGATCTAATCATGATACTGAAGTTTCAACAAGTCTGTTTAAGTGCAAGACAAAAGACTGCATAGGAACTAACCTGTTCCATGAAATAAAAGGAATTTATTTAACTTAAAGGTAAAACTAACAAATGACACTTCCTTTTCTTTCATATCCGTACTTCACAACCTGCAATTAAAATCCCCTTTGGAGAAAGGTACATTTTATCCCATTATATTTTACACTGCAGCACAGACACCAAAATTCTCATTGAAGAAGTAGGACAATTAGTTAACATTTAAATACACAGACATCCATTCCAATATCTTATTAAGAACATGGTTTTTGTTTACACAGAAAAATACATCTAAATGTGACAACAGTGGCTAGTATATTACAAGCAAACAATACTGAACTCTGCATAGTTTATATAATATGCTGCGGTAATAACTTAAATTACCAGTTTTATCAACTATTTATTAGCTGGCCACATAAAGCCTGACATTTATCTGAAATGTGGCATTGTATGTTACAGTGGTATTCTCTTTTATAGCTTCATTTAAGGAAGTCTTTGTTTTCCCTGGACAAATAAGAGTTTCAAAACTAAAAGCTAACTAAAAACATGTTTCTCTTCACTACAAACATTTAATGTTCACATTACATTTCTAATGTAAAGGCAGATCTCCAAAATATAAAACAGCCATCAAAGAAAAAGTAATGTGCAAATAAAGAAAACACTGCATTTTAAAAACGTGTCCATGTGCAGTGTATAGTATCAACTGTGTATTTAATACTACCTGGTAAAAATATCAGCATAAAACAATACATGTGTCTTATAGTACTTTCTTCATTGCACATTGTTCCACAGCTTTTGCATCTATTACACTTTCCTGGCCTACAAATTCTTCCATACTCTGAATACCCTTCATTACAACAGGCTATTTTTTAAATGAGTGGTTGTAGACATGCTTCATAGTGGCAAGAACTGGAAGAAAAATAAAACCTGAATCACATTACACACTGCTTATTGACTTTATTTAGCCACAGTACTTGTATATGTCTGCAGCTACTGTTAGAATCTGTGTAAGATACTTACTAAGGGAGGCTTGCTGTAGGTTATTGAGCACTAACCTACCTATGACTTCAATGGGTTTTATTCTTTGTTTTTTACAATGCACAACATGCATTTCCATTCCCACCAATCTATGTATGCAGTGCTCAAGAACCCTGCTTTAAAAGTCAGTCTTTTTGTGTTTCATATAATATTTAATGCTGCAGTAATTGCTCTGAAAGCAGTGTACGATAATTCCTTTCATTAATGCATATTACTGCATTGTAGCTATTTAACGGAACTGTATAGAAAACAGGCCTAAACAGCGTAAATCTACAGAACGTCAAAAATGCCTGCAGGGATGTTGAAAGCATTAGGTAGAACTCTCATTTTCAGTGTGCCATCTGCTCCACAGGAGAAGATGCGATTGTCTTGCACAGTTTCAATCTGCATGACTCCAGCACCAATATTTCTGAATATGGACTGTTTGGCATGTTCGTTTTTAAAGGAATGAATTAACCCGTAGCCTGTGAGTCCCCAGACCTATATTAAGAGAATGACAGACAAGACAGAATGAGGTTAAAATGTTCCCTTTCTATTGAGAATCTGGATCAAAACCTTTGCTGCATCAAAACCCATTCAGCACAGAAGAAGGGAGAGAAAATATGGATGGTCAGAGAGGAAGTTGTACAGCTCCAGGATTCTCAAGATGCTCTTTTACTGGCATAAATTAGAGCAGCCTAGGGGCTGCTTTAATGGATGACAGCTGTCCATAGTCTCTTAAGCGACCATACACCAACTGTGAATTCATGTAGTGAAGCTGAGCTCTCCTCCACCTCATCCTGGCCTTCTCTGTTACCTGCATGCCGCACCCTATGCCCCCACTTCTGATTTATTCCATATGATGGGAGTGGAGATGGGAGGGGTGTCTGGCATACAAACTGCTTTTATGCCAGCTAAGAATTCCCCTCTGCTGGAATAGGGGCACAGAATCTGGCTCAAATTTAATTAACACTGGTGCATAATGAGTTTCCGACTTGGGACCCAGTTCTGCAAAGTGTGGAGAGTCCTCAAGCTCAGTGATGTAGGTTTAGGCCATTAGGAGGCAGGGGTTCTCTTATCTGACTAAAAGAAAAGGAGTACTTGTGGCACCTTAGAGACTAACCAATTTATTTGAGCATAAGCTTTCGTGAGCTACAGCTCACTTCATCGGATGCATACTGTGGAAAGTATAGAAGATCTTTTTATACACACAAAGCATGAAAAAACGGGTGTTTACCACTACAAAAGGTGTTTTCTCTCCCCCCACCCCACTCTTCACAAATCTTGGGAGACAGGCTAGTCCTTGCCTACAGACAGCCCCCCAACCTGAAGCAAATACTCACCAGCAACCACATACCACACAACAGAACCACTAACCCAGGAACCTATCCTTGCAACAAAGCCCGTTGCCAACTGTGCCCACATATCTATTCAGGGGACACCATCACAGTGCCTAATAACATCAGCCACACTATCAGAGGCTCGTTCACCTGCACATCCACCAATGTGATATATGCCATCGTGTGCCAGCAATGCCCCTCTGCCAAGTACACTGGTCAAACTGGACAGTCTCTACGTAAAAGAATAAATGGACACAAATCAGATGTCAAGAATTATAACATTCATAAACCAGTCAGAGAACACTTCAATCTCTCTGGTCACGCGATTACAGACATGAAAGTTGTGATATTAAAACAAAAAAACTTCAAAACCAGACTCCAGCGAGAGACTGTTGAATTGGAATTCATTTGCAAATTGGATACAATTAACTTAGGCTTGAATAGAGACTGGGAGTGGCTAAGTCATTATGCAAGGTAACCTATTTCCCCTTGTTTTTTCCTAACCCCCCCACCCCCAGACGTTCTTGTTAAACCCTGGATTTGTGCTGAAAATGGCCCAACTTGATTATCGTACACATTGTAAGGAGAGTGATCACTTTAGATAAGCTACTACCAGCAGGAGAGTGGGGTGGGCGGAGAGAAAACCTTTTGTAGTGGTAAACACCCATTTTTTCATGCTTTGTGTGTATAAAAAGATCTTCTATACTTTCCACAGTATGCATCCGATGAAGTGAGCTGTAGCTCACAAAAGCTTATGCTCAAATAAATTGGTTAGTCTCTAAGGTGCCACAAGTACTCCTTTGCTTTTTGCGAAAACAGACTAACACGGCTGTTACTCTGAAACCTGTCTTATCTGACTATAAAACATACTGCACCTCTATAGCATGGTTTAGCTAAGGCAAAGCTTCTGCACGCTCTCTCTCTGTTGCATTCACCTATTGTCTTTCCTCTTGTATTCAGATTGCAAACACTGTGGGACAGGGAGTGTGCTTTTGCAGTGTCTAAGCAGAATTGGGTACTGGCCCACGACTGGAGTTCCTAGGCACTACCCCAATACAACTAGTTAAAATTCTTATTTAGAATTTGATGTTATACAGCTACTGTGACTACCCTATAGATCAAGCTGGCTGTTTTTTAACAATTACTATAGCACTGTTGCAGGCAAAAGAAATCCAAAGGAAAACAAGAACATATTCAGAAAGGAAGACCATAATAAATTAAGATAAATCAGCATAATGCACTGTGCTTTCTCTATGTAAAATTCATATAAAAATTCAGTCACTTCAATAATCTTACCTTCATGTTACCTTCTGCTGAGCCTGTTGCAAAGTATTCTTCAGAAGGATCTAGCGAAAGAGCCTTAATAGCAGAGTCATGCGCTTGGAAGGTATGCAGGATTTGTCTCTGTCGGATGTCAAAGATGCAGACACATCCTTTTCTGCCTCCAGAAATCAACAGTTGCTGCTTAGGTGCATACTGAAGCACTGTGGCACCATGATCATGACAAGTGAAGGCTGAGACACATTGTAAAATTGTTACAGATCTGTAGTCTTGTGTAGTCTTCAATTTTAAAGTACAGTTCTAGTCTGAAAGGTGACTGGCAGTTTTTTACTCCATAGATATGCTCCTTTTGAGGGTGTGTGTATACAGTCATATCTGCTACATGCATAACAATAACTCTTTACACTCATTAGAGCTGCAGAGCCAGGAGAACTAAGAGTGAGATGGATTCTATTATTCCTTTAATCAGTTAATTTTGATTTATAGTTTAAACACACATCCCTAGTTGAAATTATAAAAATTGAGAAAATATAAAATTCATACTGTATGTTAAATTACATTAAAAAACTCTAATAAAAATATGGAAGTTGTAAAGCGGAGCACTCAATTAGAAAATGCCAAAAAAAGGTTGTGCAAACTTAATTCAGCCATCTTGTGTGCATGCATTATGATGATCTTCAGTTATGGGATCAAACGCTATTTTCTCCACAGGACCTCTGCTTCGTTCATTTTCTCTTAAAACTGAGATCCAATACTTCTGTGACATCGTACAGAAACTAACTACATTTTACAGCCCATATTTTTTAAATGTGTTAAAAAATTTGCCTGTAACTCGCATGTATAGCTGCTTGAGCAAATGCAGTGATTACTAGCTACATGCATACTTATTAAAAAATGTTTTAAGACAAGAAAATTTAAGCACAAGTTCAATTCTGAGTTGTTGAAGTAAAAGATGAAAGTACTAGACAGAGGCAAATACATTCATGAAACAAAAACATCCGTTAAAAAAACACAGGGTTAACCGCAAATGCTAAATTAGATTTGCTTTGTTGTACCAATATACACTCATGGTATTCCAAGATGCGTCTATGAGCACAATACTCAGAGCTGTCCTTCACAATTAGAGCTGGCTTGCTAATGTGGCACCAGAAGACTGACTCTACAATGTCTGGCAGCCAATAACATAATTCCTTTCTAAACTTGGACCCAGCCTGGGTTATAAGATGGCTGGCAGGTGGCTAAGCACTCACCATATCAGGCACAGTCAAGTCTATCAGCCTCTTTCTACTGTATGTGGCATATAAAAAGACTCCAGCCCCAAAGGTCTTCATTCCCCAACAAGCAGAATAAAGAAAAGGGGGCAAGTCCAAGGCAGTTATCTTTACTGGTTATGTGGATAAGAACATCAATGGAGGAGCTAATGATGGTCTAAAACAAGGCCCCACTCTGAGCCCTTCACTCTTCAGCTGATCAACATCAAGTAGCACAGGGAGCAATATCCTGACATCAGAATCCCCTTTCAGACTATTACATTTTCTCTTGGCTGCATGTCCTTCCCTCATGCTGCTCCTTTCCCACAATCACAACTCCTCTGTTGCTGGACTTCCCCCCTTTTCACCGTAATCACTCCATCTAATCTTTCCCATCCTTGCAGCTTCCCTCACGCCAAAGACCTCAAAAATAAATCCTCTTTCGTCACAATTTATATTAACATGAAGAGGAAAAAATCCATCATGGAACATTCTATACCGTCAAGATAGATACACACACAACTTCCCAACCACACAATCTTTCCTGTAACTCTTGTGTCCATCCTTGACCTTGTTTGTTAAACTTAAGTGGGCATCATGCCTGAATTAGACTGTAAAGCTCTTTGGGACAGGCCCTGTAACTTCTTAGTCACAACCACCAACATACAGCTCCCCTGCTTCAAAGCAGTGCTGAAAGCTCTAATTAACTGCCAGTTTCAGGAGAGGTCTATATGCAGACTTATGGACCTGTTAATGATGACTAAAAAATTTGAACATTCGGTGCCAAAATCGAACAGCTGCATTCAAATATTTAACCCTTTATAAACACCTTCACAAGATGGCCTTGCATGTGACCTTTTCTGATGCGTTTTTTTTTTTTTTTTACACATTTTGGTATGTACAAAAGTAGACTCATGTTGGAGGCCATAAAATCTACTGTTTCAAGATACTCAGCAGTACTGGTATTGCACTGATTAACTTGTAATATAGATGTTTAGTCTAGCCCCATATGAAATTTTCCTCTCAAAATCCACGCACAAATCCCACTTGCTTCTTTAACCATTAAAAAACCGAAATATGTTTTAGTGCAGTACTTACCGTGAATGAGACTGTTACCAGGGGATACCAAAGTGTCCCACAAGCACACATTTCTGGTGGAAAAACAAAACAAGTCATGATGGCAACTTGCTAAATGATCCCTGGGCTAGTATGGGTCACTTAGAAGATGAGGAGGACTTGTGCAGGACCTTCGCAGTCACAGGGGGAAGACATGCAAAAGCACAAATGACAGTTAAGAGCCTAACTCCAGTTGACTGAGTCATTCAAGTCTTTGAAAAACTTTGAAATCCCCATTGGGGACTATGCTTGTCTCTGCCTTCCTTGAAGGCTAAGGGCTTCTCTACACAGTGCTTTGGTCTGCACTGGAGAGGTTTAAATTTTAGTCTGCATTACCGTGTTGTGCACTGACTGGCCCATGTGGACCCTGATCCTGCACACTAAGAGTTCTCTAGTGCACATCAACATAGTACAATTTGAAACAGGACTACATTGACATGCAACAGGGAACTTTTAGTGTGCACCAGGTGTTAGTGCACAACATGCTAGTGTGGACTAAAGCACATGTAGACAAGCCCTTGTTGTTAGTCTTACAGGAAGGCTGGGAAACATACACGCCATTCAATATCATAACAAGGATTGCCTCCTGCATTTACTAAATAAGCTCCTCCCCAACCCAGTACAAATGTACCCGTCAGAACGAGTTGCAGTTGGGATGTATGGAGACCTCTGAGTAATGATAAAGACAGCCACATTAGAAATGAAACCAGAAGAGATAATAAAACAAAAAGAGGTGCTCAGTCAAAAACCCTTGGTTCCAGGCAGTAGATCTCAATAATATGTATTTAATTAAAGGAGGAAAAAGGATAATTTAGCACTTAGTGATAAGGAACTTTGAGAAGCCAACAGAATAAGGGGAACCAGTCTGCAGAAGGAAAGTAACTGAAGGAGTGACACACAAGCAGGCAGCCATGCACATACAGCTAGTAAGGGAATTCAACAGCGTTTAGAACACTGGGCTTCAAAATTCTGGCTTCAAGATCCAAAGATCTGTTTCAGGTAGCTTTGCTGAAAGCCTTTCACTTCTCAGCCTAGATATTTTTATCTATTTTTGACTGCATACTGAAGAAGCAAAAAAGAAAGAAAATAAGGTGGGTCTGAGGGTAGATGTTTTTACTAATTGAGAAATAAAGAAAAAACCCTAAAAACGCGAGAGTTGTAGAAGATGCTGTTTTCGCTTCTACTTTTAAATGCTGTTTTTGTCTCTACTTTTAGCTGATAAAGATGGAATACTGCTTTAGGCAGAAACCTTGAGATAAGGTAGCGTCCGGAGGGAGTTTATATAAACAAACTGACAACCGTTAGCCGTTGACGTACGTAACAGGAAGGTATAAATACTTGTCTTTTACTGCTTGTAGGGGGAAGGTCTGCATAAGGTCGGGGGAACCCCTGTCCGACCGCAGTCTTCCCTTGCAATTGCTCATAATAAACTGCCTCTGGCTTGTTGCTAACAAACGCAGAGTAAGGACTTGTTTTCTTCCACAATTTACCACACCTGTTATCGTTGGACTGCCCGGATGTAGCCACTAGACTTGAAGAGGTAATGAACGCAAAGTCACTTGTGGTTTTAGTGTGACACTGCCAACTCTATAAAATGAAACAAAAAACTATCACCAAGATGCAATCTTATCACCTATACATCAAAGTTTCTAACAACTTAAAATATATTTAGTCATATGTATTTCTACTAATGGCATATCACTAGCAAGGACTTTAAATACAAACCCTGATTACTTTGATTCATTACTAAAATCCCTATAGGAAGCAACACTGAAAGTGCAGAGAACAAAAAGATAAATTTTTATTAGAAATTCTAGTATTAAGAAAAATTCAAAAATAATTCACTATGTAATTAAACTGTGACAAATACAGAGTACAGTATGTTTTATCAATTTGAATTCACAATTAAGTGCTGGCTTTGTGTGCTGTATAATTAACAGCAAAGAATTGAGAAGAGTGAAGTGTGGGTTTTTTTTGTTTTTTTGTTTTTTTTAAAGCTTGATGTGCACTACAATAGATTTCAGTCTTAGTAAATTCAAGGACAATGCTGAGGTTACATCTGTCATCACATTACAGCTTGTTGTTTACTCCTGAAATGAATTCTTCAAAGCTGTGTCCATCAAACACTATACTTGTTTTGATAGTCTGCCAATTAGCACAGCAGAGAAAAACATTAATCAAGAATCTGAACATTATCTGAACCTGCTTTTGACCTGTTTGAAGCTTTGTAAAGTAAGAGACACTCAGTCTTGGTTCCTAAACATTTCTCCTATAAAAAGAAAGAATGATTTTATTACGTACCAGATATGGTTTAGGATTAGATACAATTTGGTTGACTTGCCAAATACTTAAATATCCCTCTCCATCCGCCACGCCACACTGCAAGAAAAAAATTTCATTTATTCTATAAACCGCTGAAAAGGTCTCCAGTGGCCAGTCTTACCTTTTCATCACTTTTGTGATATTCAACAAGAAGCTGAAATAGCTGCATGTATATTTAAATACAGTGGGTAAAAATCTGAAAGGCACCTATGTGATTCAAGACTCTTAAGTTTCATTTTCAAAAGTGACTTGGGCACTTAAGCACCTAAATCCTTTTGTGGCTTTAGGCCTAAGTCCAAAATTTAGAACCTCAAAAACTCTGCTCAGCTGGTGCCTAAACTTCTATCCGTGAGCGTGCAAAAAGCCAGCTACATCCTGATGCCGCTGAGTGGCTCCATGCTTAAACCCTAGAAGGATTCATAAACTAGGCCTTTCCCCCCGGCAACCCAAACAGGTTCAAATCCCCACTCTGCCGGATTTGAAATAGGGACTTCAACTCAGATTTCCAATCGCTCAGATGAATGCCCTGCCACTGAGCGAGAGGATATTCTAGGGTGCCTGTCCCACAATCTCTCCTGTTGAAGCTGTTCCTCTTTGTATAAATACTTAAATATTCATTGGGCCAGAGAGTGTGTGACAATAAAGCTATAGCCAAGTTGTTAGCACATTCACATGGGAGTCTGGTTCGAGTCCCAGCGCTAGGCCAAGGCGCACTATGGAACTACTAGTGTGCGGTGGCAAGGTCCACACAGCCATTTAGTGCGCAGCAAGCTAGTGCTCTGTATGTCCAAACACTGGCTTGCCACACACCAACAGGCAAGCCTTACGTCTCTTTGAAATGTTCCTATACGATGCAGCCCTTTTTTGAAACTGGGACTCTGGTACTTCTGAAAAAAAATTTCTATATGTTTGAAGTAGATTTTATTTTTAAATTTTTAATTTTAAATACCTCAGCATATGTTAGACCTGATACCCCAACACACTAATGAAACAAGTTTAATTAAAAAAAAACAAACACTCATGATGTCCTATAAAAATAATTTAGGAATGATTATACAATAACTGCATTGTACTATGTGTGGCAAAGCCACAGGGAGCTTTGCAGATCAACACAAATGAGTAGCAATTAAACCTTTAGACCACACTTTGGTACACTGTATGTGCTTTACAGACAGTGTTTTAAAGAACATTTAAAATATTTCACTGATACTATTCAAATCCCTGTACTTGTAAAGTCAGGCTTCATTAGTTCCATGATGTGGTTTTATGTTTCTAGCTGCCCCTAAATGTGGGGCTTGTCCGGGATACTGGGATGACCCTTTTTGTTGTCCTGTAACTGGCTTAGAGGGATGCCAAAACATCCCTAATTCACAGCAAGTCACTTTTATTCACTTAAGGTTGTAATAAGGTTAATCAAAGTCAAACAAAGTTAGTTTGTCTTCACATACACAGTAAAATATACAGAACCAGTCCTGAAAAATCAGAAGATATGGCTATTGCAGGAAACAAAAAAGAGGGGTTGGCAAATTCCTCTTAACTGCTTGGCAACTTCCTTCTTATAACTGGGCATCTGTTCCCTGCTGAGTCACTTCCTCCCTCCTGAGCTTAATCCTCTGGAGCACCTCCACCCCCACAGACTTGCTTTCAGGGGAGCTCCATTTACATTACTTTCCTCCTCCCATCCCCTCCCCTGTTCCACCGTGTACTGTAGGGCCAGACAGGACTCCTATTCCCTAAATGGCTCCACAGTGGGCTCAATCCCAAGCACCTTCCTCCTTTGAACAGGAGGGTTTAATATATTTGTTTGGTACTGTGAGGTGTTTCAAAGACGTAAGCTTATCCAGGAAGCAGAGCAGGAGATGCCAGCTGGCAATTACTCTAGTTTGAATAAATCTCACTTCTGCAAGATGGCCAGCAGGAAAGAATCCGTGAATGAACACTTACTCTTTTTTAATCTTACATTAAAACGATGGCGAAGAGGAATCCGCCTACTTCAGAAAGGGGAAGCAGGCAGAAATTGGTGTGTGTAATAAACATAAATGGGTCCAATAAATGAAGGATTTTGGTTGAATTTGGAGGCTGTTCAAAAGAAATTGTTCAGGATACACAAGACTTCTAACCTAGCCCTATGTTTGTGGGGAGATCACACAAACTGGAGGGACTCCAGTGAGTTCCATTTTCAGGCAGGGGATTCTTTGGCCAGACTTGGTCCAGGCTAAGGGGAAGGAGCTCTAGCTATTCACTAGCATCAACTTCTTTTCAGCTGTCCCTCTGCCATTCCAGCTGTCCAGCCAGGACCAAATATACATCTACAGCTCTCTCCGTTAGCCTAAAACCCACACTGGGCACCCTTGTGGTCATTCACCCACATAGCCCTTGTCCTAAAATCTGCCACCATCTGTCACTGGTCCAAGACTGAGTGCTACCCATCTTGCATGTCAGCCCAATTAAATTTTAGAAGAATTTTGAGATGGAGAAGGAAATGTATAGTGGCTTAAAAGAGTGACGGCTTTTTGGAAGTTGCTTGCAGGTTGGCAATGGAATTGGTAGTCCCAGTGGCAATGGATTTGTGGGAAGAACATACAGATGAGGCAGTCAAGAATGCACAACTATCTGACCTGCAAATCATATCACTTCAGAGCTGACTGTGACTTTGACTGTTTTTTTTTTTTAAATGAAAAATGCCGAGTTTGTTGACACTTTTTGCAGGAACATGTCTCAGGTCCAGAATGGAATTTCTAGTCCGCACCAGAGAGACACCCACTCCAGAACAGCCAACAGAATGGTGTTTAGGACACTCACCTGGGTTGTGGGAAACCAGGTTCAAGTTGGGGCAAGTCTGATTCAGTGCAGGGACTTGCAACTGGGTCTCCCACATCCATGTTAAGTGCCCTAACCATGAGGCTCCTGGCTGTTCTGGGTTGGGTGTCACTCTGTTTTTTTGGGAAAAATGTTGAAAGTTCTCTGTTCTGTCCTAATGCACAATGGGAATTTTTTTGAAATCTCAAAACATTTTTGTGGGACATTTTCTCAATGAGCTCTACTTAAGTCTATAATCAATCAGTTACCATCACTTTGTAACTTCTATTAAATGATTCCTTAGGATCACTATCACCTTACAGGAAAAACTTTCAAAACCAGTTCTGTTAGTCCAGTATATCTTCTGTTTTCTCTTTTTTTTAATCAATACAGATATTTGAATGAAATCCAGAATATGTCTCCTGTCTAGAGGCTCCTCTGCTCTTGATGTTCTTTCCCTACCTGAAATACTAATCCTCAGTCTGTAACATCATCTCTTCCACAACAATCAACTGCAATGTCACAAAGAGGGGATTATTTCTTTGTGTGAGGACAAACAGGAGACACATTCTTCAATAAAATCCTGTTTTTATTCCTACCTGTGAAACACAGGGGAGGAGAGTACAGAAGCTATAAAATAAATAAACAGAACTGATTTCTGTTAATTTCTCTAGCTTTATGCCAGTATGATTCCACAGGAATCAATGGCATTACACAGGCAGAAACTGATAAACCAGAGGGGAGAGTTTGTCTCAATGTTTATTCAAAGTCTTCCATAAACATCAAAAATTAGTTGCTCTGGTAATGGTTACGTCAGCAAAAGCACTTTGACTTGAAGCAGTAAGACACAGCAGATGAACACTTCAGAAATAAATCATGTACCAGATTCACTGGCACACTACAGCTACCTTGCACTGGAGATGCAAATCTATTTTAAATAAATAGCTAAGTCAGTGTGGTTTACACTGTCAGGGTGCCACAAAGCAAGTGGAGAGTATGAATGAATCTGGGTCCTAGTTTTCACAAAAATGTCTATTAGTAAGAATGAGGGGAAAATCCAGAAATTATAATAGTTTCAAAACTGAGAGCCAGATTTCTTGGTCCACACACTTTGTGCAAGACAATTGTGACAAGGAAGTGGGGGAGAAGAAGACTTTAAAGCCACTGTGATACTCTCCAATTCTTGGGCTGTCTGGGCAAGGATTGAGTCCACCAATATAAGTTACAGCAGCCCGAAGTCTGCTCTAAGTAATGTCTGGTGGCTCACGGGACCTCAGAGCCATTCTGGTAGCTGGGCATCCTAACACCATAGACCGGTACAGGAAGTGAAGTATGTGTCACAATGGTGGCTCTGTGCATTGTAGGATTCCCCAAGGTTGAGGAGAATTAAAGGATGTTTACAGCTTCTTTGTTCCAGTGGAGCAGCACAAAGCAGACAGACAGCACTACTGAATCAAGCCCAAATGATTTTTAAAGTTTGAGCCATCTGCATCTCTATATCACAGAAATAACAAAAATATATTTGTAATCATACTACAGCTTTTCTGCTGAGACTTTTGCAAAATGTGCTCACTATAAAAAGAAAATACAAATCTAGTAATTGTATTTATGCCACTCTCCTAAAAATATCTTATGATTCTCAATTGAACACTTTAATACTAGTGCTAACGTCTCTCTGCACTTAAACTGCAAGGTGGAATAGCCTCAATATTGAGCTTGACTGACTACAGTGGAGGTATAAATCAGAGGGTTTTTTTGTTTGTTTGTTTGTTCATTTTTTTGGACGAGTTTCTGTACAGTACTATGAGGATATATGCTGCCATAATATTCCATATTTGTTTTGTAATACTCAATCATTGACAATGTGGCCATCTCCCAGATTGGTTGCCCTTCATCAAAATCCTATTTAAGGTCAAAATGTTGAACCCATTACTCATATTTAGATGAGTAATTGTTCACTACTGAGAGCAAGGGGTTGACAGCTTGGCTCCTGCTAAATGAGGCTTTATGCATCTAAATAAGGACCTGTTTCTACAAAAATTATTACTAAGTGAGTAGCTCCAGTGACTTAAAGTTGGATTACTCATGGTAATAACTATTTCTAGGATTAGTCAAAGTAGTTAGTCTCTACAATGGTCATTAATATGAATAGTGAAAGTTGCTTATTCAATACAGCAGTAAATGTATATTTGAAGAGTGTCTGACCTTAAATATCCACATGTAGCTTTAACAATTTGTGTTTGCTAGATTGTATTCTGTATTTTATATGTGTTGAACCAAATCTCTTCTACATTCTAACACACTCTAGACATTTTTGTGCTCCCCTAGTTTAAAAACTGGCTAAGGTGTCCACAGTACAATCAAATGTTCATTTAAAAAGAAGAGGCAGAAAAACCCATATTTGGGGAGGACTAACCTTATTGCCCTGGGAATTGAAATACATTCTAGTAACCCTTGCGTTGCCAGCTTGTCGGAAGCATATCAGCTGCTGTGGCCTTGTCCATTCAAACATTCGAACGCTACCATCTTGGGCTCCTGTGAGATCTGGGGAAAGGGAAATATAGTTGATTTATTAATCAACAGGAAAATATCATAACATTTATTCTGTATTATGTTTTGAAAAACAAATACATTTTTCACTTTCACATTGTTAAACAGAAATTACTTACAATACTGATGGACTGGATGTGAAGCCATTCTCTTGACATTATTCAGATTTCTTTTAATGAGCTTCATATAAAAGAAATATCACATTCAATTTGTGAACTTCAAAGATTAACTACTTTTGAACAAGTTTGGAAAACATAAATGAACTCAGGATATTGTATATATTACTACACAATGAACTGTCTCTTTGTCCTCTACCTATAGATGGTTAATTGTTAACCATACTCTGATCCAATTACTTTTAGTTGCAACACAACAACTAAGGACTGAATTCAGCAAAGGATTCCTAGTCAGGACAGCACTTAAGCATGCACTCAACTTTAGGCATGTCCCACTGAAGGACCCTGTACTTAAATGCTTTTCAGATTTGAGATCTGAAACAAAAGTTACATATTGCCTTTCAATTGGCATTTAAAAAAAAAATCTGTCACGGAGAAAGATAATAATGGTAGGGTATTAATTTAAACCAGGGGTGGCCAGCCTGAGAAGGAGCCAGAATTTACCAATGTACATTGCCAAAGAGCCACAGTAATACATCATCAGCCCCCCATGAGCTTTCCTGCCCCCTCCCACGCACTGGCAGCCGCACCAATCAGTGCCTCCCCCTTCATCCCCGCACCTCCCAATCAGCTGTTTCATGGAATGCAGGAGGTGGGGAGGGGGAAGGAGCGAGGGCACAGCGGGCTCAGGGGACGGAATGGGAGGGGGTGGAGTGGGGGAAGAACCTGTGGCAGAGCCGGGGTTGAGCAATGAGCACCCCCCGACACATTGGAAAGTTGGCGCCAGTAGCCCCAGCCCCAAAGTCGGTGCCTATACAAGGAGCTGCACATTAACTTCTGAAGAGCCGCACGTGGCTCTGAAGCCACAGGTTGGCCACCCCTGATTTAAACAATCAAAATACATGTAGGAATTCAGTAGATTAATCTATTGTGCAAGAAAAAAAAACTTTTGGAGATTTATTTTCTAAGAAGTGTGGGAACATAATTTATACTATTCATTGATTGATGAAACAAGTAAGTTATAGGCATGCCAACCCAAAATTATTAATGTAAGAGAATATTTAATTAGTTTGGCATTATTTTGCCAGCTGATGATTATCCTATGACCATCCAATGAAATAAAATGAAAGCGTGCTTCTGAGTGTAGATCTTTCTATTAACTAACTATATAAATAGCGAACAAAACAAACTGCATACCACACCAGCTCCAGTGCTAGTTTGTCCGCTACCTAACCATGGCATCGGTGAAGACGGCTGCATCTGATTCACTCCAAATGATGGTGCACTTGACTGAGTGAGTGTTGTGGTAGAACCACGGAAGTCAAGGTCATCTGAACTGTAAAAAAAAAAGTATATACCAGTGTAACACTTTATTACTGTTACATTTTGCTGTTCATCTTTTTTTTTTTAAGTAATAGTGGCTGTGACAGATTGCAACTGCATGCTATATCTTCAGAGATCATATCATATTATATTAAGTTTACAAATGGTTTATGTATCGTTGTGGGCCAGGGACTGTATGCAACTCCAGAGGGGAGGGCTACCACAGTGCCTCTAGGTGGTGGTGGGGAGGGGGGATGGTAATTAATCATTCAGGTTGTAAACTCCTCCAGAGAGGCTTGCATATACTGGTTCAAATGGGATTTTCAGAGACCAGCAGTCAAAGTCTTTTGGTGTAAAAAGATTGAGTTTAAATTGTCATGGGGCCTTCATTTTGATTCAGCAAATGGACAGACCTTCTGTCCAATGGGGGCCCCAAACCCATGTGGAAGGATTGGAAGGACTTCAGCTTACTAAGACCCCCAAAGCCTGATGGGTGACTTGGTAAGCATTTAGCACGCGTATAGGAACTTATTGTGTTTAGATGTTTTCTCTGTAACGCTTTTACCCTAAAAATAAATGTATTTTGCTTTAAGGGTGGTTGGTAATTGGTGTACACCATTGTAGCCCCTAGAAAAAAGTTAACCACAGATGCTGGACCCTAGTCAGACCTGCTGGGGAAATCACAAGGGACTGCAAGCCTAAATATTCTGTTTGCAGGGGGAAAGATGTAGGTCACCACTACGTGGAGCTGTGACAGATGGGACCCTGAAATGGGTGGGTGAAAGTGGGTGCCCTCCAGGAAAACCAAGAGCGGGGAAAGTCCAAAGGTGCAGTTAATCTTGACACTGTGACAGGCCTGCTGACAGCAATTCCAGGCCTCAGGGCCAGCGCTGTCTCTACAGGGATGCAGGACCTGAGGCGGAAGTGACACATCTGTCACTTCTGGGACTGACTGTGCTGGCCAATCACACCAGCCCTCGGGGGCCCCCCAAAGTGCGGGACCCAGAGCAGTAGCGCGCACCTAGAAGCCCTGCGGCCTGCCTGGGCTATTTAAAAGGGCCCAGGGCTTCCGGCCACCATGGGCCCCTGGGCCTTTTTAAATTGCCTGCCCCCTTTGCCCCTGTCAGTGGGCCTGCTTTGAACAAACTGTGTGACCTTGGGCAAGTCACTCAAAACTTTGTGCCTCCATTTCCCCATCTATAAAATGAGGATAATGGTACTTAGCTGCCTTTAAAGTGCTTTGAGATCTATGGAAGAAGTGTGTATGTTTTATTATTGACAACAACAAAAATGTGAACTATCTGCACTTGTGTCTATACTGTTAAAGTAAAAAGTTACCTTAAATATAATTGCGAAGAAAGAAAAACTAACCTTTTAGATTCTCTGTCATATTCTTCCCCAATCCATATAAATGACTGAGCAGCCAACAGAGCTGAAACATCAAGTTCTTGCACATCATGTGTAGATGCTAAAACAATTTCACTACTGTTTGCCTGCAGAGTACAAACAGATAACATACACTAATTTTAATTAAGAACTTAGAGCAACACAAACACAGTGATTTAATAACACAGTTAGTAGTAATGTTATTGACTTTTACCTTATTAACTGCAAATGCCATTATCATATCAGATTCTTTGTGAATTATTTTTGCTTTTCCCCCTGGGTAGCCGAGATCTGCTTCAACCTACAAAACATTGACAGGTAATTTTAACTGGTGTATAAACAATGTTTTGTAGTGGTATGGACACACCGCAAAATCTATAGAAATTCATGCAAGAAAAGTTCAGTGGCCTCAGCATTGGTTAGGAAGCTAAACTTCAGACTTTTTGCACTCACTGGTGTTCTAAAAGCCAAAAATTGTATATTTTAAAGTTTAAAAACCCCCCACAAGTTGTGTGAGTAACACAATTTACAAGGGGTTCACTTATCCCAATCATAGGACATCCAAAGTTAATGCACGGATTAAGAGTCTGCCACACAGAGACTACATAGAACATTTAGCTTCTGTCAGTCATATTAGAAAAGAACAGCCAGTCCCACAGAACTTTTAAGAATGTGCTAAAGGTTTGGGAGAAGGGATACTACCTTGTTTTTGTGATCTTCTGCTACGCAGTTTTGTTTGACCTGCTCCACACGATCTTCTACAGACTACATAACACCACACAGTCACAAACACAAAACACATGCACAAACAAATATAAAAAAAGAATGAAACATTCCAAACTAGCTTTAAAAGGCCACCCCTCTCAGTAAATGATGACAAATGTGTTTGTAATTTTTTATAAAAGGCACAGAAACTAAGACAGGAATCTAAACAAACTCACTTAATGTAATGCCTCTTAGATGAACACAAAATGTATGGTATAAAAAGTACTTATCCCACAATTTTATTAGACTTGCAAATAAATTTATATCCTTTTTCTTTTAAAAAATGTATGACAATAAATAAAAGGAGGAGCAACACACACACAAACTTCATACTTACAGGAAGTTTTAAGACAGTAAGTAGTACACTTGTTTCCAGTTTGTTACACATCAAAGTTTAAATTTAATTGCAACTAATTTCAGTTGTAATTATGATAGTCATAAAAATCAATATTATATATCACTATATAATATTATGTATATGTATATATTACACATGCATATATACATATATTGAAATGAGAAATTATTTTGTTTAATTATATTATATATGACAAGCCACAGAGATTCAACAATACTCAATTAATTTATTACTGTTATCCTATAGCAAAATAAAATGTTTTTAAATATATATACTGCATTGTAAACTCAGCTATGCCTTGTCCAAGAATATACATTTTTAGTTGATTTGTACTTTTAAAATCACCATGATAGCATGCTGTTTATTAAACATTGCTGAAGTGAAAAACAGGAAACTGAAATGCCAACCAAAATGAAAATATTAAAACAAAAATTAGAATGGAGACACTTAAAGATTAAGGAAATGTAAAAAAGCCTTTGAATTATTAGTTTTGTTTACCTCACTTTGCTTTCTTTTCTTAGTGAATATATATCTTATGAAGGTCTCCTGAAGAAGTTCTTGTTTCACAAGAAAATGCCATAGTCTTTTAACTGGAAGTGATGAATAATCCCTTGATCTGAAAGAAAAAAATGTTTTTGGTTTTTTTTAAATATAATTTTCAATATAAAATTCATCATGGTCATAATATAATTAAATGTGGACAAAAACGTGAAGAGACTCCAAACCATTTTAGATGCAATTCAGTGTGAAACAAAATGACGGATTTGTATGCTCTGTGTTCTATCCAAGACAAGTCATAAGGAATAAAAACTTTCCTGGACTTCCTCTGTGATACCACATTACACAGAGCTACTGAATTCAAAGGGATTGTGGGCCAGAACTTGTTTCCTTGATTCACATACATTAATATATTTACACTGTGGTGAAGTTACTCTCATATTACAATTGTGGCACCAGGATGACACAAATAAATCATGTAAAATGCTTTTACATATTTCTTCTAATATTCAAAAGGTGTTTGGCAATTCTCCAAAATGGGCCATATTTTTGGAGTGTAATGTACGCGCCCTCCTCACGTGCACACACATCATATATCATTTGAAGCCTTATTTTATATACATTTAAATGAGGTACGATGTGGAGCTGTCAAATTCTGCTGCAAGACTGTAAATAAGCCTGTGAAACAACAGTATTCAAAATGAGTGTGTCCTTTTTTGCAGTTCCATAAACACTGCAAATTACTATGACTACAGTTTTTACTATTTAAGTTAAACACTTTAATGTGGTGTTTACTGGTCAAAGCTATCAAATGGCAATGTAAGATTTTTATTGGTTTTTCATGAGCAAGTATTTTTTTCAAAAATGATGGAGCTATTTAGCATGTGACAAATGGCAAATATCATTTGCAATATACTAAAATGAAATGTTTTCATATTGCATATTCTTAATTATCAAAGTATCTCATAAGTGACTGTAATAGATATAAATAAGTATACGTGGATTCTTAATGTTTTTTTCATTTGTATGTTTTTGAATATATAATGTAGCATCTAATCTGCCTGGTAGAAGGTTTTAATTTGTAATTGCCTATGCATACAGTACTAGCCTTGGCTATATTCTAAAAACTAGCTTTTTAATTCAGTGACCCTATGCACAAGTCAGTATTAGAGATGGCAGTACACAGCTTCATATTGGGGGTTCAAGCAATCAAAATGCTCACTAAACAAAAATAGTATTAAAATTGCCAACGTATAGATCTAATTCATATCTATTTTAGCACACGTCTATACACTTGTATAAACTAAAAAATAATGATGGTGGTGGAAATGCTAACAATATACGTTGGGAATTTTACCATTACCACTAAAGTTACAGTATGTGGGAGGATACAAGCCCTTAAAGCTTACATCGAAGAGACAGACTCGACACAAACACGTTTTTCATAGTTTGGGAAAAGAAAATCAAAAGAACACAAAACTGTTAAACTACCAGTGCTGGACAGAATTCTGTGGTGTTTGCAGCAGAAGCCAGGAGAGATTAATTATATTGGCAGCTACTAGATGAGTTTTCTATTTTAGAAGAGGTGCCACCAATACTCTATCACAGGAATTGCTTCCAGAAATACACAAGTTGAATTTGGGACATGTCAGAGTTGTATAGAACCCAGGAAAGAAAACACTCTGAATCTGATCAAAGTGCATCATGTTCACCTGCTTCTATAGCTACCAGAGGAAGCACATCTTCTAGAGACTGGTCCCACTGATATTGTTTGCTTGAGAAAAACATAAGGAAGACTAGAAACTTCATAAAATAGAAACATTTGAGAGAGCAACCAATCTAAAGGGGGCAGCACTTCAAGGAGGAGATGATGACACGTTGCGCAGAATATTTGTGAAAAACTTCATCTTTAGGTATGTTGAATGATAGACTTGATTGCTTTCTTCCTACTTGAGTAAAATGAATTTTAAAGAAAAACCACCTTGTTACACTGCAACAGTCACCTTATGAAATTGCATTTTATCAGCTGGTTGAAGAGACAGACAACAATCTAATGCAAAGATATAAAGTCCTACTTACCTCAGATGTGGAAACTGTAAACTATTCCAGGCAAGATTAGAAAAACACTATGATTCTGCAATTTCATTCCATGCGCAGTATGGACAAGGCAAGCCTACCATTGTTCTATGCAGTGCAATAATAGCTAATGCTATCCAAACTGCAAGTAATCTGTAGTAGGAGTTAAGTCACCTATAAATGTTTTTTGGATCTACTTCTCTTGAGTGAGCCTGTTTAACTGCTTTCAAATGAACAAGTGATTTTGTATAATGCCACTTCAATCAATTTGCCAAAATAAAAGCCTCAGATTATTATTCAAAGCAAGGTGATTGTAGTTTACAGAGGTCAACTACTTTTGTGCCCTAAATGGGGCAGGAGTTTGTCCTTTCCTTGATACATAAAGAAGCATACAATTCAGCCAGCAATGAGAATCCTCATTCAGAACAGATTCAAAGAAGGTGCCTCTCAACTGTGGAGTGAAGAGTATTAAACAGTTCCAAAATGATCATACCACCACACACAAGCTTTGCTGCACAGCTATACCTTGATTTTGTGTGTCTCAATTTAATTGACATACTACACTTTCATGGATTCTGCATCAATTTTGATGAGCTGAGGGGATTCATCACTAGTGCTGCAAAACCTGAAGTAGAAAGACTCCAGCGAGGTATGTTCATTCCAGTTTTGAAGAGCATCTTGGCAAACAAAGATTTGGATGCCTTCACTCATAGGCAAACAGGATATTGGATCACTATTGTAATATGGATGTAAAACTGTGCATGATGAACTACTTGCTTTAATTTTATAGGGTGCCTAGTGTCATCTGAACTTCTACAAGACCTTATTTGTGCCTTTACCAGTAGAGATCACTGAACAATGCATCCGATGAAGTGAGCTGTAGCTCACGAAAGCTTATGTTCAAATAAATTGGTTAGTCTCTAAGGTGCCACAAGTACTCCTTTTCTATTTGCGAATACAGACTAACATGGCTACTACTCTGAAACCTGAACAATCAATCAACTGTCTGTAGTCAGAACTATCTTCCCTGCACAGAATTGTGTGCGCACCAAGGCAATGAAGACTGGTAACCCACACGCTCTCGACAAATATCATAATGATGAACAAGACTATAACGATGTTGACTAGAATGTCATCAGTGCTACTACATTTTAGTGATTTTTTTTGTTGTGATGCTTTCAGGTCACAAAGAAATACAATATTATGTCTTGAAATACGCAGAAATGTATGCATTTCCTAGTGGTCACTTTATCGTGTTGATGGTATCACTGTTTATCCCCTTTGCTATGGTAGTGGCACCACTTGACAGTTCCACATCAAACTTTGTCTTAAAGTACACATAATAAGCCTTCAAATGAGCATGTGTGTAGAGAAGGTACATTAAGTCAACCAAATCGGTGGGTCCACTGCTGGCCTATAAGGGTTTAATCAGATCACCTAAGAACCAAAATGAAATCCGAAGCTTCACATTTTTGAATAAGTGGCCCTTAATGCATGTTTGTAACAGTAGAAAGGAAATTGTGAACAAAAATCTGTAGCAGTATCAACTACACAATTGTTCTATTAAATAGTGCATGAAAAAGCAGAAATAAATAAAGTATGTGTAGAATAAAAATGCAAGTAAAACAGTGGGAAGAAGTTATCCAAAGATTAATAAAAGGACTTAAGCACCTGAATACCACTGTATTTGTAACAGTATTTGTAACAATTAAACATAATCATCAGTAAAGATAGGCACCGTATTATGCTGCATTCATTAAGGTACAACTGTAAAGCCACTGTAGATTAGGTTTTATTTGGCTTAGCCAACTCAGTTTTCTTTTAACTAAAAAAATCCACTAGATAGTTGACTGTTTCTGCACAAAAGGTGCATATATCAAGTTATAATAAAGTCTGGATAGCAGTTTATTGAAAGCTTTTCTTACTTGAATGGTGTGTTTTCAGGTTCAAGCATTGCTTTGTTGCGGAGAACAGCTGATCCAGCTCCCACTCCAATGTCACTGGGATAGGTATTGATGTAGTTCGGTGGTGGGCCTTCAAACTGATCCACTCTCTCTTGAAGGATCTGTTCCCAGTTTTCCAAATTTTTAATCACAGCTATACCCAATGGTGATGTCACAGGCAGATCTAAAGTGAACACAAAGGTTTAGTACCAATATAAAACCCCTATACTATTAATAGCAATAAATGAATCCTGCAGTAAAATGCAGACACAATATTATGATTTTTTTTTTTAAGAATATAGCAGCCCAGGGCAGAATTTATTCAGATATGAAAAACTACTAAGTAAAACTAAAAACAAACAAAAAAAATTCACAACCATAATCTGACATAGTATTCTACTGCTTACGTTTAATAAGCATAGGGAAGATGTGTGCGCTTCCACAGAACTTACAGAAAAAGATAAAAAAATATTGGATGAGTGCATTTAAAAAACCTGAAATAAAACACAATTCCATCTGTTACCAATTGTGCAAAACAACTTTTCATATATAAATGCCAATACTTTACTAACTCACATATAGAGCAAAGTAAAATAGACGTCAGAATTTAACTCACCAAAGAATTCCAAACCAGCAATGGGAAAAAAGTTCTTTATGTTGTACAGAGCTAGTTTTACTATCACCAAATGTATGAGAGACCAGCTGTAGAAAAAGAACAGTTTCCATTTTGTAAAGTACAATTTAAATTCAGTTATCTGCAGGACACAGTTTAGCTTCTCTCACCAAACCATGCAGATATATGAGAAAGGTATTTATAACAGATCACAGAAGATTAGGTTTGGAAGAGACCTCAGGAGGTCATCTAGTCCAACCACCTGCTAAAATAATGAATAGTGCTTACTGAGTGAGTTTTCCATACTGCAATGCAAGGTAAGATCCTTATCTTAAACATGTTAAGTCTCTCTCCTTGGAGCCCAGAAGATTCCCCTCCCTCTTTTCCAAACCCCAGATCATCATCCTCTTCCCTCTAGCAGAGGGCACCTGGACATAGATCCCTGGGTGTGAAAGAGGGAAGCATATGTAAAGTCAGGAATCAAATATTAATCTCATGGCAATGCCAATGAAAGTCCACATTACAAAACTTTCCACAACATCAAAATGAATCCATCAAAATGAATGAAAAGGAATCATTGTTATGATATAAATCAAAGATTTTTTTTCCCACTCTCATAGTACAATGAAATAGTTCCATTTATAGTCTACTGGATTTGAAAAGACATGATACAATGTAGGTGGAAGACCTTTTATTTTCATCCACCTTCATAATGGATGTGACTCATTAATTTATGCCATCCTATGCTTGTGACATTTTTTTAAAGTGTTCTTTCTAATCCACATAAAAAAGGAAATTAACACAGAAAATTCAAATTACACTTAAAATTGGTCTCTACTCTGAAAAGTAACGCTAAACCTGGCATCAAGGGATGTTCATTGTGTCTCAATGACTGAAATACAATTTGCTCAGTTTATTTGCTCAGGTGAATGCAAAAGGGAAAAAAAACCTAGCTGCTATACTTGCAAACTCAATCGGAACTTAAAGTCAAGGTGAATTATTTCCTTTTTGCACATCAGTGTCAGTAATTTAAGATTATTCAGGCAAGTTTCTTATCTCAGTAATGCCTCTGCAAACCCATAGCTGTTAAATAAATAGATACTGTAAAATATACCTCACAGCAGAAAAGAGGCCTAATGATATCATCTTTCGCTTTGGACGAAAAGCTGAACACAAAACACGTTCATAAGTAAGTTTGTTTTTTAACTATGGTATAGTTTCCACTAACCTGTAAGAATTGGCATTTTTGTGTTCCTGGATCTGTGTGTCAGAAAGGAAAGCACCATCATCGTCCTCTTCATCACTGTGAATGCTTTCATCAGAATCATATATAACACCACTATCTGATAAAGGAAGAAATGGCTGCAATGTAAGACAAAAACCTGTTATAATAACTCTTCAGAGTCGTCAATATTTTAAACATTTAAGATGTCACTTAAATAACTTAGTAGTGAAACAGAGCAGCTTGATATGTAAATCTATTAATATACCTAAATTGCAAGTTAGATGTTCCCTTCAAAAATAAGAGTGTAGCAAGGATCAAAATGCTTATTTCCACTATTTTTTGCTTGGCAGAAGAGTGCTGGATTGATATTTTGGAAGTTATATAGCAGATATGTAACTGTTTCATCTTTTCTGGGGGGAAAGCAACCTGCAAACTTTTTTTTTTTTTTTACAGGTTGTGAGGCACATTAATGAAAACACTTCTTGAAATTTTATTTTTGTCCTTTAGAACAGGAAAAAAAGTGCATGTGTTCTGTACAAAGTATTTAATTTTATATTTTCAAATTTTAAAAGTCAGCGTTCTTGTGATATCACTATGTTCAACCCAGAATGCCCTACCTTTGCCATAAAATAGTCCCACATGCTGAGTTCTGGAGGAATGAATTTTTCTTTGTAAGAAGGCCTTTCTGCAGGCACAGGTGGAGGTACAACACTATCTTTTACTGGTCTCCCTGGTACAAGCATTCTCATATTAAATCGACGACGATGCTTATCCATTTCTTCTGAAGGAACGGGAGGTGCTAAATTGAAAGAATTTAGATAGCTAAAACCATAGTAAGAAACAAATGCTATCCATAATTTATTTTTAGAAATGGATTAATTTTAGAATTTAAATGAAGTCACCAAAACCATGAATTTTGGTTAAGGTGTTTGGATAACAAAATCTGGTAGGTTTAAAACAAATTCAAAGCTAAACTACATTTCAGGTACTATTCCTTAAGTGTGTCTGTAAATAAAGTAAGTGTAATCCTATAAATAGTCCAACTACAATAAATCCAAGTAGAGTTACTATTCTTTTGCCACATGCATTAGGAAAACAAATTGTAATCTCTTTTAAAACCTGTAGCTCCTGAAAACTTATAAGTTTTAGACCAATTCCTGCTTGAAACCATATTGAGAATGTTTTCTCCTTTAGAAAAATCCATGTTTTTGTTTGACATTTTCAGAAATGTAAACAAGGAAATCCAGACGATTTACCCTGGCATTTTAGGAAAATCTATGGATGAGGACTGATTTTAACATTTTTTTAATGTAATCAAACACAATATGAATGTGGACTTTGAAAATGAGCTGTTTTGGATAGGCATAACTGAAGATTTACACTTACTTTATTATAAAGATAGCGATTTAAAAACACTCTCCTCTTTTAAAGCACACTAACATCCATCTACACTGCAAATCTTTACAAACCTTCATTACTGTCCTTTGAAACATCAGAAACTGCAGCAGCAGCTAGTAGGTTTAAAGAAAACAGAATCTATCTTGAATGAAAGCCTTTGACTATACAACTAGGAATATTTTTCTAGCTATTGCAAAAGTTAAGCAGTATAAATAAGATCATTACCGCATTTCCCTACCCAACATAGACTTTTTATTATTTAATCCAATAAAAAAATCAATTTAAAATATGTAATCACTGCAAAACTTGAGTTACTAGCAAGCTTCAAAAACTAGTAGAGAATAAAAATACTGATCAGAAAAGTTTCACCCAAAATGTCTGAATTCAAATTACTTTTCAGAGTTACTTCTTCCACAATTTAATAGTAAATATGAAACTCAGTTACAAAGGAAAGACAATCCCAGTTGTTTTTAAAATTCATGCCTTATGTCAACATTTTTTTTAAACATTTCTACTGGAAAATACACAGCAATCCGCATATAAGCTGCTCACCAACCTTCTGGGGTAAATATTCTTTGTCACAGCCAGCAGCAGCTGCAGTGCTATTTGGCAAGGTTATTTGGTGTGATGAGTAGCACCCACTTGTTAACAGTATTTTATTTTCTGTCTTGCTGTCTGAGCATTTTGTTTTACCAGAATTAGGTAGAGTAGGAGACTGATTATTCACTGACTGTTCCAGTGTAGTTTTAGAAAGAGAATGATTTTCAAGGAAAAGTGCATCTACTTGGGAGGATAATTACAAGTATGTATCCAAAGTGGCAGCCAAAGTCCACCATCAAAAGTGATCACCTTTAGAGTTCCAGTAGAGTCTAGCTCCAACTCTAGTAGTTCTTGTTATATTTTACCAATAGTAAAATATCTACCAGTTGACAGGTGAAATTTTAAGTTACATGGTTGTTTTCCATGATTTATTAAGAGCCTAACTTGTGCAATATAAAACATTTTTAAAATTCAACTACAAAAGCTTCAAAACTGAGGTTCTACCTTAATTAGTTAAGACTCTTCTTTTAAACAAACCCGTTTAATTCAGTACAGAATATAAATAAAAATAAAATGTGTAGACTGCTTGCCAATATCCTCAGACTGGGTTTATTTGCCATATGTGTCCATTGTGCCATTAAAATTTTATAAAGCTAGATTTAACGTTTATATAATTTATATCAGAGCAGTTTTAAAATTTATGTCACACACATAAAATGACTTCCTGCTTAATTCAACTTCACTTAAATATATTTTTCATTCCTTTAATTTTCTCAAAATGAATTAGCAATTAATTAAAAGCTGGAGAAGAGTTTAGATGAGTAAGGGGCAGTGTTTGCCAAAATAAAACTAATGATATTTCCCCAATGACTAGCTGAGACACACAACCACAAATTCATCAGAATGGTATGCATACTGTAGCATGTATTACCTCATACCTGGGACTCATATCTACAATCTACTTAAACTGTATGATCTTTGAGGTAGGTACTGACTTTTCATGATAATTATGTGCAGTGTTTAGCACAATGTGGCCCCATGGTATTTCCACAACACAGATAATAATAACTATCTTTTAGTGCTCCAACAAATGGAAACTATCCATGTTACAGCTCAGAGTACTCAGAACCTTTATGAACGACAAATTATGTGTTCTCTTCTTGTTCAAAAATCAGATCAAGTGTCTGCTTCTGAATCCATCACGCATGCAGGGCAGAGGCTGGGGATGGGGGAGCTAGAGGATCCACTGCACAAGGACAAAGGTGGTGTCTGAGTTAATGCTAAAAGAGTGCATCTGCCATTTGTCACAAAACCAGTATCTCATACTCTATACAAGGATTTTGGACACTCCAAAAAGCAAAAGCGCTATGTAGAATAAAATTATATTCTACAGCTGAGAACTGCTTCATTCATGAGCATAAATAATTCCTTATTTGGCTTATTCTTGCTTAGCTCTAAATGAAGGAAAATTGGATGACTGTTTCAGTATGACAGGTTTCAGAGTAACAGCCGTGTTAGTCTGTATTCGCAAAAAGAAAAGGAGTACTTGTGGCACCTTAGAGACTAACCAATTTATTTGAGCATGAGCTTTCGTGAGCTACAGCTCACTTCATCGGATGCATACCGTGGAAACTGCAGCAGACTTTATATACACACAGAGAATATGAAACAATACCTCCTCCCACCTACTCTACTTGCGCTATATTGATGACATCTTCATCATCTGGACCCATGGAAAAGAAGCCTTTGAGGAATTCCACCATGATTTCAACAATTTCCATCCCACCATCAACCTCAGCCTGGTCCAGTCCACACAAGAGATCCACTTCCTGGACACTACAGTGCTAATAAACAATGGTCACATAAACACCACCCTATACCGGAAAGCTACTGACCGCTATTCCTACCTGCATGCCTCCAGCTTTCACCCTGACCACACCACACGATCCATCGTCTACAGCCAAGCTCTGCGATACAACCGCATTTGCTCCAACCCCTCAGACAGAGACAAACACCTACAAGATCTCTGTCAAGCTTTCTTACAACTACAATACCCACCTGCAGAAGTAAAGAAACAGATTGATAGAGCCAGAAGAGTTCCCAGAAGTTACCTACTACAGGACAGGCCTAACAAAGAAAATAACAGAACGCCACTAGCGGTCACCTTCAGCCCCCAACTAAAACCCCTCCAACGCATTATTAAGGATCTACAACCTATCCTAAAGGATGACCCAACACTCTCACAAGTCTTGGGAGACAGGCCAGTCCTTGCCTACAGACAGCCCCGCAACCTGAAGCAAATACTCACCAACAACCACATACCACACAACAGAACCACTAACCCAGGAACTTATCCTTGCAACAAAGCCTGTTGCCAACTGTGCCCACATATCTATTCAGGGGACACCATCACAGGGCCTAATAACATCAGCCACACTATCAGAGGCTCGTTCACCTGCGCATCCACCAACGTGATATATGCCATCATGTGCCAGCAATGCCCCTCTGCCATTTACATTGGTCAAACTGGACAGTCTCTACGTAAAAGAATAAATGGACACAAATCAGATGTGAAGAATTATAACATTCATAAACCAGTCGGAGAACACTTCAATCTCTCTGGTCACGCAATCACAGACATGAAGGTCGCTATCTTAAAACAAAAAAACTTCAAATCCAGACTCCAGCGAGAAACTGCTGAATTGGAATTCATTTGCAAATTGGATACTATTAATTTAGGCTTAAATAGAGACTGGGAGTGGCTAAGTCATTATGCAAGGTAGCCTATTTCCCCTTGTTTTTTCCTACCCTCCCCCCCCCCCCGATGTTCTGGTTTAACTTGGATTTAAACTTGGAGAGTGGTCAGTTTGGATGAGCTATTACCAGCAGGAGAGTGAGTTTGTGTGTGCATGGGGGTGGGGGAGTGAGAGAACCTGGATTTGTGCAGGAAATGGCCCAACTTGATTATCATGCACATTGTGTAGAGAGTTGTCACTTTGGATGGGCTATCACCTGCAGGAGAGTGAATTTGTGTGGGGGGGTGGAGGGTGAGAAAACCTGGATTTGTGCTGGAAATGGCCCAACTTGATGATCACTTTAGATAAGCTATTACCAGCAGGACAGTGGGGTGGGAGGAGGTATTGTTTCATATTCTCTGTGTGTATATAAAGTCTGCTGCAGTTTCCACGGTATGCATCCGATGAAGTGAGCTGTAGCTCACGAAAGCTCATGCTCAAATAAATTGGTTAGTCTCTAAGGTGCCACAAGTACTCCTTTTCTTGTTTCAGTATGTTCAGTTTTAAATCAATGATCAGGTGTCCTTACTTAAGCCAAGCAGACACTCAAACCTCATATGTAATAGCTAGAAAACTAAACAGACTAGGACACACACCTGATGACCAGTAATGATGGTAAACAGAGCTGCAGATACTGGCGAGCCTTTAATATGCTCTGGACTAGCAGTGATAACTGGCTGAAAACCATTAGCCACCAATGACTTTTCCCTAGAAGGCTGTATTAGGAGTCCTGTAAGTTTATAGATAAAATCAGCTAGAAGAGTTAAAATTAAGTTTTGGGAGATCTGAAACCCTGTCTCATCAAACTTACCATTTTTCATGCAGACAAAAGGATAACAAATATGCCAGAGAGCAGTAAAGAGTTTAGACTTTACTATGCCAATTGCTCAACTGCTTTTTTCATTAAGTCAATAACTCTAATATTTGTATCATATTTAACGACCCACAATGTGCTATGTGGAATATATGAAGACAATGCCGACCTCTAAGAGCTAACCATCTTTTTTCCCCCCTCTTCTAAATTAAATAATCTTGGCTAAAAGTTGTATTCTTGCCAATCCATACTGATCAAGAATTCTAAGATTCCCATTAATTCCTTCAGTATGATTATGCAAGTCCTAAAAATACCTTTACCCTGGGAGGAGGTTAAGAACTGATGATATCAGACACATACTATCAAACATGATGAATTTAAAAGTTTATTTTTAAACAATATTCCTGAACCTAAAAGAAGGAAATTAAATTCTTCTCTTTCCCCAAAATTATACAAATGCACATTATTGGTCTGAAATTGAATCAACACAAAAAGTACCTGGAATATTTTCAGATTGTCTTCGGGGTTTCACAACAAGTTTCACTCCTCCCCCAAAGACAGCAGCCCACATTCGACCGTTCAGGGGATGGGCTGCTAGCCGAAACAATTCATTGCAAGAATTAGTAGCAAGGGCATGTATCAGGAGACTTAGGTAAACAGCTACAACGGCTTCACAGAGTAAAATGTTTAACTTTGGTTGGTCCTCATCCTGGGCTGAATTTAAGAGATTTATAAGTGAGCTCACACCTGCAAGAATAAAAAAGAAAAGATGTAACTTTAAGAAGTTTGCAGAAGTACGAAAAGCATTTTTCTTATATTCATTTCATAAACAAAGAATTCTATGAGTGGCCATTTAGTACTTTGATCTAAATTAAGTTTATTACCCTTATTTCTGAATAGATTATAAAATTTGTTTCTTGATGATTTTCCTTTCCAAGACAGACCTTTTCCTGAAAGCATTCTCTGTCTCAGGTGTGTGGCTGAATGGGTCTTGCTCAGATGTTCAGGATGTGAGGTCAGGAAGAAATCTTCTCCCAGGTCAGTGTGGCATTGACCCTGGGTTTTTTTCATCTTCCTCTGTAGCATGTGTCTGTGGGTCACTTGCCAGGATTATCTGTGTATATCTCACTTAAGCATATCTCTGCTATTGCAGGGGCCTTGGGCACTGGTGCATCCCGGTCCCTCCTCTCTGCTTGTGGCAGATAATGATCTAATCTCCAGTGGGCTGTAATACTTTGATCTAATTTAATTTTTTGGGTTTAGTGTGTGCGTGCTGGATGGTGTTGGTGGCCTGTGATATACAAGAGGTCAGACTAGATGGATCTGGTGGTCCCTTCTGGCCTTAAACGCTCTGGCACTCTAACGCCATCTGAGACTTTTTTGCAACTGTACCTCTTTTCCTGCAGTTACTACAGGCAGTTCAGATTTATCCATGAGGCTCTAGGAGTAGGTCTCATCTCCTTTACTCTTGCACCATATGAGTATTTCCAAAATTGTATGTAAACACCAAATTCTTATTAATTATAATGCCTTGTGCAACTTTACAAAATACATACCTAAAACCTGAGGCGGCCATGGCCAAAATACTTGAAGAACTTCTCTTGGATGGGATAGATTAGGGGAATGGTCATTCCCAGAAAAGAAATAATCAGGTAATCAAGTGTACATTCTGGATCCTGATCTTTCTCTCATTAAAGATATCTGGGGCACGGTGAGTATCTCTCTGTTCGAATAGGTGAGCCATAAGTTAAATGCTAATGGAGTTCACCCAAGATTTAAAAAGAAGCAAGAATGCAAAATAGATTTTTCTATAAGGGAAGCATATCTGATAATATCTGCATCTTCAGCTGACTAATGTATGCTATCAATATTCTTGTTGGCTTGAACATTAAGCCCGGTGCGCATTTGTAGATGTCACTGCATGTTCTGAGTCACAAGAAAAAAATCAAGAAATTAAGTGAGAAACAGATTGTGTGGGGACATCTGAAAAAGTGTTCTTGGCATGCTGTTGTGAAAAATAACTTAGTTTTTTCTCACCAGGCCATTGAGCAGGAGTTGAATTTGGTGTTGCATGTTCTTCAATGCTTTCTGTCCTCAGCCTGCGTCGATCACTCAAAAGCAGTCCTTGATAAACCATTCCTGTAAACTGATTTGTTTCCGTTTGACTGCTAAACACAAATCAATTTTTTCTAATGAGAAAGGATTTTAGAATATTCTTGTAATGAAGTATAGTATATATGGCAAGTTATTTTCATTTGAGTCTTTAATTTTTCAGAAAATACATTTGAAATTCTGTATAGCATGTAGGAGCGGTTTTAGAAGAGTAAAGTCATTATATTTTTACAATGTAAAAAAATAGTTAACTTTTAGTGCTAAAAATCTTAGTCTGCATGCAATGTTTTACATTCCAGTCTGTCTGTTTTTGGGCAAGAGAAAAAGATTCACTTTCAAAGATTTTAGTAATCAGAAAATGTGTTGTGAAAATTGCAAAATGCCCTCACATCTGTAGGTGTATTTATTCTCTAATCTTTTCAGAGATGGCCATATAACTATCTATCTGAAACTTGCTCATCTGTCAGGTACAAGAAGAACTTGCTCCTATATATCAATGTGTCCACTGTGGAAAATTGCCTTTTTAATGTTTTCCTTCTAATAGAGCCTCAATCATAGATTGAGTAACTAGAGATTTTTATTTTTTATTCTGTGCCATAAAATCTACTAAACAATTTTTGGTATTAAATTTAATTCATGTAGAACTGTCTGGGCAAATGGAAGGCACCCATATAGTTTTTGAAAATGTTACGAGAACATAACTGTAGCTTCATTCACATCACAATTTCTTCATAGTGCATTAATTGCACTATATACATGAGTGCACATTGAACTTAGGCCTGGCTGTGTATGCACACAAGTATACATGTGCTTATTTCAAAATGTTAGTTCTTTATGCATTTATTTACAAATGTGAAAGTTTACTCTTACATGAAAACCAAACATACATTTTAAACGTAACTGTAAGAAGAGCTCAATTTTTACCTGTAGCTGTGGCTGTCACATAAAGCTTGGTAAATAGACGCAGAAAGTGAAGCTGCTAATGAATGAAGTGTATGCACCTAAAAAAAACCAGCCAATATTAAATTTTATATGAAAAGTTGTAGGAAATTGCAATTTTTTCTTAAAATCACAGTGAACTAATTGAGACTGACTAATGAGAAAATCTGAATGTTAAACACAAATGTTGAGTTAACTAGTTATATGTCACATGAAGAAAGGAATTGTTAGTTGTGATTTTATTTTATTCATTCTCCCCAACGTGCCTAAGACTGATGTTGTAATTAAATAAATGTCAAAATAATTTAGATTACACTGAAATAGAATTACCACCATCAGTGAGTGCAAAGTAAATAACTGCAATTTTCTGTTATGCAATATCCTGACCATTCTGATTGGTTCTAGGCTTCTGATCTATATCAATGATATACAGTTATTTCTCAATATCTGTAAAATAAATCCCTATACTCTGACTGGCTAGTAATAGCCGTTAGCCAAGAGTACAAAGAGCTGTATAATCACTGTATGGTTATTTTGCAATTCTGCAATAACTGTACTGTGTGTATATGTACATCTGTACTCTCACAACTACAATCACCCTTCTCTAACAGTTTTCTCGCCTAATTTTCTAGCCGTCTGCCAGCAAGGACAATACTTTGGCTTCTCGTTGCCATTAGTGGAGGCAAAAATCTTCCAATATTTACATAAAAGAATTAAAAATGGAGTCCAAAAAGCAAAGAAAATGGTGCTGTTAAAGTGCTAGAGGTTTTATTTTATTTAAAAAACCTTTAACTTATTTCCATCTCCCCTTCCATCATTCCTCTTGCCCTCAGAATAACCGTTATACTATTGGTTGGAAAATACCATCTTTCCTTTCTCAATTCAGTTTTGAAATAAAATGCATGCAAAAACATCAGTTATTATCGGGGAAAAGACTGGCTGAGCTGTAGTGCAGAAAGGAAGGCATGAGGAAGGGAGCTAAACGGAGAGAAAGGAGGAAAATGATGGAGAGAATGAGAGATGATCGGCTGGAGAGGGAAATGCCAGAAAGGTTTTTTTTTTTTTAAATGGTCTTTCAACAATTTGACAACCCATTCGATTTTCCAGTGTTTTATTTTTTTTCATTTAAATGTCAATATTGAATTAAAATTTGCAGTATAAAAATCTGAAAGTAACTCCTGTTAACTCACCAGTAAACCACATCTTTGTCTATTAAACACTTTGGGACTTTTGTCATCTGTGTTTACTTACTCTGAACACATTGGCCTTTAGCTTCAGAGTTTCTTCAGCTCAGAATATGGGGCCAGATTTTCAGTGTGTGTAAATCAACAATTCAATTTATGGCAATTTTATCAGGCCCAGGGTTTATACCTGAGCTAAGAGGATGCACTTTCAAGTCAGAATACATTTTAAGACCGACTACACTATATAATTGTCATTTAATTCCACCCCAGGCATTGTTGGTGGTCAGTTCTGCAACAAGTTATTTTATTGATCAACATAAACACTGGGATTCAATGATGTAGCAAAGGTCCAGATTTAGGATTGGCTTTTTGGTCACTCATGCTTTGGGTTAAAAGGCTTTTGCACTAGTGAATGGATGGGAGGGAAACAGCCAAGTGTCAAGATATCAACATTTACCCAGATTACAGGAGAACAAATATATCGCCACAAAGTTTAAAAGTGACTTTGATTTTTCTTGAGTCCACCTGTATTGTTTAACTTAAGAGTCATCACTTATGAGTAACGTCTTTTGTCTTACCTTTACATCTTCGACATTAGGATGGGGTGGAAATTTCATCTGCACTATGGTGTAAAGAATGTCATGGATGTGGTTATTTAAGTACAGCACAGGGTTAGCTATTACAGTTTTTGTTGAAGCAATACTTGCAGAAAGCAGTGGTAGCGTTGTGGGTAATGGAAGGGGAGACTGAAGTTGCTTTACTGTAGTTTCCTGTTTAAAAGAAAATACAGTAGGTAAAATGGTCACATAGCTGAGAACACAAATCAAGCCCAATCACTTGTAGTCTCATGGCATTATTTGCCAGAGTTGGGGGTATTAGATCTTTCCAAATTCCAACTGAAACCACACAGGTGGACAAAATGTAATTACCAAAACTGGAATGTGCATAGAATACTGAGTCTTAACACTTGGATACCAGCTTAAATGCTATGCTGGTAGGTGCCTTAGTACACTCTAAACTTGAAAATAATGAAATAGGATCTTTAATAATCATAGATGGCCAGGATCCAGATTTAAGATTTATGCAAAAGCAGCATCCCAAAATACCAGACTGTGCCCCCTAATTCCACCTGAGAAGTTAGAACTTTATAGTCTTAGAGAGAAGAGTACCATGTACTGACTTACCAACCCGACTGCAGTACCCTAGAAATGTCGCATCTAAGTACTACCCTGGCCCGACCTTGTTAGGGTGAGTGATTTGACAAAAATCAGTCTGATAAGCTGGGGTTGCAAGACTACTAAAATTCCTAAACTACTTAAAATGAACTAATCTCAATTTAAAGTCATTTAAAAGATTGTCTTACCTGCTGAGACTCTTGCAACAAAAACTTGAGCTCCATTCTTACAGATGCTAGACCACCACCTTGTGCCCCATGAAGGCTACAGTAACTTAGGAAAACTCTCAGGAGAGCTTGATTCTTTTGCAGCCACCACTTTCGTCTTTCAGCATGCTCTCGTTTCGCCTGCAACCTACGTCTTTCTATCTGGTGACGTTCATATGAGCCAATATCTGGCTTATCCACAATTTCTTCATGATCAAGTCTGTCACCATCTACTTTAGTATACGTTTCACAATAGTCTTTGCTACCTGCTTCATGGTTACATATTTCATGCATAGCAGCAATTTCTTTTTCCAGCCAATTGTACAGTTGAAATCTAAGCTTCCCTCCATCTACCTCATACCCTGTAGCCAAAGTCCTCAGTTCGGTCATTAGGATCTTCAAACAGGCTCTGAACTTCAGTTGTTCGGCAATTACATCAACCTCAGTGTCACCTGCATCAGAGTCCTCCCCTTGAGGTGTCTGCAGTACATTAGTGTGTGCACTCTTCTCATCTAGTTTTCCATTTTTAGAGTCCAATTTCGAACCTTTCATTGTTAAACCAACATCATCTTTCTCTTCCCCTGAGCCATCTTTGTCTTCACCCCAGTCAAGAGTAAGAGACTCCTCATCGAATTTTACTGCTGGCTGACTCCAATCAAATTGTGCTGAAGAACCAGTGCTACTTTCCAAGGCAGATGAAGCTGAAAATGGCTTTGACCAGTCTATATTACTACTTTCAGCACCATCACTCTCAGTGTTTGACTCTAGAATCACATCAGTTTTTCTAGTAGGACTTGAACTGGATTGATCTCTCTCGGTAGAAATGCTGGACTTTGTACTTATTTTTGGAATTTTGGAAAGAACTTCAAGAGCTAAAACAGGGCATCCCACTTTAAAATGAGCATTTGCAGTGGTGAAGAATAATTTTCTCTCTATAAGATTAATTTTATCAACAAAACTTTTCTCAGTTTTTATGCCTAAAGTGGCCAGAGTCCCTTCTGGTGAGCTGAAATATCTTCGGATGAGCAAAGGGTGGGTCCGAAGGTAGTTGTAAAAACTAAACACCACAGGATTGCAGGACTTGATGATAACTAGAGGAATTAAACAAATATGACTTCTACTGAAACATATCTACAAATGAGTATTATTTTAAGGTTGTTTTGCACCCCTGCAATTGCCACTTTACAAAACCTTACAAAAACAGTCTAGCATATTTGTAAATATAAAAAGTAATCACATCCCACAAGAAAAGTGATAACATGAACTCATTATGGAAAGAATAAAAAGTTGTCAGATACTGGCCTCTGTTTCTTCTGCTTTATGGCACTTAGGCAACTCAAATAGAGGAAAGCTGGCTTGGCTACAGAAACAGCTGCCTGAAGGTTACTATAGCTGGGCACAAATTAGAGCAGTCTCAAGGATGCTCTAACCGGCAATGTAGATTGAACCTGTCCCCAGGATAAGGGTAGGGGATGTAAAGTGGCACCTTTGTTTCCACCCTTTCTGGTCTTACAAAGATTGCCTGGTGGATCCTAGGAATGAGCCCAATGTTTACTGACAAAAAAAAAATTGTAAATTGAGTTATATATGTTAGTTACTCTTTAAAAAAAAATCAGCTTTCTTGTATTAACAAGTGTGAATATTCCACTCCCTAAGCAACATGAGTTACATCGACATAGCACTGTACACACAAAGGCCTATGCTGGCGGGAGAGGTGGTATTTTTTTTTTATGCTGACAGGAAATCTCTCTCCCATTGGTATAGAGCCACTTCACTGGACACACTGTAGCAGCACAGCTGTGCCACTGCAGCGCTGTCCGTGAGATGTGGCCTAAAGGTTCAGTTCTGCAGAGATCCAGAACAGTAGTGCTCAGGTTGGGGAAACGGGATGCTGTACCCTGGAGGTCCAGCCAAAAGGTGGGTGAATCTCAGGATTCCATTCTGATTAGTGCAGGTGTAGGCCTATCACTTGAAGGAAGTGCCCACAGAGAGACAGAGATCACAGGTATCACTCATTCATGAACCGCAACAAGAAGCATTTGTAAAAATGAAATAATTATACTCTAATAAGCTTATGGTAACAGTATACTGTAGCTATTGCACACTTCATATAACTACAACACAATGGAGAATTAAGCAGATTTTTAACAGATACTAGCTTCTGTTTGTTGAAACCTTTTGTAAAGGTTTCTAACTGAGAATTATTGCATTAATGAATTACAACGACAGTACCAGCTACTTTAACTATTTTTGCTGCCTTTTTCATATTTAAGGATCTGTTTTTACTTCTAAATGCTTAATTATTATATTTAATTATGGAAAGATCTATAAATCCTAATGCTAAAATATATCTGAAAATTACAACACTGATATTTCCCCTACCTGGATTTTCATCATCTTCCTTAGGTGTTTGTTCCAATAAAGTGTCAAGTGCTCTAGTGTAGTTTTTCATTATCCAGTAGGCAAGACTTCGCAGGAAGGGATCAGGATGCAATTTAGTACATCTGAATCCAGTTCCATCTTTCTGGCAACCCAAAATTTTTTCATAAAGAATGGATGTATAAGTGAGGGAGGTCTCAAATTCTGATTCATATAAACGAGCAATAACAATGGCCAGCTGAATATCTTCCATTTTTTCAAGACACACCTGTGGCATAAAGCATGACAAGCAAGCTGCTGGATTAGGAAAGCCTCTCTCAAATAATGAATGAATTAAATAACCACACACATTTAGAATAAAGAGTAATTTTCCCATCATGTAAAAAGTTTAAAAGGTACATCAAATTTTGGGGTCAGAAACCTGTATCCAAATATATTTTCTCCCTCTGTTTGGTCAGAAATGTGCTGATTTTTTTTCAGATTTTTATAAAATTCTGGTTTATTTAGTAGTGTATCAATGTATCAATCGAATAGAAGATTTTTTTTCTTCAGGCTTACGCACAAATTTTCAGCCTTAATTACATGAACATTAGTTTTTTTGGAGGTTTTTTGGTACTGAACCGTATGAAGAATTATATCTGATATCATGTAATAAAGACTCCTGTAATATGTACACACACACACACACACAGAGGCAGCAATAACGTTGCATAACCCTGACTTTTCATTGCTCCACTGTACAATTTTCTTTGCCACAGCTTTTGTGAAATGATTAACAAACAACAATGTTCATCAGTGTAATTCTCAAGTTCAGTTCTGAAACTCCACAGTACTTTATATACCTCTATAGCATCTTTCAGGGAACCAGCTAGTAAGAAAAAAGCAGCAGACTGTTCAAAGCGTTGTTTTCCCAACAAAGCAAAAGCATTTTTCAAAGCTGCTTTGCGCCACCTATCTTCACTGAAATTGTGGCTGAAAAATGTGGTCATCTTTTCATCATACTGAGACCTGTGTTAAAAAAAAAACAAAAAACTCAACACAGAGTACTTAGTTATAACTTAAATTTTGGGCTGTCAAGTGATTACAAAAATTAATCATGATTAATCAATCGCGCTGTTAACAATAGAATACCATTTTATTTTAAATATTTTTGGATGTTTCCAAATTTTCAAATATACTGATTTCAATTACTATACAGAATACAAATACAAAATGGTATTTTTCAATTCACCTCATTACAAGTACTGTAGTGCAATCTCTTTATCATGAAAGTTGAACTGACAAATGTAGAATTGTGTACAAAAAACTGTATTCAAAAATAAAACTATGTAAAACTTTAGAGTCTACAAGTCCACTCAGCCCTTCCTCTTGGTCAGCCAATCGCTCAGACAAACAAGGTTGGTACAATTTGCAGGAGATAATGCTGCCTGCTTCTCGTTTACAATGTCACCTGAAAGTGAGAACAGGTGTTTGCATGGAACTGTTGTAGCTGCCATTACAAGATATTTACGTGCCAGATGCACTAAAAATTCATAAGTCCCTTCATGCTTCAACCACCATTCCAGAGGACATGCATCCATGCTGCCTATAGGTTCTGCTCGATAACTATCCAAAGCAGCGCGGACTGACACATGTTCATTTTCATCATCTGAGTCAGACACCACCAGCAGAAGACTGATTTTCTTTTTTGGTGGTTTGGGCTCTGTAGTTTCCACATCACAGTGTTGCTCTTAAGACTTCGAAAAGCATGCTCCACACCTCGTCCCTCTCAGATTTTGGACGGCACTTCAGATTCTTAAAACCTTGGGTCGAGCGAGTGCTGTAGCTATTTTTAGAAATCTCACATCGTACCTTCTTTGCGTTTTGTCAAATCTACTGTGAAAGTGTTCTTAAAATGAACATGTGCTGGATCACCATCTGAGACCACTATAACTTGAAATATATGCAGAATGCGGGTAAAACAGAGCAGGAGACATACAATTCTTCCCACAAGGAGTACAGTCACAAATTTAATTGACACATTTTTTTAAAACAGGCATCATCAGCATGGAAGCATGTCCTCTGAAATGGTGGCCAAAGCATGAAGGGGCATACAAATGTTTAGCACATCTGGCTTGTAAATACCTTGCAACGCCGGCTGCAAAAGTGCCATGCGAACAACTGTTTTCACTTTCAGGTGACACTGTAAATAAGAAGCAGGCAGCAGTATCCCCTGTCAATGTAAACAAACTTGTTTGTCTTTGATTGGCAGAATAAGACATAGGACTTAATGGATTTGTAGGAGCTAAAGTTTTACATAGTTTTGGTTTTGAGTGCAGTTATGTAACCAAAAAAAATCTGCATTTGTAAGTTATACTTTCATGATAGAGATTGTACTTCAGTACTTGTATGAGGTGAACTGAAAAATACTATTTTTTTGTTTATCATTTGTACAGTGCATATATTTGTAATCTAATAATATAAAGTCATCACGGTGCACTTTGTATTCTGTGTTGTAATTGAAATCAATATTGAAAAATGTAAAGAACATCCAAAAATATTTAATAAATTTCAAAAGGTATTCTATTATTTAAGTGCGATTAATCATGATTAATTTTTTGAGTTAATCGTGTGAGTTAACTGCAATTAACTGACAACCCTACTTAAATTATATCTTTTAATCTTTTGATCCAAGATAAGTTGAAATAATAAGTTGAAAAAGAGTTCTTCTTTACACTATTAGTTTTATTCTTACTACTTTTAAAGTCAAAGGCTAACGGAACTCACCTAAACAGACCCCACACCACTGCTTTTTTCTTCATAGCAAGGTAAAAAATTGCAGCATCCAAGGCATCATTGTTCCTTTGAAATGAAGCTTTTGCAACCTACAGTAGTAAATGGAGAGCGAACAGAATTATTGCAAAAAAGCTGCCTTCAGTTAAAAAATACACAAACTCTGCTGGAAAGGACAGCATGGAGAGTGTGTGTGTGTGTGTTTCTATAAAGCTATAAAAGTGCCTTCTGAATATTTTGCAGAAGACACTATTTATACAGTTTGGGAGCAGATAACACTGTGAATGTTAGTTTTTCTTAAGGCCTTTGGAAAATATAATACTGATGCATATATTTAAAAACATAACGGGAAGTTACAGAAAGGCAAATAAAAATCTTTCATCCCTCAATCCTGATGAGATACATTTGGCAATTCATGTTGTGGTATCCTCTTCCATTGAGGATAACTCTCTGAGGGAGGGAACTCCAGTTATTAGGAAGAAACGATTAGTAATGGATGATTCTATCACTAGAAACATAGATAGCTGGGTTTGCGATGACCAGGAGAACTGCATGGTGACTTGCCTGCCTGGTGTAAAGGTTGCAGTTATCTTGAGACAGCTAGGAGACGGTGGTCGTGGTATATGTAGGTACCAGTGACATAGGGAAGGATAGGAGAGAGGTCCTGGAGGCCAAATTTAGGCTGCAAGGTAAGAGATTGAAGTCCAGGACCTTTATCGGAGCATTCTCTGAAATGCTTCCAGTTCCATGCGCAGGGCCAGTTAGACAGGCAGAACTGCAGGGTCTTAATGTGTGGATGAGACGATGGTGTAGGGGGGAGGGGTTTAGATTTATTAGGAACTGGGGAAACTTTTGGGAAAGGGGGAGCCTATATAGGAAAGATGGGCTCCACCTAAACCAAAATGGAACCAGATTTCTGGCACTTGAAAAACTGCTCTATGACCTTTTAAATTTTAACTAAGGGCTGGGGGAAAGCCGACAGGTGCAGAGGAGCATGTGGTTTGGACAGAGATATCCCTTAGGGGAGGATCTATTAATGGAGATTCTCTATGTCATAGTAAGGAGGAGAAGATGGAAGATGATAAAATACAGGTAGTATCTGATGAGAAACAGTCAGAAAAAAAGTCCCATTCAATTACATCATGTAATGGCAGACAGCTTAAAAAGTGACAAGCTTTTAAAGTGCTTAAATACAAATGCTAGAAGTCTAAATAATAAGATGGGTGAACAAGAGTGCCTCGTATTAAATATAACAGGCATCACAGAAATTTGGTGAATGAGGATAATCAATGTGACACAGTACTACCAAGCTACAAAATATATCGGAAGGACAGAACAGGTTGTGCTGGTGTGTGAGTGGCACTCTATGTGAAAGAAAGAGTAGACTCAAATGCAGTAAAAATCTTAAATGAACCAAACTGTACCACAGAATCTCTATGAATAGTAATTTCATGCTTGAATAATAAAAATATAGCAGTAGGGATATATTAGTGACCACCTGACAAGGATGGTGATACTGTGAAATGCTCAGGAAGATTAGAGAGGCTATAAAAATAAAAAACTCAGTAATAATGGGGGATTTCAACTATCCCTATATTGACTGTGTACATGTCACCTCAGGACGGAATACAGAGATAAAGGTTCTTGACACCTTAAATGACTGCTTCTTGGAGCAGCTAGTTCTGAAACGCACAAGAGGAGAGGCAATTCTTGATTTGGTCCTAAGTGGAGCACAAGATCAGGTCCAAGAGGTGAATATAGCTGGACCACTTGGTAATAGTGACCATAATATAATTAAATTTAACATCCCTGTGGTGGGGAAAACACTACAGCAGCCCAATTCTGTAGCATTTCATTGCAGAAAGGGGGACTACACAAATATGAGATAGTTAGTGAAACAGAAATCAAAAGATACAGTGCCGAAAGTGAAATCCCTGAAAGCTGCATGGAAACTTTTTAAAGACCCCATAATAGAGGCTCAACTTAAACATATAACCCAATTAAAAAACATAGTAAGAGAACCAAAAAAGTGCCACCGTGGCTAAACAACAAAGTAAAAGAAGCACTGAGAGGCAAAAAGGCATCCTTTAAAAAGTAGAAGATAAATCCTAGTGAGGAAAATAGAAAGGAGCATAAACTGGTAAATGAAGTGTAAAAATATAATTAGGAAAGCCAAAAAAGAATTTGAAGAACAGCTAGCCAAAGACAAAAAAAAATTGTTATTACTTTGGAAAGCAGGAAGCCTGCTAAACAACCAGCAGGGCCACTAGACGATCGAGATGCTAAAGGAGCACTCAAGGACAATAAGGCCATTGCAGAGAAACTAAATTAATTCTCTGCATCGGTCTCCATGGCTGAGGATGTGAGGGAGATTCCCAAAGCTGAGCCATTCTTTTTAGGTGACAAATCTGAGGAAAAAGAACAGGAGAACTTGTGGCACCTTAGAGATTAACAAATTTATTTGAGCATAAGCTTGCGTGGGCTAAAACCTATTTCATCGGGTGCACGCAGTGGAAAATACAGTAGGAAGAGATATATATATATATACATACACACACAGAGAACATGAAACAATGGGTGTTATCATACACACTGTAACAGGAGTCATCAGTTAAGGTGAGCTATTACCAGCAGGAGAGAAGAAAAAACCTTTTGTAGTAATAATCAATGCTTCCTCAGCTCTCGTCCCCTAATGCCCCTACTCACACTACATTGATGACATCTGCATCATCTGGACCCATGGAAAAGAAGCCCTTGAGGAATTCCATCATGATTTCAACAATTTCCATCCCACCATCAACCTCAGCCTGGTCCAGTCCACACAAGAGATCCACTTCCTGGACACTACAGTGCTAATAAGTGATGGTCACATAACCACCACCCTATACCGGAAACCTACTGACCGCTATACTTACCTACATGCCTCTAGCTTTCATCCAGACCACATCACACGATCCATTGTCTACAGCCAAGCTCTACGATAAAATCACATTTGCTCCAACCCCTCAGACAGAGGCAAACACCTACAAGATCTCTATCAAGCACTCTTACAACTACAATCCTAGCTGCTGAAGCGAAGAAACAGATGGACAGAGCCAGGAGAGTGCCCAGAAGTCACCTACTACAGGACAGGCCCAATGAAGAAAGTAACAGAACGCCACTAGCCATCACCTTCAGCTCCCAACTAAAACCTCTCCAGCGCATCATCAAGGATCTACAACCTATCCTGAAGGACGCTCAGATCTTGGGAGACAGGCCAGTCCTTGTTTACAGACAGCCCCCCAGCCTGAAGCAAATACTCACTAGCAACCACATACCACACAACAGAACCACTTAACCCAGGAACCTATCCTTGCAACAAAGCCCGTTACCAACTGTGCCCACTCATCTATTCAGGGGACACCATCATAGGGCTTAATCACATCAGCCACGCTATCAGAGGTTCGTTCACCTGCACATCTACCAATGTGATATATGCCATGTGCCAGCAATGCCCCTCTGCCACGTACATTGGCCAAACTGGACAGTCTCCACGTAAAAGAATAAATGGACACAAATCAGACGTCAAGAATTATAACATTCAAAAACCAGTTGGAAAACACTTTAATCTCCCTGGTCACTCGATTACAGACCTAAAAGCCACAATATTACAACAAAAAAAGTCTAAAACAGACTCCAGCGAGAGACTGCTGAATTGGAATTAATTTGCAAACTGGACACCATTAAATTAGGCTTGAATAAAGACTGGGAGTGGATGTGTCATTACACAAAGTAAAACTATTTCCCCCATGTTTATTTCCCCCCCTACCGTTCCTCACACGTTCTTGTCAACTGCTGGAAATGACCCATCTTGATTATCACTACAAAAGGGTTTTTTCCTCTCCTGCTGGTAATAGCTCACCTTACCTGATCATCTCCCCACTGTATTTTCCACTGTATGCATCCAATGAAGTGAGCTGTAGCTCACGAAAGCTTATGCTCAAATAAATTTGTTAGTCTCTAAGGTGCCACAAGTACTCCTGTTCTTTTTGCTGATACAGCCTAACATGGCTGCTACTCTGAAATCTGAGGAACTGTCCCAGATTGAGGTGTCAGAGGAGGTTTTGGAACAAACTGATAAACTAAACAGTAATAAATCACCAGTACCAGATGGTATTCACCCAAGAGTCCTGAAGGAACTCAAATGTGAAATTGCAGAACTACTAACTATAGTTTGTAACCTATCATTTAAATCAGCTTCTGTACCAAATGACTGGAGGATAGCTAATATGACACCAATTTTTAAAAAGGGCTCCATCGGTGATCCCTGCTATTACAGGCTGGTAAGCCTATCTTCAGTTAGGGGCAAACTGGTTGAAACTATAATAATGAACAAAACTGTCAGACACTTAGATGAACATAATTTGTTGGGGAAGAGTCAACATGGTTTTTGTAAAGGGAAATCCTGCTTCACGAATCTACTAGAGTTCTTTGAAGGGTTCAACGAACATGTGGATAAGGGAGATCCAGTGGATATAGTGTAGTTAGATTTTCAGAAAGCATTTGACAAGCCTCATCAAAGGCTATTAAGCAAGGTAAGCTGTCATGGGATAAGAGAGAAGGTCCTCTTATGGATAGGAAACAAAGGGTAAGAATAAATGGTCATTTTTCAGAATGGAGAGAGGTAAATAGTTGTGTCCCCCAGGGGTCTGTACTGGGCCCAGTCCTATTCAACATATTCATAAATGATCTGGAAAAAGGGGTAAAGAGTGAGATGGCAAAATTTGCAGATGATACAAAATTACTCAAGATAGTCAAGTCCCCGGTAGACTGCAAAGAGCTACAAAAGGATCTCTCAAAACTGGGTGACTGGGCAACAACATGGCAGATGAAATTCAATGCTGATAAATGCAAAGTAATGCACATTGGAAAAGTGTAATCCCAACTATACATATAAAATGATGGGTTCTAAATTAGCTGTTACCACTTAAGAAAGCTATCTTGGAGTCATTGTGGATAGTTCTCTGAAAACATCCACTCAATGTGCAGTGGCAGTCAAAAAAGCAAACAGAATGTTGGGAATCATTAAGAAAGGGATAGATAATAAGACTGAAAATATCATATTGCCTCTATATAAATCCATGGTATGCCCATATCTTTAATACTGCATGCAGATGCGGTTGCCCCATCTCAAAAAAGATATACTGAAATTGGAAAAGGTTCAGAAAAGGCTGTCACCTGAGAGATTAATAAGACTGGGACTTTTCAGCTTGGAAAAGAGACGACAAAGGGGGGATATGATAGAGGTCTATAAAATCATGACTGGTGTGCAGAAAGTAAATAAGGAAGTGTTTTTACTCTCTCATAACACAAGAACTAAGGGTCACCAAATGAAATTAATAGGCAGCAGATTTAAAACAAACAAAAGGAAGTGTTTTTTCACACAACGCACAGTCAACCTGTGGAACTCCTTGCCAGAGGATGTTGTGAAGGCCAGGACTATAACAGGGGCTATAAAAGAACTAGGCAAGTTCATGGAGGATAGCTATGAATATCAATAGCTATTAGCAGGGATGGACAGGGATGGTGGCCCTAGCCTCTGTTTGCCAGAAGCTGGGATTGGGTGACAGGGCATGGATCGCTTGATGATAACCTGTCTGTTCATTCCCTTTGGGGCACCTGCCATTGGCCACTGTCAGAAGACAGGATACTGGGCTAGATGGACCGTTGGTCTGACCCAGTATGGCCATTCTTGTGTTTTTATTATTATTATGTCATGAGGTTCCTATCAGCCCTACGCTTCTGTGAATCTATGATCTTGGGCTCCACTGGTGCTCCATTAGAATTTACAACTATTTATTCGCTACCATATCACATACCATTTAATGTTGTGAGTGGGTTTTCATTTAGACCCAAGGATCTGTCCACATGGATCTAATTCTAGGATCAGGGACTTAAGTTACAAAGCTGGGAGATTCAATGGGTAAAATTCTGATCCTACTGAAGATAATGCAAGTTTTGCCTTTTGTTTGAGATTAAAAAAATCACTGTTTTATAGATTTAAGAAAAAAGATTAAGAAAAAAGTATTTTCTAAAAAGAGAAAAATCAGCAACTTCTTTTAACTTATTGTTGACCTTAAAGTACTTTTTCAATGCATCTTTTCAGTTACTGACAAAAGATGTAACACATGCTGAAGATCTTAACACTAACTTTCATCATGGATTTCTGTTCTGAATGGCATATCTAATACATATCTTGCTATAATTTATTTCTTAAATTATACAAAACATAGCAAAGTTTTAACGTAAGTGATTCAAACTACCTTCTCAATGCATCTTCGGAGTGTGTTAATATTCCTGACCCACCAACCTATACCCATTGCTCTTAGTTCCGACCACTGTGGATCTCCTCTCTGGATAGCAGGAATCATGTTGATCAACTCTTCCTCAGCCTCAGAATGAAAAGCCCAGGCAAAATGGCAGGTAGATACACCTAAATAGTGACATGGGACAATTAATATTCAGCAAATAAAAGGTTGTTAATAAACAAATGAAAAATAGGAGGGAGACTACATATGGGCCACATCACATGAATTTATCATTGAGTCTAAATTTGTACTTATGATAAAGTGTTTACAATCTTGCATCCTGGGGCAAATTTTTTCTTTTTTTAAATCATGAATGCAAATTAGCAAAACAGAGGTGGGATTCCCAGATGAGGAGTGGGGTGCTCTTAGACAGGTCATTCCCAACAGGAGGAAGTGGTGCTGCTGACCAGGTTACTAATGGTGGTGCACACTCCAGATAGAGAGGGTCCTGCTTTGAACACACACTGCTATGTGTGTACAAAATTGTATTATGTCAGTAAATGTAGTGATTGTAGACTGCAATTATTTCAGTAAATCCCCAAAAGATTCTAACAAGTATCTTTCTTTTTCTTCAAAGCATTTAATTCATAATCCAATTCTTATTTTCTAGACTTTGCCTGAACTTTCTGGTTGCAGCAGGGCTTTGAAGGGTAGTAGTGTGATGCAGGACTGCAAAGCAATGCCCAGGGAGCAAACAGGCAGTGAACTCAGCTCTGCTGGGAACTCACCTGAGATAAGGCTTTATTTCTGCCCCTCCTTCTCCCCCCACAAGGCACTAATTTGGGAGGCAACTGCAATGGGCAGAGTCTAAAGGCTATTGCGTGTACACCGCAAAGCTTACAAGCAGCTATGAGGGCAGGTGTGATACAAGGAAGAAGACACAAGCTTGCTGCTTTAAGAGTCAAAAGGAATAGCGTGTCCTAACCCAAGAGGCCTAAATTCCTTCCTCCTGCTGACTCTCCCTCAGTAGCAGCTCCCCTTGATCACTGGCTCCACTTGCTACATTTCTCTCAATGTATCTGCCAAGTTTGCGGAGAGAAGTGAGCATACACATGCCACTGTCGGGACCGAAAAGCCAGGAAGGGAAATGTGCGGTACAGCAACACAGCCAAAGGATATTGGGAAATATGCTGCCTGACCCACTTCTCAAGCTCTTGAAATGACTGATGGCAAACTGTGTTCGAAACACCATTACTTCCTGTTCCTGACTCCAACTGCAGCCTGAAGATTTTGGTGCTCAATGCAGCAGCCTTAGTACTTTCAACATTCCTTTCCCACACATGCTGGAATACTAGGGTGAGAAGCAGAGACAAAGGGAAAATACCCTGTTGTCACAAGTCCCTTCAGAGGCTGGGAATCTGTCTGCTCCTCAGGTGCTGCCTGCTCTCCTACCCCAGATTCAGAACAGCATCACTCAGCCCCTGCTTCAACCAGGAAGCAGATAGCTGGGATGAAAATTACAAATTATAGCTTAGGAAAAATAAACAGTCTTATTTTTATTTCTTCTGCAAAGGAGATTTAAAAAAAACAACTTAATTTTGTTGGGGAAAATACCCAAACTTCAACAGACAAACCATAATCTCTTTACCACACTTTCCAACTCATGACTTTTCTATAGCTCTCCTTCCATTACCCTGGTCATGGACTGTATCAAAGAACTTATGAAGTCAATGGTCCTATTCACAGTGGATGAAGGTAAACATATTCGTAAGTCTTTGCAGGATCACTGCTTAAGTGAACACACATCATAAAAATTCCTAAATGGGATAATACAGATATTGAAGATAATGCTGAAACATTTTCTGTCTGCTCATACGAACATAAAACATTGCAAGGCTTACCTTGATGAAGCAGCTGACCTCGATATAAAGGTGGCAGTGATGTCAGAAGGCATGTATGCAAGCGCATAGCCAACAAATACCGCAAGCCACATTCATCTAATGTGTCTCTGCCTGCAAAATAAAAAAATTGATTGGAGTACTTGTGAACACATACAATTTACACCCCATTGATATTTTCATAAGGGGGTCAAGAACTGAATAGATATGGAGATTGAATTCATCCCTCTACTTACTAACAGATCAGGATTGAGGCACACTGAGCAAGAGCATGAGGGGAAAGCCTACCCTACCATTGCTTCTGCTGTATCTTGTCGAATCGATGGTTTTAGATACCAGCTCTGTTAATCCAACACCTTTTTAGGAGTACTAAGTTCACCTAAACACTATGATTAGTCATTATGCATAATTCTATTTTTATCAGTTGAAATACATGGGCATTAATTAGAATTCACACTCACTACTAACCTGAGTAAGTCTTATCTCTGTTCTCATCAAGTTCAGTGCTTGTTGTAGCCACAGTGTCTGCCAAAGCAACCAGAAACATCTGCTCCAAGCGAGTGAGGCCTGGCAAACTTGAGTGCATCAGATGACTTGAGAGGACACTAGCGTGTTCTCGGCCAAAGTAAGATGGCCCGTATTGAGAGAGGTTAATTACTTTGGATTTACTCTCTCTCTTTTCCATCTCAAAATCAATGAAGTCATCAGTTGTAACAGGCTGCATCTGGAATAAATTTGAGTATTGATCCTCTGTTTTTCTTTTAGTGTGATCTTCAAATCTTTTAGGTACTTTAGAAGTTTCTTCAGAAATTTTGTATGTGGTATCTTGATCAGCAGCAAGCAACGCATACAATGGCAGTGGTGGAATAGAATCTATCTCAGTATAGTCTCGAGTACCATCTTTTCCAGCAGCGATTGTGTCCTTTGCAGTACTACCGCTTACGCTAATGGTACGAGAAAGATGACGTTTAGGTCCACCACCTTCCCCAGCTTCTGCATCTCTAACTATTGCAACTTCTCCTGCAATACATTTAACTAAATGGGACAGAATGGCTTTAGCTCGGCGAACTTTACCTAAGTCCATCAATTCTAACAGCTGGGTTGGATGATACTGTGGAAGTGTAGGGGAAAGGACATGAGCAGCTTCAAAAAGGCCTCCATCTTGAATTACAGTTGGAGTGCCAAAGACATCATCTACAACACCTGCTCCATCAATTACACTGGTCTTCTTTGCTAGCAAACTTGTTTTTAATGGATCTTGAGTTGCTGAGTCTTCAGCAGTAAAAACATCACTTTCGCCATCACCAAATTTGACAGCATGTTTCCATTGTGCATACACATGCATTTCACAGTCCATTCCCACTACCAGTATACCATCTCGTACCCAAGAGAGAGAAACTGGCAATGAAGGAGTGCCATCTACAGAAGACACCAAGTCAATAGATCTCAGCAGTACCCATTTGGACTTTATACCTTGTTTTATGCTACCACCTAGTGGTAAAGTAATAATAGCTACTCCATCCTTACTGTTTGTTTGCTCGGTCACAATTCCTGAAAGTCGTCCATACATAAATATATTGGCACCCACCCCAACTGTAAGTATATGTGAGCCATCTTCTTTTGATACCCAATCCAAATGTACCAAATGCTTGATATTGGGCATAAGGTATTTGTCCTTGTTTAAAAATACATCTGATTTACTATATACAAACAAATTACTATCTACACTGACCCTTGAATCAAGTACACTCCCAACCTTAACTAAGTCATCCAGATGAACTGTCTGTTCCAAAACCCATTCTGATCCTCCTGTAGACTCACATTCAAATATACAAACATGCATAGAAAATTCTTTGGAAACAAAACCGTTATGCTGTAAAGGTTGTTTGTATGCCACAGCAAGACGTCCTGTGTAAGAACAGCTAACAGCAACTGGCCTTCCTATTATGTGTACTGTACTGCTGTTGTTTTCCCCCTCATCATTCATTAAAGGCCATTTTCTCCAATGATATGTCTCCCTCACTTCTTTTCCACTATTTAGATCCATCTCTACAGTGCATCTCCAGAACCGCACTTTGTTGTCTGAACAGGATGTTACTACCAAATAAGGCGCAAGGCATACTGGGTATATTGATGATGAGCTCAGGTGACCTAAAGTAAGATCAAACAGAATTCACTATTAGTAATATAAAATATAATAGATGCATGAATAAAATATACCATTACTATTTGCTGTGGTTTAGATTAGGAATATTAGGACAGATTTTCAAATTATTGGGATTTTCTTAATTTGGTTACATATGGGGTGAAATGATACCAAAGCAATTACGGGACTTAAACATTATGCTAGACCACTAGACGGTGCTTTCCTCGTTCTTTCAGACATTCACACAGCATATACTATTCCAGTCTTCTGCGGTGCTTTCCTTGTTCTTTCAGACATTCACACAGCATGTACTATTCCAGTCTTCTGAAGGTGCTGGGGAACATTTGAAACTATCAGGGGGGAAAACAGTATTTGGGTAAAGCTGGAAATTTGACCTATTGACTAACCCAACTTTAACAAACAGTTTTATAAATTAGTATTAAAGAGGTCATAAAAACTAGTGTAGTCTTTTGAAAAGGTCAACTGCCACTCTCTCTAATCTACTGGGGTTAGGAGACCAAGAGTGCAGATCCTCAAATTCAGAACATAGTTTATCGTGGAAGGACATATATGTCAGTTAACCAGAAGTTCGGCAAAATGAGGTTGTACAACACAGTACTTACTACTAACTAGAAGTCAATTTGTTGCCAAAACTTGGGAGACTGCATAGAACAATATGGTTTTACCTGCTGAAGGGGTTGCTCTTATTACTTCTACACCAGTTGGAAGATCAAGTGGATAGCTATATACAAGTCTAGAACTCAGAATGAGTTTACTGGCAGTCTGAAGATTAGCAATTGATGAAGAACGTGGCATAGGAGTTGAGCCAGGTGAGGTATCTGGAGAAGACTCCACAGTCTTTGGTTCAGGTACACAAAGTTGATTCTCTGATGAAGTAACTTCAGGTTTTTTTGCTTGAAAGAAGCATTAGAAACGGTATTATAAATTGTGTGTACAGCCAACTTTTAGATATCCTATAGACAAAATTGTTTTCTTAGGAGTGCATTAGTCACATAGAACAGGCACATAGCATACTTCTGGGTTGCTCTTGTTCTACTTGGAAATAGTTTAGATTATTAGTCCTTGTTTTTACATGATCATAACTTTCTCAAACATTTACATTTTTAAGATAAAACATGCTTGAAAAAGTCACTTGTCCCCGTAACAAAAATGCTATTTTATGACTGGCACAGAGTGGATTTAATTTTCCTTAAAACTTCGGTAAGCAGCAGTCATTCAGCTGCATCAAACTTTTCCATTGATCTTACAAGTTAGTCTAAAATTTCCAGTGCTTTATTTGTAGTAGAATTCAACCATCTGACCAACACTGTGATATAACTGAAATTGAGCTGTGCAAGTATAGTGGTCCTCTATGTTTTATACATATAAATATAATATAAAAATTGAAGTTATTGTGTAACAGAAAGTCATCTGATAACTTCCACTAACGTTACTTAAATGTCCTCCAGAATTTAAAGTGAAAATCTAAAAATTTAGTAAAACTGAACTGATTGCTTGGATGCTGCTCATCTGTTTACTAATGAGGAAATCTATTTTTAAAAAAACTAACTAGCTTAAAATCAATTGTGCAACATTTAAGGTAAATACATGTCCATCTCTGAGAAAATACAATCACTCACCTAAACATGCTTGCACAGATTTAAGATGAAGATGCCACATGTGAAGAACGGAGCAGCCATTCCTGTCTTTTTCAATTACTACAAGATAGAATTTTTCTGAGAAAGGTGGTGGACGATACCCTGTTATTTAAACCGAACACATAATTATGAAGTTAATGGTTCAATAAAAATGGTTTAAATAATAAACAATTTTTGTGAAAACCTCTGATACCTAAAGAATTATGTGATTGGGGGAGAGGGTGTCTTTTTAAGTTTTCCAAAATGTTGCTTTGGTTGTTTATTTATTTATAAGAATACAAAAACTAAAAATATACACATCACAAAAAAAAGTGGTTTTTAGCAAGGTTATATATTGCACCCTCATTTTATGTAAGAAATGCATTCTTCTTGGTTTGAAGTGTATGTCAGGATAACAATATCAAAGATTACTGAAAAAGATTGAAGTTGATGCCACTCAAGGTGGGAGAGGAGCAGGAAGTGATGAACAAGAGGGAGGGACAGCTCAGTGGTTTGAGCATTATCCTGCTAAACCCAGGGTTGTGAGTTCAATCTTTGAGGGGGCCATTTAGGGATCTGGGGCAAAAATTGGGGATTGGTCCTGCTTTGAGCAGGGGGTTGGACTAGATGACCTCCTGAGGTCCCTTCTAACTCTGATATTCTATGAGTTCTTCCCAAAGGGTCTTCTGATTCTCTGGCCAAGCCCCACCCAAACACAAATTAAAGAAGCCTGGGGGTTACTCTAACTTTCACCAGCTGGTTATGTTCACCAAAGGTCCATATCCCAGCTGAGGAAAGGAGGAACAGAATGCATCCATTTCTACTCCCCACTCCTTCTCCTGCATCATGGTTAGCGACAAGGGAGACATAGGAGGTAGATGTGCCAACTGTTCACCGCCAGGGGACTCTTCAGCAGGGCTTGCACATGGCTTCTGCTCTATTTGTGCTACTTGAGAGGCACAAAGGGAACAAAACAAGGCAAAGAGCTCCCCAATGTACTGATTTCGGCCCCCTGACCTTTTTGAAACACTGAGTGAAACCCTGCTCCATTGGAGTCAATAGCAACCCCCCCCCCCTTGACTTCAGTGGGGCTTCCAGGAGGACACTGATGTCAAGGGTGAACACCGCTGTTTGCTTAACCACAAAACTGGAATGATCAAAAAGTTTGACTGCAGGAGAATTTTTTCTGCAGTTTTATTTTTGTGTCCTTGTGGCAAACCAACTGTTGCACCACACCCACAACTGTTTGTGGCATTGTGATAGCCGTACCTGAGCTTCCCGCAGGCCTCCTTTGGCCTGTTTCAGCCTCCAGCCATGCCAGGTAACAGAGTCCCAACATTTTGCAGAACCTCACAGTCCTGCTCTTAAAGTCCAGCAGAAAATAGCAAAACAAAAGAATTTTCAGGCCGGCTGGGCTCAACTGGTAGCCGCTGCCCTTGCAGGCTAGCCCCAGCTTCAAACCATCCCAACACCAACCCAAGCTCCTAAGTTTCTCTCCCACTGCTTGGTGGCTGTCCTATTCCCCCTAACCAGGCTTTCAGGCCAGCTGCAGTCTCTGGATAGCCCATCTCTAGTCAGACTTCCAACTCAAGGCTCAGACTCCCAGGCTTCTTTTAGCCCTCAGCCCAAGAAAGCAAGCTCCAAGCTACCTCTCTCCTGGGCATCTTCCCGAGGTCCTCTCACAGCAGCCCTTTGCTCCTTCCTTAATGAAGACCTAGCCCCCTCCCTAGCTGCATTTGATCACAGTTATGCCGAACAGCCCTCCAGGAGCAGCCCAATAGGTTAACTGGCTTCTCAAGCCACTTTAGCCCTTCTATCACCTTTGGGGGGTATATACCCCAGCACCTACCCTCCCACTCAGGACAGGATCCCACCCAGTTGCTAGGGTCTTGCCACAGTAGGGGCAGGAATGTGATGATCTTGTCCAGCTTCTCACCCTTGTTATACCATAATGTCAATAAATCTTTTTCCCCAGCCCAGAGGGCTCCCAGCCAGCTGTCCAATGAACCTCTCATATCCTCTACGTCAGGAGCTCCATCTGGAATTCTAACTCCCTTTTTCCTTTTCTAGGTTTGCCTATTCTCAATAGGCCTCCTGCAAAGCCTGATCCACCTTCATCAGCTTTTCTTGCAGCCTTGCTGCTGTTACCATTTACTCCATCTGCTGCTTCTCTACTGCAGAGGGGGTCTTGATGGCTTCTACCGGAGGAAGGGAGGGGATGGTCTGCATCTCCACAGTATATTGTTCTGGCTCAACGTTGGGCCCTTGCTTTGTGGCATTTTTTGTCACCTGAAGCAGAGACAGTTCTGTTGCTTTTTGTGCTCCAACTCCACTTTTATCTGAACCCTGTCCTGTTCTAATTTTTCTACCCATCTTATTTTCTATGGGGAGGTACATACTTCAGCCAAGTCCCATTGAGCTTCCTGTAATTATTCCTGCAAGCTGTGAAGATCTCTCAGTTTCCTCTTTAGTTCTCTCAGTGGTCTCCAGATGATCTAACAAGTCCTTCCAATCCTCTTATGTGTGCCCATAAGACCCAAGTAACCCTGAGCGTAGTTCCGGAACATGGGTAGGTTTCTCCGCTGCTGGCTCAGGCACCATTCCATACTCCATCAGGGCTGTGAAACTTTGTCAGTCTCTGCCCAGGATCACAGGCCACAGAAGGCACCTCAACATTCCGACTCTCACTTGGCCACACTGGCTCTGTATCTCCAGCTCCACCAATGCCATTGGGTATGCTCTACTCTCGCCACGCACATGAGATACGTGGACTGGAATGTGCTGGTCTATCTTGCCAGATAGATAGAAGACCGTTTCCCCTAATAAGAATTTGCCTGGAGTCTATCAGGCCCTTCTCTCCCTATTTCCCCTACTTGATGGACGCCACATATGGTGGCATCTGATCCCACCTAAGGAGCCACCCAAACTACAAACTTTTATATCATCATCATCATCGTCACACTCTATCAGGAATGGCCACACCTGAAACACCTGTCCGGGTTTCCCTGGCTATTGCCCAGGATACTCCTGTTGATCTGAAGAAATGACTGGAAAGGGGGTCGAATGTGAACGTAGGTCTGCCCAGGACTCTTCCTCCTAGTGTGTTTTCTCCAGCCTCTAAAGATCAGGGTTTGACTTCTTCCTACCTTTTTTGGGGTGGTGAACTTGATCTGGCCCACCATTCAGATCATCTGCTTCCAAAGAGGCCGCTCTTCTTTCCACTACAGTGCTGCTGTAAACTAGATGAAACTGCCAGACCCAACTTTGGGCCCCAACTTGTAGAACCTGCAGACATTGTTATAAGATGATGTGTTCCAAAATTCTCTCTAGAGAACTCATCTCTAGGCACAGCATGATGCCATGTCTCAGAACGACTGAACACCCCCTGGACCATGCTTCTTGGGGGGAACTGTTCCATTGTAAAACAGTGTCAATAGGCTTCAGGTGTCAGCCCCATAAGATATGATTTTGCTTGTTCATTAGATAGGGCCCAGTGTGCCATCTGGGCCTCTCCTGACAGAAATGAGGCCACCCAGAATGATTGTCCTGCTGCACTAGCCACCTGTTTAAAAGTACATAAAAGAACCTCTGGGTCATTGTCTGGCCCCCAGTTTCTAAAGCCTGGGACTGACCTTCTGGGACCTTCTTCCCCAAGAGATGCTTGATTTCCTGAGGTTCATTTCTCCACACAATGCAGCAAATGCTCCTGCTGCAGCTGAACTATTTCCCACTGATTTTGCTGTTCTTGCAGTAGCTGAAGGAAGAGAGACTGGGTCTGATCCTGCTGTTCCCACCAACATGTGAACTACTTCCTCCATTTTGCAGCTTTTCTGTTGTTCTTCCCTTTTCAGAGGGAGTAGCTGTAGATCCTGGATGAGCTCCCACGTGGCAAACCCCGGTAGCTGTTGCAGCACCACATAAAGCCGTGCTTCAGTTTTCCCGTGCCTTCTTTGGCCATTGGCATGACCTGGCTCTCCAGCCAAGCCAGGTAACAGAGTTCTATCAGGTATAGCTCAATAAGTTAACTGGATTTTCAGGCCACTTTATTCCTTTCAGGGCCAGGGTGGGGTACATATGCCATCACAGTGCTCTATTCTGAATCTGTGTCAAACACTGTTCCCCATATTCAGGTTTTGGTAGCTTGAAAGTTATTTTCCACTAAAATTCTCTTTGTCAATCCAAAGGACAAAAACACTTGGCCTTTCTGTGCTTTATTAAACTGTTTGAAAAATGGACATGTACATAGTACCTACGCTATCTCCACCAAACAACAGAGGCTATAATTTTTAAAATTTCAGAGTCAATTCTTTTCAGGATTTTATAACTTTTTGTACCTTACAGAGGTTATAGAGAATTGATTTTTACTGAGAATATTGTTAGGTGTTGAACACCCAAAGGGGATTTTCAGAATATTTCAATATTGTACTTGTTTTACTTCTCCTATACCTGGGTGCAAGGAGATGGAGTGATCTTAATGCATCCCAAAACACAACCAGTAAATCTAATTTTCAGGCTTTTTTGCCTTCACAGTACCCCCTTTAAACATCTCTGCTGGGCCTTATAGTCTATTCCCCCCTCCCTTTTTATTTTTTACTAGCAAACTCTTCAGTCATGTTCTAGAGAAATAGCTGGCAAGTCAGAAACACTCATCCTATGAGCCAGAACTAATTATTGCTAATTCTTAGCTTTTTACCATTCCCTTTTACAAATTAAATACAAAATGTACCCTTAAAATATTCTATATAAACAAGTTCATGTATGACATCAGAACCTGTTCTATTTTCATACAAATGATAAAAAACTGAACAAATGAACTGGAGTGTACAACTCATTTTATGCAAATTGGAAATGGTTCTACTTTGTGCAAATCAGAACACATTTAATGTTACTATAGTATAAATAATTGTTTAAAATACATGCTACTTATGTTGTATTGCACCTTAAAGAGCCTATATTTAAAAATAAATCTGTTCAATTTATGCATGAGATGTTTCAGTGTTCTTCATGAACACTTTAGACACCTACTTCATATTGCTTACTATTTTTATACTGTACCTTGTGATGGTTTGAAAAATGTTTCTGTTTCCTTCCCTTCCACATCTTCCTTATGTGGTTTGTACCCCAAAATGAAATCTTCTTGAAAGACATGAAGCAACTGTGTATTTGAGCCACACTGGAAACATTGTAGAACAGTAGTTACAATTTCAAAATAGTTATACAAAACATCTTTCAATACTAGTATAATTCCTTTTCCGTTAGTATTGTTATTGACCAAAGTTACCCACTGCCATTCTTTAATAAGTAATGGCAGGACATTTATATACTTAAAAGATGTGGAAAAACAAATAATCATTGTGAGATCTACTATGCTAGACTAATTTTCTAGCCCCAATGACATTTGTGAAAGTTAACTGGCAAATTAGCACTACCAGAAAGATCCTTTATGCGCTATCAAATTTTTAATGGATGCCAATTGACTGGTGGAGACCTAAGATTATTTTCTTTAAGACGTTAAATTTCTAGCTCTCTCTTCCTTGGGAAGACAGCCTTCAGAATGTAGTAAACAAATTGTTAGGAAAGGCTGTTAAGACAGGAAGAAATCAGATTTTCCTCCTTCCAGACACATTCAATGCTATGCTCTCCAACCAGCAATAGATGCTTCTGCAATACCACCCCAGAGAAGGTCGGTCACTGGCAAGTGACAGAAAATTCTCAAACCTTCCCCCCACACAATTGAAGTTCAAGTTACAGATCAGTAATATAACAAAAACTATAAAACCCCTGTGAAGATATGGAATCTTACTAAAGAGTTCCAAAAGACTTCCTTCATTACGCTGTATGTCTAATCAGGAATTGGTAAAATACATCTTTTTTGCCGGATGGGACACTGCTGTAAACAGCACAGGAGTTGGTGCAATCATGATAAAAAGTACAATTAAGACCAAGACATTCTAATGATTATACTCAGGATAAGATAAAATTTATGGATAGACAGTTTGTTTGGTCTGTTCTATAAAGGCAGAGTTAATCATATGGGTACCCTTTGCTATGCATGTCTACAATTTTGAATGTTTGGGTTAATTTTAAGTTAAGGTTAAACTCTGAATTCCCTGGTATTCTAACGGTGGTTGGTTTTTTTTTTTTTTTGTTCTTAATCTTAATTCCATTTTTACTAAAATGTATGTCTAGGAATAAATGTTACAGGATAAGTTTAATTACACAGTTCCCATTAACTAAGGAGAGTTGAATGGCTAAAGCGTTCAACATACTGCTAAATTAGCAAACAGTCATTAATGGGGAAAAATGAAACCCGATTAGCCCAGGTTAATTCCTTGAAATTCTGTTACAAATTCTCTACAAAAACAGACAGATTTTCAGATTTCCTTTAATTACACAGGGAAAGAAAAAAACAACATCTGATTGATTAGTCTCATTAGGGATTGGCACCACCCCAGCTAGAACATTATAGCTGTAAGTAAATTATCTCAAAGGGTGGTATTCTTAAAAGATTTTGGAGTAGCAGTAATAGAAAATCCTTCTCAATTTTTTTTTAAAAGTGTCAAGGAAATAAGCATTCGGTTATTACTAAAAACTTAGAAAAATTCAAAAATTACATTGAGATATTACTTTTATTTTAAACATAAGCTATTTTAGACCTACATAAAACACTGTAGCTACATAATCAATATACACGAAAAATGTAGTATATCTTTAACTTTTCTTGGAAAAGTGGTATATTCACGTTAACATGTTAAGATTAAAAGGAGATGTTCTCTCAAGATAATTTAATCATGTGGAAACAGAAAGAAAGTAATCTTTAATGGGCTTATTAGGATTGGAGAGAAAGGTCCTCTGTTTTACCTGTTAATTAGCATTACTTTGAAAAAATATTTTATCTTTTCAGTAGATTAGGTTAATTATCAGCCAAAACCACTAAACACTTCTATATGCCACCATTAATGGTCAGCCAGTTATTTACTTGGTTTGTTATTGCATCAAGTTCAATAATGCATCCTGGTCGAGCAGTAGATTGTTGGCTCACAATGTTAAACACTTCCCCAATGAGTTTCTGAAACAGAGCAAAAGGACATAATGATTAGTACAGGTTTCAGAGTAACAGCCGTGTTAGTCTGTACTCGCAAAAAGAAAAGGAGTACTTGTGGCACCTTAGAGACTAACCAATTTATTTGAGCATGAGCTTTCGTGAGCTACAGCTCACTTCATCGGATGCCTTCATCCGATGAAGTGAGCTGTAGCTCACGAAAGCTCATGCTCAAATAAATTGGTTAGTCTCTAAGGTGCCACAAGTACTCCTTTTCTTTTAATGATTAGTACATTATTCATTCAAAAAGCAGCAATCCCAATTTATTAGCTGAAAATATAACCATGTACAGTAGTTGTATGCTTCTAATTTTCCTTGTTGGCACAAATAGTCATGCTTTTCTTACTGGTTTCATTTTGATATTTATGAACAATGCAGCATTAAGCATGAAATTAACATTGTTGTACTAGATCTATCCATGTGTATGCCTTAACACTTCTTGGTACATTAATTTTTATGGATACTTTGTGTTCATTGTTCAAGGATTTCTTCTTCGATTATGCCCATTTTTATAATGAGTTGTCATGTTTTTTAAACACAATGCTGTCCAATCCATTGCTTCATTCCTGCTTAATTTCAGATTTTGTCACGGTGCAGAAAAACAGTAATCTACTGCAAGGCCTGTTTTTCATAAATGACTCTGTTCTATGCACAACCTAAACTTGGGTAGATGGAAAGGAGGGATCTACATTAGAGGCATGTAAAGAGAAGAAAAGGCTGTGAATGGTATTGTTTTCAGATCTAACCTGTCTTATACCTCTCAAAGGCAAGGAGAGATATGCAGTTAGGACAAGTATCACAGAAATTTTGTTAGCATGTAGTCCAGGGGCAGCCAACCTGAGCCTGAGAAGGAGCCAGAATTTACCAATGTACACAGCCAAGAGCCACAGTAATACATCAGCAGCCTCCCCTCAGCTCCCCCCCCTTCCCAGCACCTCCCACCCACCAGCAGCCAATCAGTTGTTTCGTGGCATGCAGGAGGCTCGGGGAGGGAGGGGGAGGTGTGAGGGCACGGCAGGCTCAGGGGAAGGCGTGGGAGGGGGTGGAGTGGGGTAGAGCTGGTGGCAGAGCCGAGGGTTGAGCAATGAGCACCCCCCAGCACATTGGAAAGTCGGAGCCTGTAGCTCCAGCCCCGGAGTCAGTGCCTATACAAGGAGCCGCACATTAACTTCTGAAGAGCCGCATGTGGCTCTGGAGCCACAGGTTGGCCACCCCTGGTGTAGTGGCAGAAAACACCACTGAGGCTAAACAGAGGGTTTGGCAAGCAGGATAGGGAAGAGCCTGTTTATAGTATTAAAGTTGGGGGATGTGACTCGGATAGAGAAGAGGATGTTCATTCTTTGGGGTTTGAACCAAACCCCAGAGAACATTCTGGAGTCCAGTGTCTCTGCAGAAAAATTAGAGAAGCCAGGGGATAGGTATATGTTGATGCAGCAGTAGCAACCCCAGTGTAGCAATGAGACACCCAGTGAATCCTGTAGGTGGTGAGACTGTGTTTGGGGAAAGACCTAGTGAATCCTTTTTCAGAGTAACAGCTGTGTTAGTCTGTATTCGCAAAAAGAAAAAGGGGTACTTGTGGCACCTTAGAGACTAACCAATTTATTTGAGCATAAGCTTTCGTGAGCTACAGCTCACTTCATTGGATGCAACCGATGAAGTGAGCTGTAGCTCACGAAAGCTTATGCTCAAATAAATTGGTTAGTCTCTAAGGTGCCACAAGTACCCCTTTTCTTCTAGTGAATCCTGCAGGTGGCAGTACGGTTGCCAGTTTTGGCTGGATATATTCCTGGAGATTTCATTTTATGGCCACCTTAATTAAAGATTAGTCTAATTCCTGGAGACTCTAGGACAATCCTGGACGGTTGGCAATTCTAAGTGGTAGGACTGTATGTGCTGGGATGGGACACCGCTAACCCACTCCCTTAATATTTAGGCTTCAAATCCTGAAAATAGGCACATTAGTATGGACCCCTGACCATGCACAGAACCCCAGTCAATGGTATGTGACGTGGCAGCAATTGTCCATACTAGCACATTGATTGGAGAACCGGGGTGCAGTTTGTAAAGTTTTTCTGATTTTGGGCAGGGGATTTTAGTCTTGGAGTTTCAATACACCACCCTTCTCCCTTACGCCCCTCCCCCACAATTACAACTTACAAGAGTGTCCATATGCTCCTTTGTATATCAATAAGGAAAAAGTTTTCATTGCCACATAGGATTTCAATAAAACGAACTGTTCAAGCATGCAGGGTGCCCCTTCTGCATTCCCACAGCCAAGTCGCAATATTACACATCCAGTAGAGCTTCAGGAAAGGACAGGGCTTTGTCTACAGTGCGGGTTGACCGCCATACAGCCTCTCTCCCTGCCATTCCCAGGCACGTGGCATGCAGCAGAAAGAAGGCAGTGGGTGCTATGGCAGTGTCAATGCCCCAGCAGGGGAGGTTCGGGGGATAGTGGGGAATCAAGAGCTATTGAGAGGGAAGCAGGAGTGAAGAGAAGGGGTGCAATGAGCTAATGGGAAAAGAGGGGAAGTGGGGACAGGACTACCAGAGGAAGCTAAAGAGGAGCAGGAGCTAAGGGAAGGACAGGGGCGAATAAGGGGACAGAATGGGGATGACAGAAGCCAGTGGAAGTGCAGGACAGGTCAAGAGCTGGAGGTGCGGGGGGGGCTAGGGAAGCCAATGGTGACCCTTAGCACTCCCTCTTCCCCTTTTCAGGTTCTGTCCTGCCCAACAACCCCACTCTGCTCTCCTCTGAAAGCTCATTTTCCCTTAGATTCTCCCAAGTTGCTGGCTTGGCACATGCCTTTGCCTCTCTCTTTAGGCATAAGGCACATCTGCTGCTACTGTTTGGGGAAGCCGGTCGCAGAAATCTAGTCTTAGCCTTTCACTAATACTAAATCCAGTGTTTTCAAAACTAATGATTATGGACACATGCAAACTAAGTAAAAATTACATGACATCACATGGACCTGCACAAAATTTGGCAGCTATGAGAAAAGTGAAGCTTTTGGAACAAAACTAATATGTTAAACTTTTGCCTTTTGCATTTCAAGTCTCAAATAAACTGTATGTAAACTTACAGAACATTCAGGGTCAGACAATTCATCTAGAAGTTTTCGTGCATCTACCACTGCTTGATAAAGCCTCAGATTTTTGCCATCAGATGCTACAAAGCAAGCACTAGCAGAATTGCAGTATGTACCTGAATCAAAACACCAAATACAAATTTTAGCATATAAACAGATTATGATACCATTTTCCCCCTCAATTATTGGCTGAAGTGACATTATGTAGCCAATTAGAATCTATTTTATTGCATGAAACTATATTTAATGATCAGACTAGTATTGTTGAAATATTGGCAAATGTCATGAAAATGTGTAAGTTAAATATAATAATGTAATATTGAAGTAATCTCATGTCTTAATTTACATTTTATGATAAATTTTAGTTATACAAAACAATCTAAGTAGACACAAAATCCAGGAGCAGAATTAACATATAAATGAATGTTTATAAACAAACAAATCTTTGCAAGTGAGCAAAGACCAGCAGGTACCATATCCAGCTGAATAATATCCTTCCTGGAAAATATAAACTCCTAATGTTAAAAGTAGCAATACAGGGGAAGAGGAGAAATTATGCACACAGTACAAATGTATACATTCAAGTGACCTGTAATGGTTTGTGTCCTTTTGGCTTCTCTAAGATGTATAAAATAGGTCTGATGCAATGGATTTAGTTTTTGTTTTTGAATTATTTTTCTGCTTAGCTTCCTACATTAGAAATATCTTTTCTAATGACTCAGCTCTTTTTGGCTGCAGAATGCCTTAAAAGGACTGAAGAACTTAATGAGATTATGGCAGCACAGAAGACTGAAACTTGATCAGGAAGGGATATTTAATCAGAGCATTAAACATTTGGGGCAGGGCTTGTTGTTTTTGTTAAAATCTATTTAACTCCAAGTCTTGAAAAACTCTTTCTTGACTTCTCTAGCAAAATTATGGAGGAAGCGTTTGTTGTTTGCTTTGCAGTTCATTTTTAAGGTCTGGGAAGATGAGAAGAAAAAAAAACAAAACTCAGAGCCAATATTCCTTAATTACAGTTTTAAGAAATATGCTTACGCATATCAGTGTTGTGATTCAGTAATTTAATTTATCTTTAATTAGTGTTTAGCATTTTCAAGCTTAGTCTGAACACGGTTATTGAATTTAATAATTATATAGTTAAATACTATACATTTGTTATGCAGATGAAACTTTCCAGCACAGATATGGCATGGTAAACTTGTTTATGGTATTTTGGAAGGTAAAAATTGAGTGACTGAAAAGGCTTAAAAATTTTATACGGAAGATTTTCTTGGTAGTAATATTAGAAAACACTAAAATTAAATCCAAGAATTAAAGAATTTATTAAACCTGATGCTCTAGTGTCATAGCACAAAACTATGACCTACCATAATGGTGTCCCCTCCCACATCAATCCTCTGTCCCCTCCAAAACCTTATGTCTTCAGCATTAAAAAGTCAATGTACCTGATTATTAAAACTTATTCAGCTTTAGAAACAGGCTTCTTTAAAACAGAAAAAGGTGGAAAGAAGTCTGTTATATATGAAAGCTCCCAAAATAGAGGACATTAAGTAGTTTATGGAAGGGTTGAGCAGGTTTAAGTGTGAGTTTAAAAATATTCCCTATATAAAAGGATACAATTATAACACAGATGTTGCCACTGTCAGAGACATTTTGCTATTTATATGGACCCTGTCACAGCACATTCATAGTTTGTTAGTTCGCTTTGATCTAGTCCCATTTCAGAAGGCTATATCTGAGCAAACTAATGAACTGTTAATGCCCAGCAGCTGATCAAATCCAACAAATTCTTTAAAAAAGAAAAGGAGTATTTGTGGCACCTTCTTTTTGCGACTACAGACTAACACAGCTGCTACTCTGAAACAAATTCTTTGTGAGAACCCTGTGCATGTTAACAGTTTGTTATTTAGTTCTCTTTGAAATGCAACTAGATCAAAGCAAAAGAACAAACTTAATGTGTGGTAGCTGACAATTTTTTGTTGCTGTGACCACAGTGTGAAATTATCTATATTTTACCTTGGCTGTGGCATGAATTATGCATAATTTTACCATGACAAAAATCCTATCCATACCTATATATTATAAAAGTGATGATTTAAAACAAATTGATTGCTGGAGTATATAGTAAATCAATTTTGCAACTATATTCTTAAATCAAAAAAGTTAGTGTTATTTTTCTTCCATAATAAGTTAGTTGAAGTCAGCTCTTTGAAGGAAGCTCCCAGAAGCTGGACAGATCCGGTCTCATCTCTTTCATGAATTCAAAGTTTTGAGCTATTTCACAATAAAGATAATCTTTTTCCAAAGGACAGTGGAAGATATTACACCAACTGTTCTAACAATGTGTTACTACCTATACAACATTTTAAGTTTCCTATTTTAGTACAAGGTATGCTTAGATAATACAAGTCAAAAAAATTAACCAAAAAAATTAGTTTTCATTTAATGAGGTGTTCAAAGCAATGGGAGTTTCTTGAAAAAAAAACAAGGAAGGATAATGAAATTATATAATGTATAACAAAACAGATAATGCCTAGAATAATGAAATAATTACAATACATGACTAAAATAAATTATAAATATTTTGTTTGAACAGATTACATGCAATTGTTATGTAAAAAAAAGTACAACACACTCACCAAGACAATAGCTGGGAATAAGAGTTGGAAGCCAGGCCACATTAGAGAAGGCAGACGTATGAAGCGAGTTAATTCGAGCCAATTCAGATACTCCTCCAGTGTATGACAAAGGTCCAATGGGGTCTACACGCCACAGAATCAGCTCACTGTAGATTGCATTTGGGTCATGGAACGTACAAGTTGCTGCATTTCTAAGATGTTGCCTAGAAGAACCTTTTAAATGTTTAATAGGATCCATTATTTTGCTTAATCTATCAGCGTCCCATGGATGATCTGATTCAGGAGTTAACAGAGCATTATGATGAGAAGATGTTAATAACAAAGGTAAAACAGAATGGCAAGCCAGGTCATTGAGATGAAATCGGTGACCACAGTACCTAAATTTATGTGATACAGTAAGCACAGTGGTAAAAGCAGATTTATCAGCAAAAGTAACTGCCCACTGGTTTAGGGATCCATCTATATGTTTGGAAACCATCATCACGATAGGAGCCATTATATTCACATTTGGGTTACCCTGGGAAGAGCTTGGTCCATTAATTCCTAGAGTGCTATCTGGAATATTAGCTGTCGTCTGATGCACAGCACTAATGACATCTTTTGTAGAGGTAGTGCAAGCATACATCATGATGTTTTTACTAAGGGAGCTGGCATCTCCTGATGGAAATGCAACAGGAATCCGAGAAGAAAATGAAATCTAAAAAAAAAAAAGCCCAAAATAATGAAAAGTTTAGTTAAAAAACAACATTTTAAACACAAGCCCACCATAAATGTTAATATATTTTTGCTGTTTTATATTATATTTGTTTTACAGATTAAATTTATATTTACATATGTTTCAATAACAAGTATACAGTGAATATCTGTTAAAATAAGAAATAATTACGTTTTCCAGTACCGTACCTGAACTTGTCTAAATATTCCTGGATTGTACTCATCCAAATATTTCACATGCCACACTAAAAAGGTACCATCAATGGGGTGAATAGTAAAAAGCATATCTGGATTCCTGTTCCATTCAGTAAGAAGCATTTCAATTTTCCGATCTAACAAAACTGTAGGAAGTGGCATACGTGGGCTGGCTGATGGAGATGTTTTGGGGCTCCCCTCTCTTTCTCCATCTTCATGTTCTGAAGAGCCTGTAGCTGTTCCTGTCTCAGATTCTCTATCGATAGATAATTCTGAAACAGATAAAAACAAACTGTCTTATACTACAGCAGAAATTTCCTTGCCATAATTTATAAGCAAAACAAAATCAATTAAGGTGCTAAATAACAATGTTTATCACACTAAGCCTTTTGGAGGTAGAAACTGTCTTTTTGCTCTTTGTACAATGCCTAGCACAACAGGGTAATGGCTTATGACGGAGTTTCCTAGGCACTAATGACAAAATCATCATCTACAAAACTCCCACACACACTCGTCCCAAATTAATATGATCCTTTCAGATAAGGGGATTGTCATGAAATGTGTGGTGTTTTACAGTTGATAGGGAAAAGGTATTGTGCGCATACTGTAAGAATTGTGATGCCCTTAACTACTTATTTCCTTGTGTTTAAGGACCTGGATTTTTTTTTTTTTTTTATAAATTACGTGATAGGTCAGGCTGTCGTCATCAATTAACCTTACTTGGTTTTTGAAACAAAGATTTTTGGTTTTAGAGTTTCCCAGGTGATTTTCCCCCTTTAGCTTGTGTAGCTAAAAAAATATACTTTTTTTGAAATTTGAAATAAATGGAAGTAGCACCAGACAACTAAATTAAAGGTACTGACCAAACTAATAATGGCTCCTGCCTTAATTCACAGTGTGCCTGACAAAATACACATTCTTATTACGTCTCTAAGTTAACTACAGTATAAATGCACAGTGCAGTCTTCATTCATTTAGAATAGGGATGAAAAGCATAAGAAGTCTAAAGACTAACTGGTAAACGTCAGTAAACATCAATTTCACCATTCCCCCCCAAACCAATGAAAAAATATTTCCATTGAAACTAACAGAAATTTCGATAGGCAAAGAAAGAAAAATGCTGCTTGAGAACTTATGAGAGTACCACCTAAAATGTGCATAAAACATATTGTAACACGAACATTAACAGACCTGAAACAGTGACACCATTTAGGTAGCTTTAATTTTTTGAATCTCAACCTGTCTCTCATGTCTCTATTCCATGTGGAACATAGGGTCTTCACCACAGCCTTCCACCTTTGCCGGTCTCCTGCTGCAGTCTTAGCTTCTTCCCATATCATTTTAATAGCTATCGTGTCTTTCCACGTGATCCTGGATCTACCTTGTTGCCTCTTGCCCTGGGAGTTGCAGTCCAATGCCTGTCTTGTTATATTATTCAGGTCTTTCCTCTATGTGTACCATGGACATCTCCATTTTCACTCCATAATTTCCTGTCCTGTCAGTTTGTTTTGTCCTCCCCAGAGTTCATTTGTGATTTTTATTGGCCATCTGATCATGAGGATTTGTCTAAGACAGGTGTTTGTGAAAATTTAAAGTTTAGATAGTAAGGTCAAGTCTCCTAGTTTCAGTGCCACATAGTAAGACCGAGTTTATAATGGTGTTAAATATTTGAAGTTTAGTTTGGAGGGCAAGATTTCTGTTTCCAGACTGCCTTTAGAGTTACAAAGGCACATCTGGCTTTTGATATTTTGGCTTTAATGTCTTTGTCTGTTCCGCCTGTTGTACTTACAGTGCTGTCATGATATGTGAAATATCAGACCTTTTCTATGTCCATCCCAGATAGGTACGTTATTGGTATGTTCTGTTGTGTGTTGAACACCTACTGTCATTAAATAATTTTCTGGCACACAAACACAATTTCCCACAACCGTGAACATGTAAATTCACAAAAATCTAAAAAAGACCTTAAAATAAACATTGATATTATCAATTGAAATCATATATAAAAAGGCAAAATCAAATTCTGCCAACCCTAAAGACAGGGCACCAGGCAGCTCCCAAGCGAAAGTGGGGGGCAAAAGATGGCAGAGCCCAATTTAATGCTACTCTGAGCGGCATTAAAAACAATCAGATTTTTTCCACTAGAAAATCCTCTGGTTTGACAGTGGCAATTGGTGTCTAAAGGGTGGTGCCCAATCTCAACCCCATACTCCAGAAATTATGCAAAACCTCAACTGTACATAACCTGAGTGTAAGGGCTTTCATTGTCTTGGGGAAAACAATGCCGTATGCTTGAAATGGCTCAGGACTTGAACTCGAAAAAAGAAACTGGCACTCGGCTAAATTCTGCCCACGAGACACTTCTCACAGTAGATTGTGCAGATACTCAAGATATGACCATGCCTTCTCTGCTGGGTTCCTCAAGCTCAATGTCCCCTCAGTGAGGTTCAAAAATGCATCCACAGACAGGGCCATATTAAAACCCAAATCATCAGCATAGGGTCCTGTCATAAATATAAAGGGAAGGGTAAACCCCTTTAAAATCCCTCCTGACCAGAGGAAAAATCCTCTCACCTGTAAAGGGTTAAGAAGCTAAAGGTAACCTCGCTGGCACCTGACCAAAATGACCAATGAGGAGACAAGATACTTTCAAAAGCTGGGAGGAGGGAGAGAAACAAAGGGTCTGTGTCTGTCGGTATGCTGCTTTTGCCAGGGACAGAACAGGAATGGAGTCTTAGAACTTTTAGTAAGTAATCTAGCTAGGTATGTGTTCGATTATGATTTCTTTAAACGGCTGAGAAAAGAACTGTGCTGAATAGAATGACTATCCCTGTCTGTGTGTCTTTTTTGTAACTTAAAGTTTTGCCTAGAGGGATTCTCTATGTTTTGAATCTAATTACCCTGTAAAGTATCTATCATCCTGATTTACAGAGGTGATTCCTTTACTTCTATTAAAAGTCTTCTTGTAAGAAAACTGAATGCTTTTTCACTGTTCTAAGATCCAAGGGTTTGGGTCTGTGGTCACCTATGCAAATTGGTGAGGATTTTTACCAAACCTTCCCCAGGAAGTGGGGTGCAAGGGTTGGGAGGATTTTGGGGGGAAAGACGTGTCCAAACTATGTTTCCCAGTAAACCCAGTTAAAGTTTGGTGGTGGCAGTGGAAATTCCAACGGCAAAGGGTAAAATTAATTTGTACCTTGGGGAAGTTTTAACCTAAGCTGGTAAAAGTAAGCTTAGGAGGTTTTCATGCAGGTCCCCACATGTGTACCCTAGAGTTCAGAGTGGAGGAGGAACCTTGACAGGTCCCAGCTAGCTGAGTCATGTGATGTCATCAGAATCTCAGGGTTTGTTTTTTTTAAAAAAATATGTTTCAAGCCTTCATTGTTGCAAAGAATGGCTGAAAAAGTGAACTGTGTATAACTGACCTAGTGATGTCTGTCTGAGCCTGCATATGGCCTACAGCAAATGGAAGAGCCAAGAAGTGAACTGACCCTCCCAACTCTGAGTGGGTTGGTCTGAATGGGGTGTGTGGCTTGCATGCACTGCTGGGTCTGACAGTATTGGCTGCATGTGATGGGGTGTATCAACTTCAAATGCCAAAAAGGTGGCAATTGACGCCTGAGAGCTTATTAGCCCCACCTTGTTACACCTAACAGCTGTGCCAGGTTCAGGGAGCAGTTAAAAGGAAGGAGGAGTTCAGCAATTCGGGTGGAAGGGAGAATTTAGGAAAGATGTGGCTTGGAGTCCCCTCTCTGCAGGAAGGCCTGACAAAAAACAGGTAGAATAAGAAGAACTGTGAGATAAGCTAAAGAGCAGAGTTATCTCCTGTGGTGGGCCTTGAAAAAGGGGCAAGATGCTGGGGAGGGAGCCCTGTTGCTTGGTGTTTTGCAGAAGGACAGAACTGGGGAGAACCTAAGGCTATGTCTACACTACAGCTTATGCCAGCATAATTTTTGTCACTCAGGGGTGGATATAAACCAAGCCCAAGTGACAAATTATGCTGACATAAGCACTTGTGTGCGCAGCGCTATGTTAGCGGGAGACCTTCTCCCACCGATGTAGCTTTTGCCACTCGCAGAGTTTGCTCTCCCTTCAGCACAGAGTGTCTACACCACACATGCTGCAGCTGTGCAGATGTATCAGTACAGCTGTGCTGCTGTACATACAGACATGGCTGAAAACTGACTAAAAGCTCAACTGGGAGAGGCAGAAGTTGCTTAGTTTGTATTTTCATTTCATTGTTTGTTTTAATTTTGCTGAGAGACTCCAGAAAAAGCCCTGTGAGCCACTACTGTTCTGGAAGAGGAGAAACTGAAGAGGAGCCTAGGAGGGGTGTAAGACATTGTGCTGATTGCCATTATTTTGTTGGACACGATTTGTTTTGGACACTGAAACCCCCAAAGGAGTGCAACTATAGTGTGGCGTGGCTGGAGGACCCACTCACCCTGGTACCCAACCACTGAAGCCTTGAAGAGGATAGCAAGAGAGTTGCGGAAATGCTATGACATTTAACAAGGGGGCGCTCTGGAATGGTAAGTTGATGATGTGCCCCCTCAGTGGGGCTCAGATGAACCGCTTGGCTTCGTTCCTTTCCCAGGTGACCTTTTAGCTCCATGGGGGGAAAGTAGTAGTGGTGTTCTCAAGCATCATTCATTCATGTTACTTTCCAAACAATAGGCAGAAATTCATAATATGCTTGTCCCTGTCCTCTGACAGTGGTGAAACCTTTTTCTTCTTCCCCTTTTCCCAGCTAATTGGGGTTAGGTCACTAGATCAGTCTTTTCCTTACTTGCCAGTCCAACGCTCACTCCATATCCACTCCGTCCTGCTGTACACAGTCTATCCACTATTTTCTTGGCTGTCCTTCTCTGCCCACACACTTAAATCTCAAGTGCTCTCCTGTACAGAATTCTCTTCATACATCCTTCACACGTCTATACCACCTCAGCTTCCTCTCTTGCAGCTTCTCACTGATAACATCATTCTGCATTTGGTCCAGCAACATCACCCCCTCACTGCCCTCAAACATCTCATTTCCATGGCTACAAGTTTTCTCAGGTGCCTCTCTTTGGTTGCCCATCTCTCTGATCCCTCTTGCCATGGCTTTGTATAATTGTCCCTTTAAGTAGTCTGGGCATCCATTTACTATAAATCATTCCACATATCTTGTGCCATTACATCAGTGGTGGACAGTGAACAATATTAACATATGAAATACCACCGGGCATCGGAGTTAACGCCAGTGGTCTTAACATGGGTCAGTTCACACCTCCCAGAGATACTCTTACAGGCTGTGCGCATCTGGTAGACATCACTGCACTGCACTTACTTCACATTTTCAAGATTGTCTTCACAACTATATGGGGGATAGCCTTAGTATTTTATTTATGAAAGCTGAGATTCCGAGAATGATGGGATGGCCCTAATGACCCGATGTGAAGCAGTCCAGTTCAGATTTTGGATACCACTACCAACTTCCTTTCATTTGTGCTTGCCTGCCACATTTGGCTATAATTTGTACTTATCTTCTCCTTTGCATATAGTAAAGGGAACGACCCAAAATTAGCAACCTTTTATTATTGTGTGCAAATGCCACTTTCTCTAGGCTAAGGAAAGAGATAATTATACATTAATATCCAGTAGACATTTTAACAGAAAAGCATACTTGAAGTTAAATACATAATTTCCTCAATGAGAATCTAAATGAATGTAAGAGAATAATCAACCACCGATATGCAAACAGACATACAACAATATTCAGTATAAACCCCTTAATATAAAACCTAGGTTTTCACTATAATCTATAAAAAATGGAGAGAGAGTCTTCACAACCTTCCAAAAGAAAGACTGTTAAACCTGTTTCATGCAGGAGATTATTGTGCCCACTAGCGGTTGCAGCCTACAGCACATGAAACCTAAACTATAAATGCCTATATTTGTGATGTGTGACATCATATGTACTATGTTCGCCAGAGTAATTTTAATATAGACGTTATAAAATAATAACCTGGATTACCAACCATGATCTAGTTTCATATGTAAGCCTCTCTCTTTCTCCTCCATTTCCTCCTCCTCTTCACCATCAGCATCATCAGCATCTTGTTCTGGTTGTTGTTCAGCAAGTTTTCTTAGATGCCTCATAAATACTTCAATTGAGGATGTAAAATTAAATTCTTTATTATTCAGCCAATGAACCACAAAGCCTCCATTTCCTTCATCTACATTAAAAGCTGTCCCAGCTAACACTGATGGAATATCTGTGGAAATAAAATTTAATTTAAAAAATCGCCACCAAACCACAACATAAATATACGCAAATTAGCTACCTAAAACACAGAACTTCGTAAATTTATACCTGTAAGCTAAAACAAGTTATACACACACGAGACAGTGGATAATTTACAGATACTAATGGAAATGGGTTGTTATAAGGTGAAGAAAGAAAATTAGCTTTGTTCCATAAACAAAAACCAGTTACAATAACAAAAGTTATGGTTCTCTACATGAAAAACATTGTAGTTATGTATAAAAGTATTCATAAAACCAAACCATTTAAAGACAAGTGTAATAAATCTTATGCTGCCCACAAACATTCTTACCAAATATTAATCATAACATAGCTCTAACTCTGATAATAAGTTATTCTTAAAACTTATTCTCTGTTTTCATATCTATATGTTTCTTTTAGGGACAGTGTCAAATGGAAAATATTCAGTTAATATATTTATCAACTGACAATTTTTCAGTATAATACTTATGTGCGCTTTCAAATTAATAGAATAAAGCCGTACATGTAGTTTAATAAAAAAGTGTAGATTAATTGGTAAAATTATACACATTGCTGACTTGCACTTGAGACTCAATGTGCTACATTAATGTATAAATATAAACTTTTATAATTTCTTTTTCAAAAGTATTTTGTTTTGTATTTATAGTTTGAGATTATGGGTGTAAGAATATAATGTATTTTGGGTCAGAGTTAAGATTGTTGTGTTGCGATCAAATATGCATTTCTTTATACTTGACAAGAACAACCTATTTGTTATGTGAACAGGGTATAATTTATGTCCTTAACTATTTATATCCTTTAAGTGCCAGGGTTCTGTAAATATGATAAGTGACTACATTGCTATTGGTTAACAACCTCTTTAATTAAAAGAAGGGTTTTTTTAATTTAAAAAAAAGAAGCTTGTTTTGGGAATTTCACAAGGTTTTGTTAATGCTTTATTTTTAAAATTATGTGTAGTTAAAGAGACTCCTATTTAACAAATAGGATAAGACAGATCACCAGATGGAAGGAGGGAGTGGTGGCTGACTAAAGACTTGTACAGAACTCTCTCATTCAACGTACACCACGGAGGATGCATATGTTCCATGGGTACCTATATTAGGCTGTGTTTGTAAGTGGACATGACTATCTTCAGAAGTGCTCAAAAACTATAGTAAATTGAAGTAAAACTAAAGACTAGAACCAATGTAACTTGATTCCACTGCTAAAGACAAACCCGACAGGCCACAGTGCCTCCCAGGCATGTCCCTGAACCTTTGTGCATATTTCTCCCAAAGCACCTATCATTATCGTACCTAAAGGTATGTCTACACTGGAGCTGGAGGTGAAATTCCCAGCTTGGGTAGGCATACCTGCACTAGCTCTGATTGAACAAGGGTGCTAAACATCGCAGTGTAGCCGTGGGTGCACAGGCAGCAGGACAGGTTTGCCACCCCCAAGTATGTACCTAGGGTTGCAGACAGGATTGTGCACAGGGAGGCTAGTCTGTCCTGCTGCCCATATGGCTGTATCTACACTGCTATTTTTAGCACGCTAGCTCGATCACAGCTAGCAAACATCTACCTGAGCTGGAAATTATACTCCAGTGTCAGTGTGGACATACTCTAAGTGCCACTTATTGCCCCCAAAACATTAAGAGATCTGCAAAGGACCTTCCCCGTCAAACCCAAGAACAAACCAAACTTGAGTTTGTGCCTTTTTTGCTTCTTTATTATGTACAAAGATGACCCAAACGTTTTGTTTTTCATCCAAAAAAAAAAAAAAAAAAAGGGGGCGAGAGTTTTAGTTTTTACATTAGAAATTCAGGTGCTGTCTGTCCTGCAAGTCTCTCTGATAATTAGAGACTACTGAAATGACATCTTTGCTATGGACAGTACTCAAGAAAGCAGATCAAACCATGAGCACTACGCCAATACCATCTCCCTAACATTTCCATTTTGGATAAATTATTATTGGGCATTTAAAGGGAAAAAAAAGAGTATTTTCACCTGTGGTAGGGTTGATGCTTGCTGCTATATGAAAGTGACAGAGTGCATTAGCATGATGTGAAATATGACGCTGAACTTCATGCGAGCCCTGTTGATCAGGCAATAATTCTGTGTGAGTAATAAGAACTGAAGATCTTCTTTGTCCTTTTCTCATATTTTTCAAGTGATGAAGTGTCTGAAGTAAAAAGAAAAATCATATTTAAATCTAAAAGAAAACAACGCATTGTGAAGTTGATCATGAGAATATATCTATGCAAATCCTAATACCTAAGATGTGAAGACCCTGCATGCAGATTGGTTGAGGTTGTTAAACTGTGCACATTTTTTCTGATCAAAGTCACATTTCAAAGCCTTTAAGTCTCTGCTCTAATCAAAAAATATTAATTTTGTGATAGCATTTGTATAGAGACAGAGCAGTCACAACTTTTGTCTACCAGCAGGGTAAGTATGTCTTAGTATGAAAGCTGACATTCCAAAAGTTGTCACAGCTATTAGTCTGATAAAGCAATGGATCTGAGCCTTTCCAGATTACTGTACCCCTTTCGGGAGTCTGATTTGTCTTATGTACCCCAAGTTTCACCCCACTTAAACTCATGTTTTGGCTTCAGCCCCACACGGCCTGGCAACCCATTAAAACGAATTCTCAACCCTCTTTGGGGTCGCAACCCACTGTTTGAGAACCGCTGAAAATGTAGAATAGTAAACAAGTCACTGGCTGAATGAAATTTTAGTTTGTACTTACTTTGCTAGTGCTTTATATGCAGCCTATTGTAAAACTAGTCAAATTTCTGGATGAGTTGATGTACCCCTTGGAAGACCTCTGAGTACCCCTACGGGTACGAGTACCCCTGGTTGAGAACCACTGTGATAAAGGAACCTTGAGCCAATGACCTTCCAGGGGTATCATACTTTGTAACACACTTTGGATTTGTATTATTTTTATATTACTGTATATAATCTTCACACTTGTCTTGATTAATTCATAAAAGTCTTCAGTTTTCAGGAGTGGCACAAATATAACTGAGGCCATAATTTGAAAACAATGGCTTCTAAAAGCTCAATTGAGGCATTATTATTATTATCATTATTATTGGCATAATTTGTCCTGCTACATATTTGTTACTGGTGATATGCCAGAAGGGAAGAGCTCAGTATGATTTTCATACACCAGGATGAGTTTTCAAAACTGGTAGTTTCTTCCCTCTAAACTAAAAATTTGATACAGATACCACCGAGACTCAAACATGAAACACCACAATGCCATCTTTGCAAAGACATTTTTCAAAGCAGAACAGCCCTTTAAAGACATTAACCAGACCAAACCACTTAGAGATGGAAAGAAAAGGTTTGTATTGATAGCATACATTTTACCTGGAGGGAGCTGAAAAACCTCCCCTGTACTGAAACTGTCTTCTTAGTAAACAATGCAATGAAAACCAAATGAACAGGAAATTTGATATTTTTTTAAGAATAAGTCAATTATATGCTAATATCTAATCTTCTTAAGGGGTAAGAATATTTTCCTTACATACGTCCAAGAGAATGTTTCAATTCTTGGTTTCCATGGATGTTGTCACAAGTATGGAATCTCATTCTCCAACCAGAATGAAATTACCACTTACTGTGCAGTATTTAACATCATGTGCTCCTAACAACTCTACACTCAGCTGAGGAGGAAGCAGATTCATTCCATTTTTCATCTGAGTCTTAAGGGTTTTATTCTCAAGTCTGCAAAAATAAATTCTCTTTTTCTTCTTGAATGATTTGTTGTAAACTGAGTATGTGAAAGAACTCAGACTGCTACACTCTGATCTACTGTATACTAGAGGCTAGACAGCATGTGGTTTCAGTTTTCCAAATCCCTTAAATTTTACCTACCCAAAATTTTAACTACTGAAATAAAAAATAATTAGCAACATAAATATTTAAGAGTACCTCTAGAGCATGCTGTATTCTGTCTTTTTGCCTTCCAGAATGCAACAGGCTGCTGCTACTGCTGGAAGTGCTAGTCTCACTGATCTGCTCACCCAGAAGACTATCTTCTGGTAATAAAGTCTCTGCCCACAGCCGACAGATACCATCATGGCATGAAGTAAGTAACACGTTACAGACAGACCCCCTGAAAATAAACATTTCAGGATTACCTCAGGTAACTAAATGAAGTACAGTTACACAACTGAAAATACAAAAACATACAAGTGTTAGGCAGTTATGATCTGCTTCTTGGAAGGTTTTTGGAACTGAAACATGTTTATAATAGTCGTAACAATTTAAATATGCTAGCTAATGGCAAATTGTAGATTACCAACAAAAGTGCATCTGATAGTAACATCAACTCAGATGAATTAACTGAACACTACTATAAGCAAGTTTATAGTTACAGTTATAATTATCTGGTTTGCTGGGTTGTGTAAAGTCTGAGCATGTATACTGTATCACTCCAGGAGTGAAAATGAAATTGTAAGCTACTACATCTATCATGTCTGTTTTAGAAAGGAGTTTGTTAATAATTAACAATTTACACGGATTTTCCTTCTAATGCCTGAAGAATTCCTTCCATTTCCTGAAGAAAAGATTTATACTTGTGCTTCCTACACTTAATGTACTAAAGTTTAGATCAGATTTTATAGCACTACTGATGTCAATAGGTAAATTGAGTAAATGTTCACCAATGTAATAAGCGTTGCATAACTTCACCCTTCAAAATACCGTGCTCCCTCTGTAATAGCTGATGACATTACTAACACATACAGTAGTTACCATAAAAAAAAAAAGCAACCTTTTTAATGGTGACCACTCTAAAACAAGCCAAGGAGCTATATTCCCTATCCCTCTTGGGTGCAATGTCAACTTAATATTTAGGGCCCTGAATTCAGGTCCTAGAGAGTAAGTGAAAAAGATCATTCTAAAATATTTTGAAATGTAATTTAAGATCTACATTTAAAATCTATATATAGTTTCTTATAATTTTATAAGGGTTCCAAAAAAAAAAAAAAAGTAGCTCTGGCTACTTCGTGCCCTTTTGGTCCCCAGGTGGCCCAGGACTGGTGGAGCAAAAGGTGGCTTGAACGTCTTCACAAGACCCTCCTTTCCCCACACAAACATTAGGTGCAGCTAAGAAGCTGGCCTGACAGCTTTTCAGCTCCCTTTATTAGATCTTCTTATATTTGTATGCAATTCTGTGACGGACAGTGGTTGCCTAAACATTCGGAAACCTACAATCATGGTTTGCTACTATTTGAAATGTATAGAAAAGTTGATACTTTTCAAATAGTAGTAAGGGATTGCTAAAGACTGACCTATGCTCCAGTCCTGCCATTATTTATACGCATGCTTATCTTGAAGCATACAAGTAGTCCCAATGAAGTCAATGGGACTAGGCACATGTTTAAAGTGCAGAGAGAGCACAGTATCTTGAACTCAGGACTTGTCACCTTTTAATAAATTACAGATGTATATGTATATAAGTATTTGCAGAACTGGGGCCCTACAATTCAATGAAAATGCGTGTTAGTTCCAAAAGAAGTAGGGAAAATACTAGATTATTGGATTAAATAACCATCATAACAAACAGAAGCTGAAATTATATGTTCACATCCTTAAGCACTACATCTTCAGTATAATACGTAAGTGTATTTAAACTATCATGAAGACAAGGGCCAAAATTATTAAATTTGGATGTCTAAAATTAAGGTGCCTAAATTTAGATGTAGGTATGATAATGGACGTGGTCTAATTTAGAAATGGCCCAAAAAGTGAATGAGAAACTGCTGAAAATGAAGTTTTTTATTCATGTACCTATTTAAAAGCCTAACTTTAAGCACCCACACTTGAAAATTTTGATCAAAATTTCTTACAGGAACTTTCTAACCTGGGCATGTACTTGCTAGTTTTACGCCATGAAAATCCTGTCACCGCTCGAGGATGTGCCAAATAAACAAAGGAAAAGTGAACAAGTGCTGAGCTTTTTTTCTTTTCTTCACTCTCTCGAGGTAGAAGAGATGACTTCCACCCAGTCATTGGATACCATACCTTTAAGAGACAATCATCCTGGGCAAAGAAACAAAAACATATATACAAATGTCACAAAAAGGAAACCCAAAAGTATGGATGAAGTTAGCTTGGTGGTATACATCTAGTGACGTAGTTAATTAAAATCAAGTTGAAATGTTGATATAGCATCACCACCAATACCAAGAGGTAACTTATTAAAAATGTATATTTTTAATGTGTGTGGAGAATTAATTTACAGTAGCAGATTAAAGTTCATGTTTTAAAATTGCCAAAAGTTATATAACAGTACAACTATATGGTGGACAGCAAATATCAAAACTGCATGAGCAAAAAAATGACTGACAGCTTTTATTTGTGATCAAGCATTTGTGTGAGTGCAGGAAACTGATGTAATGTCTGGCAGAAAGAAAGATCTAGCTGGTGTAAGTCACCATTTACACCAACTATGAATCTGGCCCCACATACATAGCACCATAAATTTAGAGCTCATTTCCTAGTAAGAAATACTCCGTAAGTCAGACAAAATAAGATGTGGCACACAATTAAGGTAAGAGGGAGAGAGAACAAAGGAAAAAATTTCTATTAGATGTTAATTTTATAAACGGATTTGGAGGACAGTGAAAGCAGTTGTAGCACAAACAGAAGACCACCGCCACATATAGGAATAGTATGAATGAAGTCCTGAAAATGACAATGGAAGAAACATGAAGAGAGCAGTAAAGAGATGATTACAGAGAATGAAGGAAAAAAAGTGTGGAAGCCAGAAGAAAGACTACTTATGCATGGTCTGGGAAAACACAGATAAGCTTGCATAGTGTCTTTAAGGTAAGGACATGGTGGATGAATTGGAAGGGATAAGAAACTGGAAGCCAGTGAAGAGGCAGGCATGGAAATGTGTTAAGAGTAGCATGAGAGAGAATTTTAGCAGTAGTCTTTTTGGCCTTTTGAATAGATGGAAGAACATTATTCTTCCATGCTACCTTACTCTTTGTTCAAATCTTAAATTCTCCTAGGAATTCTTTCTATCTCATTCTCCTCATTAATCTGTCCTCGCCGCTGTTTAGAATCTCTGGCTTCATGACTGAAGCAGATAGTACCAGAAATAAAACTACAAGCCAATTTCTTCCTTTGCCCCCCTTTTGACCCTTTTCAGGTTCTTTTCACCAGATTTTCAGTAGGTTAGACTGACATACACCTGCATTTGTGTGCACTAAGAGATGTCTACGTGCCCAATAATTATCAGTGTAAATACAATTACACAATGGTAGGAAAATAGCTTTCTGAGTTGCAGGACTGACTGAGATAGGGAGTAGAAAATGGAAGGAAATCAAGTTTAAAAAAAAAAAATCTATTACAGACCTCTCACAGCCCAGCTAAAAGATAAAATTCCCACAAAGAGATCACAAGATTTGCTTGACCACAGATCCTACAAGCAGGACTAACAAAAATGCTCAGCAGGCAGCAATGTTAAGAGTTATGATTACAGCTATACATCTGATAGAGCTATATGTTGCAACCTAAATGGAAGCCTCTTCTGATGCAGAGACAGAGAATGGGCTTCTGGTACCATCTGCTACAATTATCTAGTCAGGGAATCTTATCTGTACAAATGTATATGCACAGCAGATGGAGATATGCAACGAATAAGACTTTCAAAGCCTAGCTTTTGGTCACTTTCTAACCACAAGGATCTTAAGATGTAGTACCTAGCCACAATACTACAGTGGGCACATTCCTAGTGAATCTAACACACACACACACACGTCTGTAACAGCAATATAAGCACCATGCCGGTGACTCAAGGTAACCATTAAGGAGAAGAGTTGCGGTAAATAAAAAAATTAGTTCCTCAAACTCATCTTTTCCCTTAGTGGAATTAGCGGTATGACTAACAAAAGCTGAACTATCAGAATGTAAACTCAAGATCACTCAAGTGACAGGACTTTAGATGAAATAAAAACGTATTGTTACATGAAAATTTAATCCCAAAAGCAGTTTGAGAAAGATAAGAGAAACTGAAATGGAGGTAAGAATGGAAGTTGAAACTCAGTCTTCAGTATACATTTGAAACTGTTTGGTAATTATTTAGATATTGGGATTAGTTTTGCTTAACTATGGCTACGTAATTGCACGCAGTCCATAATTTTTGCATATTAATTATCAAAAGCTTGTGATGAATCCACATCCGAAGACTTAGCTAGCTATTATTTGTCCTTACCTTTCCAGCTGTTGCAAAGTATTCACCATCGGGAGACCACTCCATCAGATGTACAGATACTGCAGTCCTAGGGAAGAAAGACAGTTCAGCTTTAAACCTTGACTGACTACTGTGTATGTATTTTTATAATATTATTGCTCCAAAATATACAATTAATGAAGTAACATTATGTAATATTTAAGTGAAGCATTTTGATAATTTATAGTCATTCCAATGTGTCTCAGCTATTATGTGCTGCATCCAGCTAAAAACAGAGGTAGCAGTTTAGGATTATTTTCGCACAAAAATATCTGACACATTGAGAAAAGAGAATGGGCAGAAAATAACTTTTTTTTGCAGAGCAAAAGCACATAAGCTCTTGATCCAAGTGCAAAAGAAAAACATCTCCTAGTTAGTCTGGGACTCTTTCTCAACAAAATGTAAGGCACTTGGCATTGCCTGAAGAAGTAAAGACATCTAATTTCAAGGAACCCCCATCTGGAAAGGAGAAGGCTTAGCACAGCATTTTTCAAGAATCAACTGTGTTGGTCCCAAAACTGGTAGAATAAGTCACCCACCTGGAAAATTTCCTTGTCTGCCAAGTGGAGAACAGAAGCATATATTGTTCTGGTTGTATTAGTCCCTCAGAGTACCTTATAACTTGGGACTGAAGAACAGGTCAGTTCTCGTTTCATCTAGAACATGGTAGCCACTCAGTCCATGATAGTTTGAATGACCTCTCATGGCAGGAAAGTTCAGATGGCAATTTTATGGCCCAAAATTCCAAGTTACTGATGCTTAGGCTGGCTTCTTTTCGCTTTCAGAGCCAAGACACACTGAGGTGCATAAATGAACACTCCTATCTAGAACAGCATTTATCTGTTATCACACAAGTTAGAGACCTCTGTGTGAATGGTGACCCTCTGAAAACTTTCTGGGGTAGTAACTACCAAATCACTTATTTTTCTGACAATGCCAGAGACCCATAACAGTAAGCTGAGAATATTCAAGCCTGAGTGATATAAAATGCTCAGCCAGGACGGAAGGGGCTTCTATCCACAGCTTGGTTGAATTCACAGAATCATAGAATATCAGGGTTAGAAGGGACCTCATGAGGTCATCTAGTCCAACCCCCTACTCAAAGCAGGACCAATCCCCAACTAAATTGAATGAGTTGAGCTCATTCAAACAACACAAGAATGCACGGTCACACATAAGAACAAAGAATGTCAGTCACATTTTCAGAATGGTGGGCTGTATCCCAGCAGAGAGAGACTCTGAAAAGGACTTACAGGTCATAGTGGATAACCATCTTAACATGTGTTCCCAGTGGATACTGTGATTAAGAAGACTAAATGCAACCTTTGGATGTATAACATCAATTAAGCATACAGAGGGGATACGTCTATATATATGGCATTGATCCATTACTGGAATACAGCAGACCAGCTCTGGTGTCCACACTTTAAAAAAGGATGTTGAGAAACTGGGCCGGGTGGAGGAGGTCAGAAAAGTGCCACAAGAATGATTTGAGGTCTGGAAAACCTGTTTTACAATGATTTAATAAGGCCAGTCTATTTAGTTTACCCAAGAAAAGGTTAATAGTTGACTTGATTGCAATTTAACTCTAATCTAGGAGAAAGGCTTAACAAGACCCAATGGCTGGAAGTAGAAGTTAGATAAATTCAAACTGGAAATAAGGTGCAAATTTTTCACAGTGAGGTAATTAACTGTTGTAATTTACCAAAGAACATGGTGAATTCTCCATCACTTGAAGTCTATAAAGTAAGATTGGATGTCTTTCTAAAAACACTCTAGCTCAACCATAAGATATGGACAGGATGCAGTAATTACTGAGTGAAAGTCTATGGCCTTTGTTATACAACAGGTCAGACTACATGATAATTATAGTTCCTTCTGGTCTTAAAAATCTATGTAACAAATACAATAATAATTAAAACAAATGTAAATTACACTAAATGAACAGTCAAGATGAGAGCAAAGGCAAAAGTAGAATAACAGGAACTGAGGGTATGGAGGAAACCTTGTTAAATGCAGTTGGAATATTAGACCTGCAGGCTGACACGCACATCCTTCCTAACAGACTTTGGAATGCTTATGGGAAAGTGTAGCGGGGTGGCTACCCCGCTCCTAAAATAGAAGGGGTTAAAAGCAGCCCTGGAGAGGGCTGTGGCTGGGGATGGCTGATTGGGGAAGCAGCTGCAGTTGGGCCACACCCCAATCAGGCCTCAGCTGGCCTGTATAAAAGGCTGTGACAGAGGCCCAAGGAGTCTCTCTCCAAGCTGGGAGAGAGCAGGGCCTGCTTGCCAGGGTACTGAGGGGGGTGCTGTGCTGTGGAAGGAGCAGGCTGAGCAGGGGTGCTTGAAGCTGGCAACTCTCCAGGCTGTAGGGCCTGGTCCGAGGCCCATAGAGGTACTGGGAGGTAGAGGAAGGCAACAGGTCCAAACCCCCTTGCCTATGATGAGTGGCCTTTACACAGCAGTCTGCTCCAGGGAGCAGGGGCTTGGTGATGACTAGCAGTAGCCCAGACTGAGGCAAGGTGGGGATAGTGGGTTGGGGGTACCCTGGGAAGGGGAACCCCAGAGGCAGAGTCTGGGAGTACTGCCAGGGGCAGAACCCCAAAGAAAGGGACCTGGGGTCTGTGAGGGACACGGGGGGGCCAGAGCTGTGCGGGTCACTGGCCTGCAAAGAGCGCTCCAGGCTGGAAAAGAGCTAATTCCCAATGACCAGCAGGAGGTGCTGCAGGGGTGAGTCCAGCTCCTTTATAGAAAGCAACACAAAGTTCTGCTAGAATGGGAGCTGAAGAGGAAATATCATACAGCTACTTATTCTTTAAGGGAAAAAAAAAATTCTCAACATTATTCAAATAAACAATTCGACTGGTTGAAAATGTCTTTAAAGGTAAATCTCTCTTCAGTTGGGTGATTGTCATCTGGATAGGGTGGGGCTCACATGGAAAGAATATTTGTCTGATTATACCTTATATAATTATAAAATTATAAATCAGGAAAAGTTACTAGGTTATAATGATGCATTTCTTTTAACACACTAAAATTCTGATGATAGTTCTCCCCCTCTAATTGCATTAAATGATTCAGTCCGTCAATATATAATATTTTTTCTGGGTATTTGAACGTGTATATCCTTCTGAAATATATATCAAACTCCTTTGTAATTCTGTAAACTGAAGAAATTCCATTGCTCAGTGGTTCCCTGCCCTTTTTTGGTTAGAGTCCCCTTCACCTTAAATTACCATATTAGCATCCTACCTAGGTCCCCTTGCACCATATCTTTGCTTAAGTGCCTCTACTTTTTTTGTCCTCTCTCCCGCCCCACACACACACCCTTTCCCTTCTAACTCCATTCTTTTTCCCCTTCCTGTTTTTCTTCTTTCAATTCTTGGTTTTTTTTGCTCTCCTCACTTATTCCATCATGATATTCAAAACTAGCATTATTAATCACTAATGGTGATTGCGTCTCCTGTCTGGGGGCGGGCAAGCCGCTTGCACACACTAGCATGACCAGGGACAGCTACCAGTGAGCCTGGTGCTCGCCCCAGTGGGCAGGGCTGCAGGCGGTTCAGCCACATTGGAGGAGCTGCCTGGGCTGGGCGCTGGCTCCTGCAACCCGACATGCTGCTGCGGTTCCTGACCCAGTTGCTGGCTATGGCCCTGCTGGTCTCGCTTGTTGTTGCTAGAGCCCTGCGATACCACGGATATCCGCTTTATATCCACAGATAAAAATTTTGTATCTGCGCAGGTCTCTAAATATTGAAATGCTTTTAATTGCACACATTTAAAATACAGTCTTTTACATCTAGTTAACACATCTTAGATTACAGATTCACTTACTTGCACTGCCAGACACATTTCCAGTCATTCAGAACAGGGAGAACTTTATCATCTTTGATCTGACTGTCAGGATCATTCTCTTCTTCCTCTTCTTCTAGAATGTCACTACATGGGGGGGCCCACAACTGCAAGTTGTCAGTTGCTGTCAGGAGCTTGTTACCTAAAAGTGAGTAATATTAATTGAAGTTGTAGAACAGAATGAGGAACTCTGGATGCATTTATATTGGAAGATTATGTAGCGTATCCGATCTTGACAAGTAATTAAAAATAGCCTAGGAACACAACTTTATGAAGTCCATTTTGATTACAGTAGATTATTCAGACATGGCACACTCAGCTCCAGTTGGTTTTATTAAATTTTTTAGATTTTATTTTAAGCAAGAGTGCTTTTTTCCTGCTATTATGAATACAGTAATATGAAAATAATTGATATTGTTTTGGATATTAAACCATCTGAATTAAAAATAAACCAATAATTTTATAACTATACTGATTTCATATTTCCAAAAGACACAGCTACTGAGTCATACTACATTTAAACTTGCAAACGTTTACTTAAACATTTGTAATGGCAGATGATAAACATTTGTTCTTCCGATGCCCAGATTTATTTCCCTGTATATCAGTAAGCCACCACACTATTTGGAGCTATTTAAATTAAAACATGTTTTGTTACTGTCTGTGATAAGGCCTTGTTATTTAGTCCATCCATTAGAAAATTTTGTAGGCTATCGGGAATTTTTTCTGCCAAAAACTCTAATTCCACAACCAGAAGAAGATGAAAGATGTGCAGAATTTCACAAATATCCCCATTGTATTAGAAACAAAAATTTACAAATCTCCCTCTTAAATTTTTTAGTGTACAAGTTGAAGAAAACAAAAAAGGGAGATTAAACAGACAAGTTTAGCCTCAAATATGGGTAGTTCTTGAATTTTTCCAGAATGTCAGAGGATCAAACTTCTCTTTAAAACTTATAACTTCAAAAGGAACTTCTGCCTTCCTGTAAAATGGGTTTCTATTAGAGTATGAAATAGAGTATAAATATTAGTTAGTTGTCCTTTCTCCACAGGTAATTTGTCCATTTGACAGTCAAAGAACTGCAGGGGGGAAAAAAATCTCCCAGTATAAGAAGTCATTGCTTATAGGCATACGTAGGCAACAGGAAAGTGACTGTCCAAGAATTAACATGCTAACAGACTGGTTAATATCAATAACCAATCAGGCATATCAATTACTAGGGGTACTCTCACAGAACCCATTTTACAGGGAAAGAAGAAACTTTTCCAGCTATCCATTCTAATGTGTTGTACACATCCATACCAACAAGCCCAATTGTGAAGGAGAAAACTAGACCTCTTGATTTTTAAAAAAAACTTACTACATTACTAAATTACAGCCCATAGAAAAATGTCTGTTGAAAGCTGGAAGGGCTGAAGTCCTCACATCTGCTGTCTCCTATTTAGTCTTCCAGATGACCACTTTGCAATTTTTTTTCTCTATACAGAAGCCACTGGAATTTGCCCCATTTAAAATAATCATATCTGGCCACAAGAACCTGGTAATTAGCTACTTTCATTTGTAGAGATAATGAGAAAATAAGCCTCCTAACTGAGAAGATCCACTCGCCATGAAAAGGACATAAGTTGTATTTGTAGTTGTATTATGTGTGTCTATATGCCTATTTTCTAACTAGGTACACTGTGGTGGCTGGAAGGAACTGAGGGATAGAGTCATTGTGTCTTATATACCCTCAGGTCTGAATGTTCAAGTACCACAAGGAAGCATGTGCCCAACCTCAAAGATCTAAGCTTTCTAGATGGCTCCTGCTAAGACGTGGAGTGAAAAATGTGGAGCTGTGTAGGCAATGCTTGAAGAAAAGACTTGAGTTCACAGGTACTGATATGGTCCCTTGGACCCGCATTCTTAGCTTCAATTGTTTGCTGCACTTCATAGGGTGAAAGAGTCCTTGCAAGAGTGTTAGATACACTTCAAATATTTTGTTTAACATTGGTATTTTTAAGATACTTAACGCTTGGATATCTAAGCATAATTAGGTGGGGGATCATGTCTTCTCATGCTGATGTAGTTGAGAAAGGAAGAAAAAAGGGTGATTCCTGCCTCCCCAAAGCTATCGTCAAGCCAACCAGCAAGGATTCATAAATGTCTGGCTGGAATGTGACTTATTTTCTCAGGAAGAGATACAGACCGTTTTCACACTGATAGGCTTGTAAGGGGTGTCTCTCTCAACCCATACACTAGTGGGTTCTTGAGTGCCCCAATGTGGTGTGCCAGGGCAGGACCTTGGGTTTCCTTGTTAATAGCCTACGGAGGGGATTAGAGGCATAACCCAATCCTAAATTTAGTTTAGGAGGACTGCCTGGTCTTGGGCACAACTGATTTTGCCAGTTCCCTCAAAATTGTTCATGTCTTTCTTCTATTACGAACACGCTGATCACCCCTTAATCCATTTTCCACTCACTCTCCTGTTCTTAGTCACTTTAGAGCAAACTTGTACTTCATCAACCCTGACACACTAATCTGTATCTTTGTACAAACGAACTTAAGTTTCTTTGATCACTATAAAATCAGATGGTACACATTCTCCTCTGCTGTTCACAGCTGTAGCACAGATCCATAGTAGAAATATTTTTAACCTTGAAGTTGTACTTTCCATTTATTTAACTATTTCCCATCAATAGCTTTTCCTTTTTGCCACTCAAAACATGTGGCACTTACAACATCCTTCAGGAGGAAAATGGTAATGTCTTGCTTTGAGACATGGAACTGACAAAACAGGAAAATGTACCCCTTTGTTAAGATGGACATTTTAAAAATAGTTTTCTCAAGTAATTGTGACGCTTCGTACCTTGAGGGAGCATCCAGCACCCCCATGTTCATCCTTGTAAAATGATTGTGTGGTATCCAATGCAAAGTTTGTCATGTTGGGTGTCTTCGGAAGGCTTATGATGCACTGAGCACTGTTGTTACAGTAAGGTTATAGGTTATAATTTCATGTATGTAGTTATGAGGCTGAAAATGTAGACTTATGGCTTAAAATAAGCCCAGGCACAAACTCTCCAAGAGCTGAGAGGAAGTTCACACCTCATCAGGGCATGTATGGGACAAACCCAGTCTCACAGGAACAAAGGATGCTGGCCTAGGCAGCAACAAAAGAATATGTTGGACTCTTGAGGGGGTCACGCCCCTTCCTTTGGTCAGTTTGGAACTGCAATGAGGTAATCACCAGACTCTGAAAGGGGGGAGGGGCAAAGCTCAGAGGGAAGAAAGAACAAGATAAAAGGGAGAGACATTTGCCATGCTCCCTCTTCCACCTACATCTACGGACACTACACCAAGCAACTGAAGTACTGATCAAAGGGAAGAGCCTGGCTGAAGAGCAACCACCCGGCCTATGGTGAGAAGCATTTAAGTTTTGTAAGAGCACTGAAAGTGTTAAGATCAGCTTAGAATGTGTTTTGCTTTTATTTCATTTGACCGGTTATTTTTTGACTTATAATCACTTAAAATTGATCTTTGTTGTTAATCTGTTTGTTTATGCTACGTGAAGCACTGTGTTTGGTTTGAAGCATATCAGAGACTCCCCTTGGGAGAACAAGCCTGGTACATATCAATTTTTGTTAAGTTGATGAATTCATAAGCTTGCAGCATCCAGCAGGCATAACTGGACACTGCAAGAAGGAGGTTCCTAGGGTTGTGTCTGGGACCAGGGGTATTGGCTAGTGTCATTTGGTTGCACAATCCAAGGAGCAGCTTACATGCCAGAGGCTGTGTGTGAACAGCCCAGGAGTGGGGTTTCTCACAGCAGAGCAGGGTAAGGCTGGCTCCCAGAGTCAAGGATTTGAGTGACCTAGCAGATCACTGGTCCAGATAACACCAGAGGGGAATGTCACAGTAATGCACTATGTTTAAGAGAATACTATACACAGTTCAATAACTGGTCAAATTCCAAGTGTGACAATGTTAGAAATTTTAACACATAACATACATAGTTTTCCTATCAGAATATATGCTAATCATAACATTCTAACTATCTTAGCATTAGTGATATATTTATATCAGTTAGCTACCTAAGAGTGCAGTTCCTAAACTAAGACCTAGCATACTACATCTAAAACTCAAAAGTACTTGGCATAGCATCTTCATAAATGGTAACTGCAGTGGATTTTTAGTGTGATACTCAAGTTTGTATCAACCTATGTACCGCATGTAGTGTCCCTACCACAGTTTGAGAATTGCTTATCTAATACATATATATTTTCACACTCCAATTTCATTTAAATAAAAATTATTTGAAACTAGAATCATTCTACAGTTATAAATTTTGAACAAACGCTGATCAATTTCACATTACCTTGAGGATCCCATGCTAAATTGTAAGTCATAGAACTAAGGAAAAACTGCCCCGATTTAAGCCACTGAGACTTCAGTTGCTGTGGTATAAAAACATTAGGAATAAAGGGTTAGTTAACAGCAACAAAGCAATAAATTAACAGCATTTTTTACTTTCTATATGAAGTTACAAATGTAAGTTTCAGATTCGTAGTAATTCAATTGAAAATAAATTTAGATTGCTGAATCAAATATTTAATAACTTCAGAGGGGTAGCCATGTTAGTGTATAAGGAGCCACAGGACTCTGCCGCTTTTACAGATCCAGACTAACAGACGTATTGGAGCATGAGCTTTCGTGGATGAATACCCACTTGCATCCGACGAAGTGGGTATTCACCCACGAAAGCTCCTGCTCCAATACGTTTGTTAGTCTATAAGGTGCCACAGGACTCTTTGCCGAAGTATTTAATAATTGCATTCAACTGATTTATAATGAATAAATGCAGCACTAAAATTCTTTTATCAGCAGAAAACTGAACATTCACCATTTTGGTATGACGTTCCAAACAAATATGTACTAGCATTATCCAAAATACTATGGACTCGCTAAATACCATATCCCTGGTTAGGGAAGGAGGAATATAAACAAAAGAATCAGCCATGTTTCACTAAATAAAATACTCCTACAGAATAGGTGAAAACTAAGGAAAATTATATTTTCTAACCTTCATTTTCAAATGAGCTTTTTATTTTAAGGAATATTTGCTAGATAGCATTGTTTAGAATAAAATTAATTCTGATTTCTCACTATACAATTTTCTGAACTATGTGTGTTTCTAACTAACACATTCCTCAGTTAATCTCCCCTGTTCCATTCTAATGGGGCTTTAACAAGTGGTAGGCATATTTTTATCTGCTCCAACAAAACAAGACATAGTTTAATCATGCAATACATACTTACACAATTTCTTTTGTGAGAATTTATACCAAGAGGTTCAAAAATACAAATAGCATTTCCATATGATGCTGCAATCTGGAACAGATTGATTGAGTAAAATGTTAAACTCAGGAAAAAAGTATAATAGAACTCTCTAGAATTCAGATACTCACTGAATTTTCAATAACTTATAAGCGTAGGTGCTAAAGGAAAGCAAAATTCATACAAACATTACTTAGTGGTGTTGTACGTAGAATTGATTGCTTTTAAAAAACATTGAAAAATACATAATTTGTTTGTTTTGAGTAATCCCATGTTAAAGATCTAAAGTAAACGAGAGACCCTGAGTACAAAAGGACATGTGCTAACTCCTGTTAATCTGCTATTACTTCAGAGTAGCTACTGTTAATGCACAATGGAAAGCTGCTGCCTTTGCTCTTTCTGCTCTTGCTCTACTTCACAGAAAACTAGTAAATTAATAATCAATGTTTGGGTCCTCAGTGTGATTCCAAGTTCCATTTCCTATCACTAAATATTAAATACAAGAATACAGGAGCAAATGTTATTCTGTTGCTGCTAGGTTCAGTCAATTTTGAGGAAAAGCCTGGTATATGGAAACAGAATACTGAACATACTATTGGAAACTTATTAGCATACTTCAAGTAGGACTCCCTAGTTTCTCCAATCTATTTCTTTCACAGAAGAACTACATCTGCAAAAGACTTTTTGGTTGGGAATATGTCTGATCATTGTGCTTATCTGCACTTCAAAAATGGCTGGACTGTTTTTTTAAAGTCTAAATTTTACTTAAGAAGATACATTAGGAGTTGTTTAAATACTTCCAATTTAGGACTCTAGTCTCTCCTGCGCAGAAATCTGCAAGTTTTAACCCATTTTCCTAAAAACTCCTATCAAACCCCAAAGTTTCATCTCACTTAAACTACAAAATCAGACATAAAAATACAAAAGTGTCACAGCACACTATTACTGAAAAATCGCATACTTTCTCATTTTTACCATACAACTATAAAATAAATCAATTGGAATATAAATATTGTACTTATATTTCAGTGTATACTACATAGAGCAATATACACAAGTCATTGTCTGTCTGTATGAAATTTTAGTTTGTACTGACTTTGTTAGTGCTTTTTATGTAGCCTATTGTAAAACCAGGCAAATATCTAGATAAGTTAATATACCCCCTGAAAGATCTGTGTACCCCTAGGAGGTGCAGGTACCCCTGGTTGAGAACCACTGCCTCAAAGCACACAGAAGAGGCGGCAAGGAGTTCAAACCCCATGGACCTAGAATACTGCAGGATCCACATGGATTTCAGGGCCACCAGAAAAACATTCTTAATCTTTTCTTCCCCTTGGTACTGTGGCTCTAGTGGAGCTGCAATGTCAGGGACTCCCTAACAGTAACTGTCCTGCAACACTGCCTAAGACAGGGGTGGCAACGGCCTGCGGGTCACATCTGACTTGCCAGGCAATTTAATCTGGCCCTCGAGCTTCCGCTGGGGAGCAGGGTCTGGGGCTTGCCCCGCTCCCGTGTTCCAGTCAGGAACTAGGGTCGGGGGCCGCTCTGTGCAGCTCCACGCAGCTGCTGCTTCTGGGAGCATGTCCCTCCTCTGGCTCCTACATTGAGGGGCAGCCAGGGGGCTCTGCACGCTGCCCCCGCAGCTCCCATTGTCTGGGAACTGAGGCCAAGGGCAGCGCCCAGAGCTGCCTGGCCACGCCTCTGCGTAGGAGCTGGAGGGGGGACATGCTACTGCTTCTGGGAACTGCTTGAGGTAAGCACTGCCCAGAGCCTGCACCTGAGCCCCTCCTGTGCCCCAACGACCTGCCCCAGCCTGATCCTCCGAACCCCTTGATCCCAACCCCGGAGCACCCTCCTGCACACAAACACCTCATCCCCAGCGCCAACCCAGAGCCAGCACCTCCAGCTGGCGCCCCCAACTCTCCCATCGCACCCCAACCCCATACCCCATCCCGGAGCCCCCTCCCACAACCTGAATTCCTCATTTCTGGCCCCACCCCAGAGCCAGCACCCCCGTGCCCCAACCCCCTGCCCCAGCCCTAATCACCCTCCGAACAGCTCGTCCCAGCCTGGAGCACCTTCCTGTACCCCAAATCCCTCATCCCCAGCACCACCCCAGAGCCTGCATTTCCAGCTGGAGACCTCACCTCACACCCCACCCCTGACTGCACACCAACCCCCTGTCCCAGCCTGGAGCCCCCTCCCTCACCCTGAATTCCTCATTTCTGGCCCCACCTCAGAGTCTGCACCCCCAGCCAGAGCCCTCACTCCCTCCTGCACCCCAACCCCAATTTTGGGAGCATTCATGGCCCACCATACAATTTCCATATCCAGATGTGGCCCTCGGACCAAAAAGTTTGCCCACCCCTGGCCTAAGGCCTTGTCTGTCTATATTACAACCAAATTTGTAATATGGTCAGTTGTGTCCACATAAAACTTGGTCAAGACTCAGTTGTAACTCTGTTGGAAATTACATTGGGTCTGCACATTTATCAGGATTCACTATGCTAGTACACATATTAAGCATTTCTAGGTACTTTTAAAAAAACACACACTTGCACCACTTCCCAGAACACAGGCATAAATGGTTTCATTGTTCCTTGACTAGAAATGTGGCTTTTCTTTTAGCCACTTTAGACAGTACAGGAGGCATGGCCAGTAATAATACATCGTTTAAATGTAGTACAACTGATTATAAACTATGCCATTAAAAGGGAACCTAAGCCATGGTGATTCTTTTAATGTTTCAAAGCATATGCTATTTTAACTGCACACTTCCAAGAGAAGTGCTTCTGATCTCTTGTATTAGATTTCTAAACTTTTACTAGAATGTGCTTTTTTGGCAGTAGTCTGTCATAAGCAGGGCTGACATACACATATCTGGTGCACTGCAACCACATTTACTGAAATTATTTATAAATGTTCTTTTTTTCAGTGTTGTTTGAGAAATGAATGTGATTCTATACGCTGAAATAAATGAAACTGTATTCAATGCAAATGAATAGTAATGGAAAAATTACTTGCATAGACAGTATTCTACTTTTAATCGTTTTCAATCCCTTGAGCCACATGGTCTCATGATTTGAGCACCAAAAAATACAGCCACTTTTGACAAAAAACTATCTACTGACATGCCAATTTACAGCATCAAGTTGGTTCTATGGAGAAAATCTGCAAACTCCAAAAAGGGGCATAATCAGAATAATAATGTGTTGGGAGGCAGGAGAAGAGGAATACTATATGTTACCCTGCAAAACAAAGTAGTGTAAACTACTACAGAAAACTAGAATCCATTTAATTCTGTTTTAAGTAACATTTAACTTGCTGTTGAAAGAAACACATTTTGATGCAGCAAAATATAAAGTTTTTAGTTGATGTTTAAAGTATCCAAGAACCATCTGCAAACAAATGAGAGAGTATGGTCTTCATCCCAGAATATATTGTGTTCAGAAAAGTTTGCTGTACTTCTTCACATTTTATGAGACCCCTTACAAAATGGGGTCTGAACCTTTTTGCTACAAAGAAAAGCATGTGGCTTTCAGAATTAGCTGTTGATGCATCCCTTGCTGATATTCAGACACATACAAATGAAAATTTTTAAAAGTGGCATAAATTATCTGAACATGAAGAGCTTTTTCCACTTTTAAATAGTGGGAAAAAAATTTAAATAGAAACATATTCAGGTAGCTGAAAATGGGCCAAATTCAGTTTTATCAAACTTTCAAAAATAAAACACTTTGGGCTAAAACAAGAATCATTACTTTTAACCAAAAAAGACTTATTTAGAAAGTTGTAAGTATCCAAAAATAGGTCCCTAGCATGAAATTACCATCTCAGCAACAGCATCAACATGTCAAACAGTGTCTGTTTATACATTTCATTTTTAAAACTTTATTCAGACTCATTAAAGACCTTACCCTGCCTTGTTGCTGGGAGCACTCCACACAGCTGACTTGGATGTTTCCATGCTTAGCACCAGGAATAATCTGCACACATTCAAAGTCGTTTGCCAGAATAACAATATCACAGCCTGAGCCATATGCCTGTAATAGTTTTAAATAAATATATAATCTAATGTTAATCCACAATGGTTACATTTTAGTAAATTAGTTTTAGAATTTACTTTTTTTCAAAGTGCATTATGATCATGAATACACACTTAAATCTCTACCTCTATTCACACTAGTAAAGTACATTAGCTTAACATACACAGTTTACTCCTGAGAGCATTCTGTGCCAAAAAGTTAAATTCTGAACCAAAAAATTAAAAATTCTGCACACAATATTTTAAAATTCTAAAAATTTTATTTGTAAAATAAATGGGGAGGCTCCAGCATGGCATTGGGGAGCACAGGCCACTGGTTGCAGAGAGGTGGGAGATCACTGTGCAGTTCCCTCTGGGACACGGACTTGGCGGTGAGGCTTCACCCAACCCTGACACAGTGCAAGGGCCGGGCCTGCCCCACCCTGCCCCGGAAACACACCAGGGCCCTTCCTCTCTGTGCCAGGTGCAGCATGTGGGGACAGGCAGGCTCAGCAAGGCAGGATCCAAATTTGGAGGAGAGATCCAGGTGTGGGTTGAGAGAGTTCTATGTAGGGCAATCTTGGTGCGGGAGGCTCAGTGGGGGATCTGGATGCACAGGGGCTAGTTGGAGGGTTCTGGGTGCAACAGTAATGGGACGCTGCAGGGGGGTCCAAGTGAAGGTGGTTGGGGCTCAGTGGGGGGGTCTGGGTATGAGGAATAGAACTTGGCAGGCAGGTCTAGGTGTAGGGGGCTGTCATAAATATAAAGGGAAGGGTAAACCCCTTTGAAATCCCTCCTGGCCAGGGGAAAGCTCCTCTCACCTGTAAAGGGTTAAGAAGCTAAAGGTAACCTCGCTGGCACCTGACCAAAATGACCAATGAGGAGACAAGATACTTTCAAAAGCTGGGAGGAGGGAGAGGAACAAAGAGTCTGTGTCTGTCTGTGTGCTGCTCTTGCCAGGGACAGAACAGGAATGGAGTCTTAGAACTTTTAGTAAGTAATCTAGCTAGGTATGTGTTAGATTATGATTTCTTTAAATGGCTGAGAAAAGAATTGTGCTGAATAGCATAACTATTTCTGTCTGTGCATCTTTTTTGTAACTTAAGGTTTTGCCTAGAGGGGTTCTCTATGTTTTTGAATCTAATTACCCTGTAAGATATCTACCATCCTGATTTTACAGGGGGGCTTTCTTTATTTCTATTTACTTCTATTTTTTATTAAAAGTCTTCTTGTAAAAACTGAATGCTTTTTCATTGTTCTCAGATCCAAGGGTTTGGGTCTGTGGTCACCTAAGCAAATTGGTGAGGCTTTTTATCCAACATTTCCCAGGAAAGGGGGGGTGCAAGTGTTGGGAGGATTGTTCATTGTTCTTAAGATCCAAGGGTCTGGGTCTGTAGTCACCTAGGCAAATTGGTGAGGCTTTTTACCAAACCTTGTCCAGGAAGTGGGGTGCAAGGTTTTGGGAAGTATTTTGGGGGGAAAGACGCGTCCAAACAGCTCTTCCCCAGTAACCAGTATTAGTTTGGTGGTGGTAGCGGCCATTCCAAGGATAACGGGTGTAATATTTTGTACCTTGGGGAAGTTTTGACCTAAGCTGGTAAAGATAAGCTTAGGAGGTTTTTCATGCAGGTCCCCACATCTGTACCCTAGAGTTCAGAGTGGGGGAGGAACCTTGACATGGTGGCACAGTGGTGGGATTAACCTGAAATCATTTTGAGATCCAGTTGAGATTTTTTGAACTAGAAATACAGATTTTAAAAAGGAATTTTTAGGAAGTCCAGAAAGCAGCTTTGAAACTGAAAGCAGCTTGGTTTCTCTCTGCTTTGTGGCCAAGCAGAGACAAAAGGGGATTATCTTGTGAATTGCAGGTTCTCTTTGCCTGGAGGCAGGGTACTTAACTCCTGCAGGGAAATTCAGTCTTCCAACCCAGAGGTTTTTTTTTTTCTTTTCTTCCTAAAAGTAAATAGGGGGTGTGTGTTCTACCCATTTGCTTTTTCTTTGGGCTGGGTAAGCAGGTTTCCAAGTAGTTGGAGGTTTTTTGCTTTAATTTGGGCCCAGAGCAGAGACAAGGGAATTGTCTTTTTCTGTAGGCTGACAATCACTATCAGAGAATAGGTATTCTATTCCAGCACAGCAAAATTTTACAGCCAAGTTTTGTTTGTTTATTTCTAAACCTCGGGTGTAAAGTTAGTAAAAACAGAGAGGTTAGAATGGCAAAATCCGCGGCTCGACTACAGCTCGAATTAGCCAAATTTCAGGCTGAGGAAAGACAAAGGGAACATGAAAGACAGATAGAACTCATGCAGCTGAAGAAGGAACAAGAAAGGGAGGCAGAACAACACCAAGAGGCTGCCCACAAGAGGGAAATGGAGGCAAGGAAGCATGTGGAGGAGGAGAGGGAAAAAGAGAGGAAGCATGTGGAGGAGGAGAAGGAAAAAGAGAGGAAGCATGTGGAGGAGATGGAGAGGATAAAGGCCCAGCAGAATATACCAACAAACCCTAGCAATCCTTCTCCAGGTACCACTTCCCATCCCAGAAAGTTCCCCACCTACAAGGCAGGTGATGATACTGAGGCCTTCTTAGAAAACTTCGAAAGGGCCTGCCTTGGGTACAACATCTCTACTGACCAATACATGGTAGAGCTGAGGCCGCAGCTCAGTGGACCCTTAGCTGAGGTGGCAGCTGAAATGCCTAAAGAACACATGAACAAGTATGAACTGTTTAAATCCAAGGCGAGAGTCAGAATGGGGATAACACCCGAGCAGTCTCGTCGGAGGTTCAGAGCCCTAAGGTGGAAACCAGACATGTCATTTACCCGACATGCCTACCACATTGTAAAACATTGGGATGCCTGGATATCAGGAGCAAGTGTTGAATCTCCAGTAAATTTGCCCTTCCTAATGCAAATGGAACAATTCTTAGAGGGTTTTCCTGAGGAAATAGAAAGATACATCCTAGATGGGAAACCCAAAACTGTAATTGAGGCAGGAGAGATTGGAGCCAGATGGGTGGAGGTGGCAGAGAAGAAGAAAACTGGTCGCAGTTGGAGCGGAGACCAGAAGGGACCACCCCAGACCACACCCTATTACCGGGGGCCGCCCAAAGCCCCACCTACCTCCCAAAGAACCCTCCAGACCCCTTATCGTCCCACCACCCCGTTCTCCAGCAACCCTCCTCGCCCCAGTGACCCGTCAGCTGGACGATGTTTTAAATGTAACGAGCTGGGGCACGTAAAGGCCAACTGCCCCAAGAACCCCAACAGATTACAGTTCATTGCACCGGAATCACACCAGAGGTCCACAGGCCCAGATACCTCCCAGATACCCTTGGAGCGGAGGGAAACTGTGAGTGTGGGCGGGAAGAAGGTCACCGCGTGGAGGGACACCGGAGCACAAGTGTCAGCTATCCATGCTTCCTTAGTGGACCCCAATTTAATCAACCCAGAGATCCAAGTGACGATTCAACCCTTCAAGTCCAACTCTTTCAATTTGCCTACAGCCAAGTTGCCTGTCCAGTACAAGGGCTGGTCAGGAATGTGGACTTTTGCAGTCTATGATGATTATCCCATCCCCATGCTGTTGGGGGAAGACTTGGCCAATCATGTGAAGCAGGCCAAGAGGGTGGGAATGGTCACCCGCAGCCAGGCTAAACAAGCCGTGAGGCCTAGCTCTGTTCCGGAAACTTCTATCAGGACCCAGTCAGAGGTGATGGACCTGGACCCCAGGCCAATGTCTGCAACAGCAGTAGTGGATCCAGTCCCAGAGACCCAGACGGAACCAGTCCCAGAACCGGAACCAGCCGAACAACCAACACCAGACCCTGTGTCAGCACTGAATCCAGTACTTGCAACCTCAACACCAGAGGGCCCCACCGAACCTGAACTGGCAGCAGCCGATAACCTGACCCAAGTAATCCCAACATAGTGCACCAGCGGAGAGCGGTTCACAGTCAACAGAAACAGCTCCATCCCCTATATCGCTTCCAGAGGGACCAAGCCTAGGTCCACAATCCCATGAGGAACTGATGTCTCCAGCATCAAGGGAACAGTTCCAGACCGAACAGGAAGCAGATGAAAGCCTCCAGAGAGCTTGGACGGCGGCACGGAGCAACCCACCGCCTCTCAGCTCTTCTAATCGATCCAGGTTTGTTATAGAAAGAGGACTTTTATACAAGGAAACTCTTTCTGGTGGACACCAGGAAGACTGGCATCCTCAGAAACAGTTGGTAGTTCCAACTAAATACCGGGCCAAGCTCTTGAGCTTAGCCCACGATCACCCTAGTGGCCATGCTGGGGTGAACAGGACCAAAGACCGTTTGGGGGGATCATTCCACTGGGAGGGAATGGGCAAGGATGTTTCTACCTATGTCCAGTCTTGTGAGGTGTGCCAAAGAGTGGGAAAACCCCAAGACCAGGTCAAAGCCCCTCTCCAGCCACTCCCCATCATTGAAGTTCCATTTCAGCGAGTAGCTGTGGATATTCTGGGTCCTTTTCCGAAAAAGACACCCAGAGGAAAGCAGTACATACTGACTTTCATGGATTTTGCCACCCGATGGCCGGAAGCAGTAGCTCTAAGCAACACCAGGGCTAAAAGTGTGTGTCAGGCACTAGCAGACATTTTTGCCAGGGTAGGTTGGCCCTCCGACATCCTCACAGATGCAGGGACTAATTTCCTGGCAGGAACTATGAAAAACCTTTGGGAAGCTCATGGGGTAAATCACTTGGTTGCCACTCCTTACCACCATCAAACAAATGGCATGGTGGAGAAGTTTAATGGAACTTTGGGGGCCATGATACGTAAATTCGTAAATGAGCACTCCAATGATTGGGACCTAGTATTGCAGCAGTTGCTCTTTGCCTACAGAGCTGTACCACATCCCAGTTTAGGGTTTTCCCCATTTGAACTTGTATATGGCCGTGAGGTTAAGGGGCCATTGCAGTTGGTGAAGCAGCAATGGGAGGGATTTACACCTTCTCCAGGAACTAACATTCTGGACTTTGTAACCAACCTACAAAACACC